AAGTTTAAAGTTTTAACATGAGAGGAAAAAAAAAGTATAAAAATAAAAGTTATTTATAACTTTCTCAGACAGAGTAAAAATAAGTATCAATAGTATAAGAATATATTAATGGAAGAGTAAAACAGGAATCCCGAGTTCCAACTGAACGTTAATAATAATTCCCATTTAATTAATATAAAAAAGTTTTATGACTAGAAAGCAAATAGAGCCAAAAAATATATATATATATATATATATATATATATTTATATATATACATCTATCTCTTTATTAACAATAAAATTTCTCATAAACTTTTTATTTGATAAAAAGTAATTACGAAGAAAGAAATAAGAGGAGTTGAGAGCAGAGAGTGAGTATAAAGGAGGAAATAAAAAAGAAATAAAAAAGTAGTGAGAAAAATATGTATTTGATACACCTCACACCTCTTGCCTTATACCTCCTCAGACTATACTCCCACTACACCTATTTCTCATATTTTCTTCATCTGAAGTTGGTGTGACTCTCGGTTCGGCAACTCGACAGCATTTCATCATCAAAAAAGGCAAAAAAAAAAAAAAAAAAAAAAAAAAAAATAGAGAAAAAGAAAACTGAAGACTGTAAGTTTTGCTCGAGTAAGCACAAACCCTCGTAGCAAGTGCGCCGGATATCCGATTGATTGGGGATATATACGAAAATCGTGCCTCGTTTCCCGACAAATTGCCAACTCTTAACCGTGACAAGGCCAACGAAACGTTTACATTTTTCATATTTTTATTATCATTATTATTACAACTTTTATTGCTATTACACGTCGATTTTTATAATTACCCACGTGGCAAAAAAAAAAAAAAAAAAAAGAAAAAAAAAAAAAAAAAAAAAAAAAATTTATCTTTATAAAATTAAATCAAACACTCGTTTAAATTATTAATAATTAAATTCTTAAGTTAATCAACACTGCGATCTCAAGTACATGAATAATTAAATCCGCATTTTTAAATCATTGAAATTCTTCTAGCACGACAAGACCTACTTTTTAATTAATAAAAGTTAAATTATTATTTACTTTATTCAAATTCCCGGCGAGGACAAAATCTGCTACCAAGAGAGACTTAAGCCACTTGGAAAAGAAGAAGATAAATATTTAAAAGCTGTAGCTTGTGATTATCAAAACTTGAATCATCAGGTGTCCTCATTAATGAAACTTGTAAAACAAGTTTATTAATTTTTCCAGATTTAAATTTATCAATTGTAATTAATAAAAAATAAAAATTCACCTATAAATTAAGTAAATAATAAATACAAGGAGGGAATATCAGTGAAAGGGGTAAATGTAGAGTCAGACCAGACGTTGGTTAATCTCAGCAGTAGTGTAAAGAATGATATACTACAGATAGGGTGTAACCTATGTAAGTGATACTCTAACACTTTGCTCAGACAGACTGTCCATAATATCACATAAGTTTGTATTTATATAGTTGGATTAAATCAAACCGGATCCAATTACTCGGTCTATCATTACACCACTGACAATTTGCACAAGTGACAAATAACACTTTTATACGCCTGTCATTGAAACCTATTGAATAGGTGACTCGCTGTTGAAACAATTTAAAATGATGCTATTATTTATTTGAAATAAAATTTAGTAAAAATTAAACAAATTGAATGAATCACAAAGTTGTTGTTTGTTAACTTTACGGAAAGTGTAAATCTGTAAAAGTTAGTAGCATAGAAGCAGGTGATCTTTTGTAGGTGGTTTTGGTTACTCCACCCTGGCATGGGTTAACTCCCAATCGGAACAAACTCCTTCCATCGACAATCAGACATCTCGTTTCTGTTTGGTTCTAGCTATAACGATGATCGAACTAATTATCCCGGCTCAATCAAACTCGCACACTCACAAATAACACATACTACTAATATGTTACGTAACTTTGTACACATTTTATTGAATAATTAAAATAAAACCGATGATAAAAATTAATAGGGGAAAAAAAAAAAAGTGTTAAAGGTATAATAAATAATAAAATGAAGGCTTACCTGGAGAGAATGAAAATCCTAGGCAATCACGGTGGAACGGCGTGGCGATGGTGACATAGCGCCCTCCGATATTACTCGCTTGGTCAGTTAGCAAACGTCCTATCTCGGGAGATTCGTATCCTGGACTGGCGTTGTCGAGAGCTCAAAAGCAATTCACACTGACTACCTGGTTACTGGTTAGACTATTGATCTCGCGGCCCAGAGACACCCAGTGTAGGATTTACGCAGACTCTCAGTGCTGCCGCGTCGCTTTAGCAACGTGACGTCATAGAGAGTCTCCCGCGACCCTTGGTAAATCCTATGCTACCACCTCCGGCCCCACCACAAACTTCAATCACACGTCACTTACTCCGGTGCTTTCAATGCCTCTTTCTCTAGCTCTAGCTCTAATGCTGCTTCTGTTACAGGTACTGCTGCTACTGGTACAAACAACTTCTCTCTACCTGCTCAACACTAATGCTATTTAATCATCGATGCTTACCTTATTTACACGCCCTCGGCCCTACTCCGGCACTCCGGCACTCCGGCACTCCGGCACTCCGGCTTGCGATGGACCATCTATATAATCGGTAACTATATATACACAATTGATTATTGTTTCAACACCGAGCTAAATCTCCGGAAAAGTTTCCTTTAAATTAATAAAATTATCTCAATTGTTGGTTGTTGTTGTTGTTGTTGTTGTTGTTGTTTTGTTAAAAAACTAAAATCTAATTAACAACACTCGAAAATTGGTCTTACAGCAACATTTAAAGCATCTCTAAATGTTAAGATAAATAAGACAAAACGACGGAGAATGCAGATGCGTAAATTTAAATCCCTTTTAAATGAGTATTTAAAATCCCTTGGTAGTATAACTTGTAATTTAAAGTTTAGTTTATGTATGTTCTCATTGAATTTAATGAGTGTACGCTCGACGATTTATTTAACTTTTTTTTTTAAACAACTCAGATAAATAAACAGCTTGCGCATACACTCTCTACAATGCGTACGTAACACCAGCAGCTCTCATTAGAAAACTTTTCATTATATTTTTTATTTTTTATTTTAGTTTTTTTTTACCACTGTTTCCTCACACTTAAAAAATAAAAATAATAATTATAAAATATAACACAAATATCAAGTGTATACCGGGTAAAAAATTTAGAGGCCCACTTAAGCTATTTTAAACCAAGCTAGACATTCAATGCTGATAAAGGACTAAAAAATATTTTTTTTTACCAACTATTAATGGATAGGATTTATTAAATGGAAAAAATGAAAAAACACATTTTAGTTGCTTATTATAAAACCTTAGTATTAAAATATTCCAATAAAACAATAAATAATAATGATTAATAATAATCATAATAACCATAATAAAATGAATTAATAGAAGATTCGGCAGTGGAACATGCTAAAGTTGGCAGGTGCCTACATCACAATTATTATTTAATGTGTATTAATTATTAAATTTATAAGAGATTATTCGCTGATTACATATCAAACAATATAATTACAGTTTTACACACGTTATTTTATTAACGTTAATTTACGCTACTCTATCAGCGAATTAATCCAATCTCTCACATTTATTATTCTGTTTTTTATACATACATCTATATTACTTCCATACTTGACATTTACACATCATAAATTGTACCTGATACAAACAGTGTTTTCGGTATAGAATTAAAACTACTGTACACTAAAATGTTTTTATTTTATTTTATTTTTTATTTTTTTATTTTTTTATTTTTTTTTTTTTTTTTTTTTTTTTTTCATTTATTGTATATCTGCATTGTTTTTTGCTTATACTTTGTTTATCATGTTTTTATTATATTTTTTTTCATTCGCTGAGAGATCAAGTTTAAACCCTACACCTCATTTTCCTAATTAAATTTACTTTCCAAGATATTATTATCATTATTTTGATCTTGGACACTCGGGATGCTCTTGTAAAAGATAATTACGAGGATGACGACGACGACGATGATGATGATGATAATTATAATAATAATAATAATAATAATAATAATAAATAAATATATTGTTGGCTAAGAACATACTGCAATGATAATGTTGTAGTATGCGCAACAGCTATGAACACTTGAGCTTTTGACGAACACACAGTGGCTTGGTAATGTTGTTTACCACCTATCATTGCTTCAGTCTCTCTAATCCCGGTTAAACCCAATAGTGAACAAGCGCACCTATAGATAGATTGATAACTAGATGTTCATCACTGACAAATTCACATGACTTTAATGTTCATCACATACTCATTTTTTTCCTCCACTGCTTAAAATTTTTTTTTTATTTTTATTTTTTTGTTTTTAATTTTAATTTTATCCGATTATTAATTTTCACAATTTATTTCCGATTTTCAGGCTACAGTACTCACCAATTTTCTAAAGAAAAAAAAAAAAACTTAGTCTATTAAAATCAAAAAAAGTAATTACACATAAAAAAAAAAAAAGTAAATAGTACACTATAAAGTATAACGTTTCAAACATTCGTTAGGGTAAAATAATAATAAAGAAAATATTTTAATAATAATAATTATACCTAAATTATTGTCCCTCTTGGAAGAAAAAAAAAAAAAAAAAAAAAAACCTTCACGCTAAAACAACATACAAATTTCCCTATCAATTTTTTTACCTAATAAGTCTTATAATTTTGACATAATTAATACTAACTAAAATTTTGGTAGTACAAAGTAGCAGTACCATTTTTTTTTAATTTCACTTTATATTATAATTAATAGTCAATAGTAATAATAATGATAAACAACGCACATGTCACATTTACCCTCTCATTCTCAAATATGCAAAATGTTATAAAAAAGAAAAAACAAAACAAAAACAAAAATTCTATCACTATAAATTTGGCCAAAAAACTTGTCCAATATTACAAATTTTTTTTTTTTTTCAAGTTTTTTCAATAGTTTTTATACAAATGATTATTATTGTTACGAAACATGATTGATTATGAAATTATTATGATTGCTCGCCATTAGAGGGCCAATTACCGGAATTATTCCAGTCCCAATCTTTGCCTTTAGGTCGAAATTTACTTGTACTACCAGAATTATTCCAATCGCGATGAAAAAACTTTTTTTTAAAATGATGCTGCCTTTCGGGATCCGACTGTCGCTGATATTTAAGCGGTACCGACGATGAATTGTTATTGTTATTATTGTTACTGTTATTACTATTACTGTTATTGTTATTGTTGCTGTTATTGTTGCTACTATTACTCGGTGCGGTACAATTATTTGGCGGTCGTGGACTAGTCGGAGATGGTGTTCGCGGAGGACCGAGTGCTTCATCCGGTGAAGGTGCTACTCGAGGTGGTCCAATAACTGCGCTATCTAATCCTAATCCACTGTCTGGACTTGTGTTGACGCCTTCCGTAGACCTCCGTCGTTTGTCAAGTTCTGTTGAGGCAAATGCAACTAGTCTATCGAAACCCGAACTAATACGATCTTGCCAGTCTGCTTCACCATCTGTAATATCAACTTATATTTATTAGAATCACTTGAAATATTAATACATTATTTTATAAATAACAACTAAATTTCGATCAATAACATATCTTCATTAAAATAAGCCATTTCCCGACATTAAATTAAGACAATTATAAAAATAAACACTTACATGCATACGTTCTACTTTTTATAAATTTGAAATAAATAAAATATAATAATAATAATAATAATAATAATAATAATAATAATAATAATAATAATAAATAGAGAGAATAATATAAAGATATTACTGTCTACTCGGCATTGTTATAAACGGCAGTCAGGCTACCTTTGGCTTTTATTTATTTCGCCATTTAAAATCCAATAAATATTTAATATCATTTCAGTTGCTTGCTATTGCAATTGTTGGCTTATTTTCATGGAAATATGCAACTGATAGTAACCATGAAATGCCTTAATGAATGTTAAATGTAAAATAAATTTTCATTCATTTATTTGTCTATTGACTTTAAAGAATAGTGAAATGATTTGGAATAAAAGTTATTACAAACAAAAATTTGGAAGAACCCCTTTGGGAAAACTCACCAAGAGACCGCGAACCAACCCAAAGGCAGCCATACTTTTCTCATATTTTTCTTTCTCCCTCTGATCGTCTCAATCTCTAATAAAACACAAGCCTTGAGGGAATTTTTGAAGAGAGAGATTGAGTATGTGACAGAGCTAACCAACAAACAGCTACAGTGCATCTAACAAATACAACCAACAATAACAAAAAAAAAATCAAAATTATAAATAAAGAAATCACATACCAACTCCGTCAAATAAAAGTAAGGACGAAGAGATTTAAAAAAAAATAATAAAAATCATGATAATAATAAAAAACCATAGAATATTCATATCCAAAGCCAAGAGTTAATCAATTCAAAGTAATTAATAAATAAAAAAATAATTTAGATGGATGCAAAGTAATAAATTAAAAAAATAAGTAGAATTGTCTTTTTTTTTTTTTTTTTTTTTTTTCGTTTTTTTTAGAAAGATTAAATAATTAAAAAATAATAATAAAGCTAATTTGAAAGAAGGAAAATAAAGCAGGACGCACGCATCTAAAATAAAGCTAACACAAATTATAGTAGTAATAATAATAATAATAATAATAATAATAATAATAATGATAATATATTATTAAACAATATAATAACCGGGTTATAATTTGATATTTAAATGTAAATTGATAGAGAATTGATACGTAATTACTTACCTTCATCTATTATCCCACTGGACTGTCTCTGCGTAGTCATGTGTGGTTCATCAACTAGCGGTGTTGAGGTATTAGAATGTGGTTCAATAAGAGGACTCAGAGGTGCTCCACTTGTGCTCACCGATGAGACATTTGTCTCTATTTTAACTAAAGACACTGCTGATTGTGATTGTAGAGGCGAGAGTACACTACCATCATTACTGCCGTGGCTGTTGCTACTGTTTACGTAACGTGGATACGGTTGGTATCTAATTACCAAACAATTATAAATTATTAACCGGGATCTACATAACTAAACGATCATTTAAATAAATTGAATATCATAAATTACCTTCGATTGTTAGAAGATTCATTTTTGTCGCTGTGATTATTTATTATTCGTGCATGAAGCGATGCTGCAAGACCCTCCACAGGCTGTAAATCATCATTTGACGCTGATGACTGAGATGGATGAGATACCGTAGTATGTTGAGTTTGTTTTATTAACTGCGTTGAATTATCACCAAAATATGATTCATGGTAAGGTTTCAAGTCTGCTCGCGGTAATTGAACCGGTGTATATCTGAAGGCAATTATTATTATTATTATTAAAATAGAATAATCTAATCAATAATTACTTGCATATTTATTCATTTATTTTTTCAATTTTTACCTTTGGGATTGAGAAGCAGGTGTAAATAAAACTGAAGAACGTGAAGTTGATGTAGTTGAAGTTGATGCAGAAGCTGAACAATTTGGTGCATAACTAGCAACGTGCGCCAAAGTAGCAAGACCTGTTTCACCTTCTGCACTAGCAGGTCTACTAATAGGGGAATAAACTGTTTCGGGTCTTATCATTGCACTCATATCCACTGCCGCGTTAATAATTGATTGGTTAGATATTTCAAGCGTTCGTTCAATCTCACCGTTCACGAGATCACCGATTGTTCTTGTACCGAGTAATCCAGTACTCGTACCGGTCGATGGAATACGATTGTCATTATTACCACTACAACTATTATTATTATTATTATTATTATTATTATTATTATTATTAGCAATATGATTATTATTAATATTATTATTATTATTATTATTATGAGTTAGCTGCCGTGAATCTGGTGCTGACGATGATCTATCGGGCTGTACTAAATGACACGTAAGGCGTTCTTGGGACAAATGTCGACGTAGCGCTAATTTTGCTGGTGAAACTTGAGTATAATCGGGTGTTGATACATTTGGTGGTATACTACTCGTACGTTTACGATCAAAGTCAGTGGATTGAGGTGACTGTTGTTGTTGTTGTTGTTGATGATGCTGAGTTTGTAACTGATAAGAGTGGGGCTGTTGCTGTTGCTGCTGTTTATTTCTATTCTGTTGGTCTTCATTCAGTACACTGGTAATGATACTCTTTAGGCGGTCCTCAAAATTATTAACTCTTGGTGGTTCTTGAACACGATTAATAACATCTCGTGAATTACCTTGTAATTGAGTAACACCCGACGTTGATGAAAAGTTTACGTTTGCTTGTGGTAATTTAACTCTACCACTACTGCTATTATTATTATTGTTATTATTATTATTATTAATATTTATATTACCATTGTTGTTGTTGTTGTTGTTGTTGTTGTTGTTAATATTTGATGTACCACCAGAACAATTGAGTCTGTTGGGTATACGGCCAGCTTCTATCTGACGACCAGTTTCTAAAATTTTTTGTGCTAAAATTTCCGGATTGTTTTCTTGTATTTTACCGATATCCGGTACATCAGGCCACTCCTGAGACCTTGAACGTCCTTCACGGGTTTTACGTGGACTCTTTCCGTTCTGCTGTGAATGATGATGTAAATTTTTATTAGCAACAGCATCACGATGCTGTTGGGCTATCGCTACTGCTTGTTTATCACTGGCTGTACGTTCTAATTGATTTAATTCGTGCTCTAATTTTGATACCTAATAAATAATTATTAAATAAAATTATTAATTATTATTAATAATTAATTATTTATATTTAATTTACTATTTATTAAGAAAATTTTGAATTTGAATTTGAATTTTTTTTATACTATCTAATATTAATTATTTTAATTATAATTATAATTACCTGAGAATGTAATTTTTTTCTCTGCGATAACGTTGCAGATATCTCTTTGAGTATATACTCAGGTGTAAGTACCGGAGGAGGATTTGAAATATTATTAGCATTATCATGACTACTGCTGTTGTTGTACTTATCATGAAGCTCTTGATGCCTGAGCGTTGCCAATCGCGTTTGTTCAGTCTCCATTGACGACACTTGAGCTTGTAATTTACTGGCTTTCGCTTGCAGTTGTTTATGCCTCAGTACGATTTCTTTAGCCTTTGCAAGCAAATCACCCGGTGAAGTGGCATTAATACCCAATTCCGTCATTCTTGCTTTTAATAATGCCACACTGTCATCAATCAATACCTTTATTTGTTTTTCTAATTGCGCTGCACGTGACTGTAATTTTGAATTACGTTCACGCTCCTTAGTCAGCTCGTCATTTACCGAGTCTTTGTATGCAGGCGTCCTTAATGAATCCAACATTGCCATAAATTGGTCCCTATATTATAATTTAAAAAAACAAAACAAAAAAAAAAAAAAACAACTATATAACATCAATTGTCATAAAAATAATTTTTGAAATGTTATTTACCTGTAATGATCGAGAAGAATTTGCAGTGCATAGGGAGTTGCAGCCGGTGCTGGAGGTATGCTAAGCTCTTCATGTACAGTTGTAGTATTAGCTTGCAATGACAATGACAACGAGGAAAGATGCTGTTCAACAGTACCAGGGGCTGGAGGTAGCTTTTTACCAATAGCTTGTGGTGATGTACTCAACAGTGTTTGACTGTGTAACAAATCTAGTCCAGAGATATTGATAGCTTTTTTGGTTTTAGCTTTCTTAACCGCTCCTCTACCTCGTTGTCTACCTCTTGTTGCTCGTGTGATACTACCAGTACTATTACTATTATTATTAGTAATATTACTAATATTATTAGCACCAGCACCAGTTTTTCTATTCAATTTTCTACGCATTTTCGAGGGTTGACGCCGTGTTTTAGTATCGTCCATATCTGAATCACTATTTGTACCAATTAATTCAGAATTATTGGGACTTTCAAGCTGCCGTGATAAATCTCTTTTGGCTCTATCTCCTCGCTCAGCTCTACTTGATATTCTACTACTATTGCTGGCAGTGTTACTTATCACAGAATCAGAGTTTTCAAGGTCTGGTCCGCCCATTCTATTGTTTTTAAGACGAAGAAAATAACGTTCTAATTTTGTTCGATCGATTACATGGAGGTAGTAAGATACTGGTTTCCCAGTCCAAGAGACAGATCCCTTTAAAGGTGTCATCTCCGAAACATGCATTATTGTTCCAATATCTTAAAAAAAAAAAAAAATAATAATAATTATTATTATTATTATTATAATGATATATATTTATTATTATTTTTAAAATTCTTACCACTGAGATTTCGGTCTGTAATACGAAAATTTAACGGGCAAAATGATTTAGATGATACAATTCGCGCTCCATCTCGTAAATCAGCAAAACGTTCTTTCAATTGATGATCTACCGTTGGACCGAATGCAAAATTATTTACAAAAACTATAGTTGCACTAGTAATACTCTCACGGTTTTCATCAGCTAAGAAATCCCCTTTTACTAAACGATACTCTCCACATCTTTTTCCGTACCAACTCAACCATTTTCGAAAATTCACTTCCATGCTCTGAAAAATAAAAAAAAAAAAAAAAAAAAAAAAAAAAAAAAAAAATTATTTAACAAATATTTAATAAATAAGTTTGAAATAAAAAATTAGAATATTATAATAACCTGCGCATAACGTGAAGGCACTTCAGCTTTTTCAACACCCAATGAAATTTTACAATAAGTCGCTGCAGCCATTTGCAAAACAACTTGACCAACACCAGATCCAAGGTCAATAAAAATATCGTCCTCAGTGACGTCTATTTGGTCAATCATTTGACAAACAAGCTCGTAGCTAGTTTCACCGTAAACTTCTGGGGAAAATGGTTCATATTGGTTCAATTTATCGGGCTCAACCACCGCTTGATTGTATGTTTGCTGTAATATGTGTCGAAGTAATCCTCTGCTAGGTCGTTTATTTAATCTCATTGATGGTAAACTCGTTCCTTTTTCCTAAATTAAATAATAAACATTATTTGTATTAAAATAAATTATTTTTTTTTGCAAAATTGAATTTTTTTAAACGTACCAGCTGCACTAGGCTGTCAATAGCTCGATTAAAACGATCACATAACCCCTTCATACTATCATAATCTCTGGTGTCATAATTTTGGAGAATATTATTCTCCAGTGGTAATTTTAGGTCCGGTAGATCATCACAGACCCATCTCATCGTTTCGACAACATCAATGGCTCCATCGTGACGATCCTGTAAACAATAATATTATTTTTTAATAAAAATATTTATATTAATTAATTAATATAATGATAATGTGATAAATAAATTGATAAGAAAATGAATTATTAATTGAAATGAGAACATGGATATGTCATTGGTATCAATGACATTTATTATGCGCTATACACAATGAAAATAACAATAATGATAATAATAGTAATAGTAATAATAATAATAATAATAATAATAATAATAATAAATTATTGTTATTTATAATATAAAATAAATAAAAATAAACTCACGGCGCCTGATCCAGAAGTGAGTGGCCACTGATAAACGATGGGCTCCGCTCCCGCTGGTGAGTGTAATCGCAACTCCATGATAATACTTCGAGGCACTGTGTTGTAATATTAATTTTCATGTAGAGTAACTTGGATTAAAGACATAAAACTTTAAATGGTGGTGTTGTGATGTAATCCTAAGCAACAATATAATTATAAATGTCGGTTGTTCACTAGGATGCCACAACCACGTAGACGACGCTCGCGGACCCCCCCCCGCTCGGCGATCGCTTTCCCCAACATCAAGCAGGAGTATGTAGTATGTAGCAGCAATATAGTATATAACACTTAATATATGTGAGAAAAAGACAGAGCAAAGTTGAGGCTCACCTGACTGACTATCAGTGTCCAAATTCTTCCCAAGTTTAACTACTAAAAATTGGATTTATTTTATAAACTATTGGTTTAATATATATTCCAGGGGGTAGGCCACACAACACAATAATAAAACAATATAAACAATTAAAAATACTAAGTACAACACCAAGTTTTAATGTCGAAAAACACCAGCAGAGGTTTTACTTTAGGGGGGGGATGACGACATCAAAACATGGCGTCATGCCTCTTTTCTGCCTGCGCCTCTCTATCCTCTTTCTCACTCTGGGTCACGTACTCACCTCTATTCTCTTGTCCGTTCTATTCCGTTACCATCTCCAACTCTACCACTCTACCTTGTTCTTTATTCTTATTTCCTTTTGCTCCTCCAAATGTCCAGTTCTACGCATGCGTTATAATACATATTATCTGCCAGCCATTGAACCTGCTGTCGCTGTTTTCGCGCTGTTGCTGCTGCTCTTTTACACCATCTTGTATCATATACACTGTTCTCTGTATACACTGCCTTTACACTGCTACACTCAACATTTATTATTATTAATTTTAAAGTGTGTTCAAGTGCCCCGTAAACGCACAGTATATACATGTATCTATCATACACAATGTGTATGCGTCATGATCCGGATACTCTTCTTCTATACTATACACTCGTTTAATCAACCTACATGTGCCTTCTGCTTGCTTTTGCCTACTTATATATTCCCACCTCTCGCAATATTTTTTTGCTTATACAGATTTTTTTAAACTCCAAATACTTATAAAGTAGCACAGGTGTTTATGTTTATGTTTATACACATATACCCATCTTTATGTCTTTATATTTTTAACTGCTACTATTATATATATTTCTAATAATAATAATAATAATAAATGTTATCTTTTTTTTTTTTTTTTTTTATTATTTAACAATTTAATAGATTTTACCGTTATTACCTTGGAGTCAATGGACATCTTATACTTGTCAAAAGAATAAATAAAATAAATAGCTTCCGTATACGTGACTATATGGACATTGTCAATGTTATTTCCGAAGTAAAACAACCGTTTTCATACATATATTTTTTTGACTTATCATTGTCATCAAGTCACGTAGTCAAGTGACCCAAGAAAAATTTTTGTTTAACTTTATCGTCAATTTTTTTATCATTAAAAAATATAAATAATAAAAACTATACACATACATACTAAATTAAATCAACAATTATTATTGTTCATTATCACATTAATGATTCCATTTACCTTTAATTTATATATTTAGACAATTGATTTTTAAAAATATAAATAAATAGATTTGTTTGAAAAGTATTCCAATCGCGCAATGCCCGATGGGAAACGTGTCAAGAGGCGTCGCGCGCTACGAGTGTATATTTATAATTTAAAATAAAAATTGCAGATGGCTCCACAGATGAATTATCTACTCCGATACTTACAAATAAATTTATAACCTCTTAATTTTAATAAATATATAAAAATGAATCAAGCTAAAGTTAATAATTTAGTGTCTCGATTAAATTATAAAGTACAAGATAAAAGAAGGCTCAAATCGTTCGATGGTCCTGAAGGTAGAGTAAGGAAAATACAAAAAACACTTACTGCTCTTTTAAAATATGAACGAATTGAATTGTACTATAATCGTGCTGATGAAGTTAGAGGCTACGCTGACCGGGTAAGTATAAATATTATTAATTTATTTTATTTATTTATTTATTTATTTATTTATTTATTTAGTTGGTCATTTAATTGTTTAGCTTATATCAGAAGCTATACGTCATGGACCAACTCATGCAGAGACAATGGAGATGGCCGATTATTGGATCCTAGAAAAGCAGTACGTTCACAAATTGTTCAAAGTTTTAGTACCAAGATACTCTGAATATTCAGGAACGTCATTTACTAAATTGCATAGGCTGCCTAAAGTATGGCCTGATGCCACATATTGGAATTCTGTTCTTGAATTAAAAGGTTTGTTTAGCTATTTCATTTTTAAATCTCACTATTTTATAATTAATATATTTTACACTTTGTATTTTCAGATAATCCTTTTCCGCGTCTAGACCAAATGAATCCGTTTCAGAGCAAATTAATTCACAATGTTTTGCTGGATGAAGCTAGAAAAGAATTCAGAATAAATAAATACAAAGAGTTTGCTGATAATCTTACTAATTAAATAGCTCGTAATTTCTGTTATCAAAAATTTTTTTATTAATAAATTCAATTATTTGTTGAATTTCAAGTTTAAGTATTTTATTAAATCATTTTGGTTGAAAATCATTGAGCGGGTAATGTTCACCGTACTCCTTTAAATGTTCTTCCATTGTTAGCATTTGTTTCCTAAAATTATTTAAAAATTAAAAAAAAAAAAACGTAGTTTATAATTAAATAAAAATAATTAAATCAATTACTCAATGTGAGGTGGCATGTCCTGATAAACATCAGAGAACAATTCTTTCCAGTGAGGCTTTGATTTTTTTTCACCGATAGCAAACTCTGTCATAAATTCTTTAAGCGTTGATTTCTGAAGCTCTGATTCTTTTTCATCATCCCACAGTCCAATGATATTTAAATATTCCCGAAATCTCAGGATAGGTGAATATTGATTCCATTTATTTATTTCCTCGATTGATCGATAAGCTGTACTGTCGTCTGATGTACTGTGATGACTTATACTATTTAAAAAAAAAAAAAAAAAAAAAAAAAAAAAATTAAAATTATACTCACAGCAAGAAGTAAAAAATCTTAAATAATTACCGATAAGTCATGGCTTCTATTAAAACTGGCTTTTTATTAGTAATACAATAATCCCTTGCAACTTTAGTAACGTGATGCATTGCGAGTATGTCATTACCATCAACTCGGACTGTATGAATTCCGTAGCCTGGCCCACGAGCTGCTATTCCATCACCTCGGTACTGTTCATTTGCTGGAGTCGATATTGCGTATCCATTATTACGGCTAAAATTCAAAAGTAATTAATAATTATAGTATTAATTATTAAATATTTATATTTTGTACCATATAAAAATAATTGGACAGTCTAGAGTAGCGGCAAAGTTAAAAGCTGGATGGGCATCCCCTTCACTGGCTCCTCCTTCACCAAAGTAACAAACGACACAAGCATCACGATTATTCAATTTAAGTGCGTAAGCAGCTCCTGATGCTAAATAAAATTTATTGCAGTTTCAATTATGAAAATATCAATAGGTAGTCGTTAAAAAAAAATACCTTGGGGCATTTGTGTGGTGAGAGGCGATGAAATAGTTACAAAATTTAATTCTTTAGAGCCATAGTGGATTGGCATTTGTCTTCCTTTACCAGGATCTTCACAATTGCTGTAACATTGATTTATAAATTGAGGATATCTATAACCACGCCACATTAACACTCCGGCTTCGCGATACTGCCCGTATACAATGTCATCCAATGTAAGAGCAGAAGCAGATCCAATCTGTATTGCTTCTTCTCCGGTGTTTGTCATGTAAAATGAAATTCGTCCTTGCCTTTGAGATTCATATAAAATTTTGTCCATTACCGAAATTCGTATCATGTCTCGGTACATTTTTAGCAATTTATCTTGATCCAGCTGGATCGGATGTGACGTTGAAAAAAATTTATATAAATAAATGGAAAGTTACTTTTGTAAAAAATAAATAAATACCTTAATCGGATAGTCGTTTTTAATTGAAGCAGATAAAATTCTGTAAATTGGAATCGTTTCATAATTTTCAGAGTTTATAAACTTGAGATCGTTTGTATATTTCGATTTAATCCCAATAAATTGCGGCTCTGATACAACACTTAGTTGTCTTTTCTAAAGTAAAAAAAAAATCTTTTAAATCAAGTTATTTATTAATTGTAAAATCAAGTAAACTTACAAATATTTTTAGTTGTGAAAATTTAAATATTGTAAAACGATTAAATGCCATCATTAGTAATTAATTTATGTTAAACACTTGGCCAATAGTCTTGTACACAACTCACTGGTGGAGTAACTGATAAGATTTATTTTATCGCTGGTACATTAGCACGAGAATTCATTAAAAAAACTTAAGAAACTGTACTAATAATAATAATAATAATAATAATAATAATAATAATAATTATAATAATACATATACTTAACATACATTTAATAATCTTTCTGATTAATATTACTTATTCATGCAAGCTTTGACTAAAAAAAGTTTTAACATATATCATATGTATACAAATGATTTTAATATTAAAAAAACAGTATAAATGATTTATTAATTTAAATAATATCTAATTAATAAAAAAAATTATTTTTTAAACGTTCAAAAAAATTTTATATCTGTCAATTTTTATTGAATGCAAGTATTATTCCATTTAAACAATTGTATTCTTGTTTGATTTTTAATTTTTATTAAATCTTTATTATTAGCAAATCAATATTTTATATTTTTATTTGATATGCAATAAAAATAAAATACTAATTTTTTATACATTATTTTTAATTTAAATATTACCGCTGGTAAATTGAAAAGAAAACACATATTTTTATATTTCGACGGACATATATAATCCGTCTGTGAGGCCATCTGCAATTTTTAATACAAACTATACACTGGCGGCAGCGCTTCTGTCTTGACAGATTTCCATCGCACATTGCATGATTAGAATACCTTCTTAACCCCGTTGATCACTTGTAAATATACTAAATTTTTATATTATTTATATTTTTAATTATTGTAAACCTGCAAGTGCCTGTAAAAACTTTTGTCAAGTCAAAAGATTCAATTACCTTTGTTATGTACTTTATAAATTCTTCTATCATCTTACACATTAGCAACGGAACCTGTTGAAATAGTATTATATATTGAAAGTTAAATAAAGTTAGTGTTTAATTTGATTTATCACCTATTTAAATGAAAACAACAAACTAGATTAATAAAATTTAATTATGTATTTTAGAATGAATAATAAAATAAAAACACCAGTCTCCATTTTACAAGAAATGATGGTGAAAAATGGAACAGTTCCTCATTATGAGCTGATTTATGACGGCGGTGGTACTCACGAGAATACATTTACGTATCAAGTTTCATGTCAAGGTTTGGTTGCCACCGGTACTGGCCGATGTAAAAAAGATGCTAAACATTTAGCAGCTAATAATATGTTGGAAACAATAGCCGCTGAAAATAATTATCCAGCCTTACCTCCGATACCTGACGATAAGTCGCCAGTTAAATTAATCCCACCTCCGCGTATTTCATCTGACGAGCCATTTGTTAATGCCATTGGTGAGCTGCAGGTAATTTTTATTTTTGTTTAATTATATTTTATTATTTTAAAGTTTATTCCGATAATTAATCACAACATTTACAGGATGTGTGTGCTGAAGTTGGATTACCAGACCCAATTTATGAAACAGTAGGCGATCAAGGCCCAGCTCACGCTAAAATATTTACAATTCACTGTAAAATATTTACATTGATTGAGGAAGGAACACAGACGACCAAAAAACACGCAAAACATTTAGCTGCAAGAAAAATGTGTGATCGTGTTAAAAATATGATCGAAAACACAGTAAACCTTCAGGAAATTATTAAAGCCGAGTTGGAAGAACACAACATGGATCCTGATTTAAATAATGAGATTGTTGCTGTCAACAATGATGATTTTTTTGACTTTTCAAAGTTATCTTTCTATTCAAAATCAAGTCTTGGCCTAAAACTATCTGAATTTCATACAAAATTGTTCATATCTAACGATGATATAACACGAGAGACTGTCATAAGTGAATTGGCGCAATTCTCTGAATATTATTTGAACGATGAGACCGACAACGATGACCCAGATTTTTATTCATACTTGAAGGAATTAAAAAATGTATTCAACGACGCTATCTCGCCGTTAAATGTTAGTGCAGTTGTTTATTCATTTCCAATGCGCTGTGAATCTAGTACGGATTGCACAATGACAATGGTTTTGAATTCAGTACCCGAATTAGTTGAATGTGTTGTTGGTAAATCAGAAGATAAAAAATTACTACAAAGTTTGTTTGTTCGTATTACAAAAACGTTAACACTGCTTTTAAGTAAATGTTAGTAATATTTTTTTAAACCAAAAAGAGGAGAGAAAGATAGTTTTTTTCTAAAAAAAAAAAAAAAAAAAAACTTTTATTATATGCTACTTTTTTGCGGCGTCATGTTTAGTTAATTGTTGGTAAAAACAAAATACTACTTGTTTTATGTCTCGCATGTAAATATTTATTTCATTATCGTGGATTGAAACGCTCAGTCACTGATACTGTTATAATTAGCAATTATTATTTAAGATTTGAAAAAATAGCACAGTTTTAACAAAGTTTAAATAGCATATATATATATATATATATACATTTTTTTTTTTATTATGTTCTTTGTTAACTTAATTATTGAGTGCTAAAATAATAATTTTTAAGAATGAAAAATAAAGATTGTTTTTTATAAATAATTATTATTTAATTATTTAATATCACAAAGAAGCGCTACTCCTCTTAGTGTCCAGTGTCTCGGATTATGATCGGTCTCAAAATCAATAGAGCCGACGTATTTCTGATCAGTACGTTGAGGTTTTCTATAAATAGGACACTCATACAACTTTGGATCTTTACCAGCAGTTGTGTTTATCGCGTAAATATATATCACAGGCATTTGTTCGTACAAAACTTTTGGTTTGCTTTCAACTAATTTTGAAGACTTTCGATCCAACGATGCGCCCTCGAGAAAGAGACCATGAACATAAACTCCTTCTTGAACTTGTTCTTTTATATCCTCTTTGTTGTAACGTGTAATTAAATTTTGTAGTACTACTGAATCTAACGCCCAGCCTTTGTGTGCTCGTGTTACTTCCTAAAATTTTTTAAAATTAATTATTTAATTAAAAAATATTAATTATAAATATTAACCTGACGCATTGCCGTTAAAAATCCTTGAGGATTAAAGAATCCCGTCATCCAAAAAACATTAGGTCTACCGTGAATACACCAGTGTCGGAATTGAGCATCACGTTCTAGTAATTCGGTATACCAAAACCCCAAAGTAGCGGATTCCCATGAAATTTTTTGCCATTTATCAGGAATTCTTGCGTCGTACATTGAATCAAGCGCTATCTTTAATCCTTGGCTCATTATTATCGTACCATCAATAGCCAATTTCAAGTCTGATAGTGTTGATTGTACTTCTCTGATAACTTTAGCCATTCTGTAATTATTAAATCATTAAATAGATAGTTAGTTAGTTAATAATAATAATAATAATAAATAAAAATAAATACCGATCAATTTCTTGTCTCAAGAAAATATTCATCGGTAATAATGCTCCCATTCGTTGTAAAGCGTCTCGAACTTGAAAACTATTGTACTGTTGAGGTAATTTTGAGAGCATATCATCGGCAAGCCTGTAAACAATATTCTCTCTGGTCTCACCACCCTGAGAACCACCTTCTTTTGGTTGTACATTGAGTATTGTATCGAGGATTCCTTTAGCCGTATTGATTTGATAAGTAATATCGGCATTTGAATGCAATCCAAATACCTCGGGAGTATCAGCTGGGGGTAAATTATTTATATACTCCATATATCCTTGGATATTTTTTGTTTGAGGCACTTTGTATCCCTTGTAAAATTCAAAACCCGGTCTCAAAAGTACATCACAAAACCAAACGTGAGTAAATGTCGTGAGAAGACGTTTATCAAAGTCATCAGTTACTCGTCCTCCGTACTGAACTTCACCGAGCATATAGCATATTGTTGACCAAGAGACACCTTTTTTGGGGTCCATATCATCCAAATGATTTTGTATAAATTGTACTGAAGCAGCAAAATCAGCTTGGTTAAATTCATACGGTATATTCCAACCGAGTGGCCCAAATTTTCTTCTCTCTTGGACTACTGTGTGTAAAAATGCAACTGCATAGAGCAAAGGAGGCCACTGAGGCTGTGTACTGTAGTCAAGTGTATCTTGTGTTACTCCTTGATACGTTCGTTTTAAACTGGCTCTTATTCCTTGTGGTGGTTCATTTGTAAATTTAATCGCCATCTAATAAAAAAAACAAACAATTTAATATAAATAAGTAAATGTTATTTTTATAATATCAATTAAACCTGTAATAATCCAATAGGAAATTGTGGATGAACTTCTGTTGTCATCCAAAGACGAAAAGAATCATGAAGGGTATCTGTTTCGATAAGTGTATCCATAGCTTCGCTACAAAATGGCAAAGAGAGATGAACATTTTGGAGTAATACCCAACCACCATCGCTCATAGCTTCGCTTATTAATTTTCTTGCATGAAATTCTTGCCCCTGACCCATTGAAACAGCTCTCAATGCTGTAAATATAATTTTATAAATAAAATTATTATAATTAAAAATAATAAATACATACGAGTAGTGGCTTTGAGCTTGGCAAGAGATGTTATTTGTGGAGATGGATCAGAACCAATAGATAGTATGCAAATTAAGGGAGTTCGTGGCTCTGATTCAAGCCAAGTTGCATCAAGATCTAAAATTTTAGCTTCACCGTAATCTTTACCCAATGATTCGATAATATATTTTTTAGCTTGTGACAGTGTTCGGTCAGGACTCCAAGATCTGATTAATAAAAGTTTTCGAAATACATCAAGACTCTTTTGATAACCACAGGGTAATTCTTCTTCTTCTGGTTTATCTTTTTCATACCAAATTTTCCATTCTCGTTCGGTGAATTCTATTTTGGTAAGAATTTCTGAAAATACTTCAAGCTTATTTATTTCAACTAAATTCAACCACGTAATATCGAGGATCCATCTAAATGGTTTAGGAATTACAGCGTTTAAATCCAAAGACGCACCGCCTTTAATAAAGGCCATAAATTCAACGTGAGAAATAGAACCTCGATAGCAATCAATCTTCATTGCCAACATCAGTGTAAATAACGACTTGTGTCTCTCGTATAAACTTCTCAATGTAAACGCCCACACTTCATAAGTCAGATGATTTAAAATAATTTCTATTCGTTCTGAAGTAATAGGACTTTTTGTTGATTTTGTTATTGCATTATCAAATATTGTTAAAAATTGTTTCAATGAATTTTGATACATCGCATTAACATTACTCATTTCAACAATAAGAAAATATAATATAGAGCCTCTGGCAGCAACAGCACGAAATTCTTCACGTGCTACTGTTATTTTCTTCTCTGTCAAAGCTGAAACTTGAAGTTTTTCATTGACAGACTCAGCAGTTGATTTAGTTTCTCTTAAAACATTTATCAGAGCCTCATCGTCAACCAATGAACCCTCTGATGATGTCAATCGGTGCAAAAGTGTACTCTCAAGTTCTTTCATAGTGCGCTGATTTGTCATAACTGATTCAAAAAGAGCAACCCGCTCAGCTTCAAGATCTGATTTTTCCATCAATATAACCCGACCGAGCAATTGATCTTCTAAACCCTGCATAGTAACGGTGAAATCAATAATAGACGTCTTGGCTGATATCTCTGGACTGTAAGCTGGATTAGGTAATTTAGTAGTGATATAAAGCATAAATCCTGGCATTACGTCACACTCTTTATCACCTACTATAACTTTTTCAATAGAACCAGATTTAATAAAATTTTTTTCCAAAACATTGTCTATAACTGGATCAAGTTCCTCGGCAATGTCTTCAATCAAGAGTGGTCGACCCAGTGATAAACTGTCCTCCAAGTGTGTTCGAAAATATTTATGATTCAATGATGTTATTTGTAATTCATTATTCATTTCTTTATTTTTTATCCACATTTTTCCTTGATTTTGAGGATCTACAAGCAATGGATAAGACGATGATTTAGTTACTACTAATGCATTTTGAACTGACAATTCATCGTTTGGTAAACCCTGAAGTGTCCATTCAGATACAGTAGCCGAGTCAACCAACATATTTATAATATTTAAATCTTTGGTAAAGGGAATTTTACGAGTCATTAAAATATTCATCCAAGAAGTAACCAATCCAGCTCGATATTGTTGATTGTAAGGTCCGCAATATGACAAAAATCCAGTTGCCAATAAAACATCACCTACGAGTTTGCCAAGTTGAATTTTAAATTCCCCACTTTGTTCGGTCCATCGTATTTTTTCTCCTCCCAAACCATTTATCAGAGCCGTTGCTGCTGTCATTTTTCTTAAACATACATTAGCAGCTTCTGTTAATCTTTGCTTTTCATAAACCGCCGAATCATATTGCTCTTTAACAGCTTGAAGTGCCATTTCTCGTTCAGATAATTCTCTTTCAGCATTAGCTAAATCCTCCATAGCAACTTTAAGACGTGCTTCCTGCAATGTAAGATTAACTTTTAGGGGTAATACTTCTTTATTAACAGAGTGAAAAAAAGCCATGGCCTTTGTCCAAGATAATAAACCAGCTACATCACCACAAACACGTCTTGCTGTTTCCATATTATAGTCCTCCATATGAAAATACGGCTGGAGTAATTCAACCATCTCATTATTGATAATATCTTTTGGATAATTTTGTAATTGTAATAAAAACGTTGTACTAGCCATCATTTTAAGTGACTCTGTCCAAGAGGGCTTTGGACATTGATTCGCTGGGTCTGGTATTACTGGACTTATTTTACGTTGAAATAATATCAATACACAGTCCATTATTCTCATTATCAAATGAGGTGGTCTTCCTAATTTTCTAACAGTTGCAATATGGGCAGGTTTAATAGTATTTAAAGCAGCTTCAGCTTCTTCCAATGCAGGTTTAGCAGCTTCAAGTTTTTGTTCAGCCCAAGCTTTTTCTTCAGCAATACAAGCAACAAGAGCCTCGGCTTTTTCTTTAACTTTTTGAACTTGATTTTTAAATGTTTCAGCTTGCATAGCTCGCTCAGTAACTTCTAATAATACAGTTTCGGCTTTTTCAGAAGCTGTTACCAATTCTTGCTCCATAACAGCAAGATCTTTTTTCAATAATTCAACCGATATTGAAGCCTCTTCCAATTTAGCAAGACCTGTATCCATTCTACGTGCTCCTTCACCAAGTTCATGCTGTTTAGCACGATATATATTTTTATATCCACCGATAAAATTTAAATAAGACTTTGGAGTAACGTGAGTAGCTCTGCGAAATCTTTGAAAATATTCATTTGATGTTTCTGCTACAACATCTTGAATAGATCCCAGGGCATTTACCAAGTGAATTTTGACCTCTGTGCTGCATGCTATTTCGAAATCATGTAGAAAATGATCTGCTACCAGTACTAGAGCGTCACGTGGCCAAGGCTGAAACCAATCAATTGTACATCCAGATATCAAAGCCGGAAATCTTTGCGCACGATTTCGAAATTTTTCTCCTACTGGTGAAAAACAAAAAACAACATGCAAATTTTGACAAGTTCTTTGTAAAAAAAAATCCATAACAAGCTCATTATTAATTGTCCTCTTTGGATTTTCACGTTTCATTATTGGCGTTAATTCAGATATTATTTCCGCCTGTTCATCACGTGTAAATAAATTACTGATAACACCAGAGCTCAGTATATTGTTTAAATACTCTAGGAAACCTTCCTCTTTAATGTCCAAATCTGTAAAAATGAATGTCGTGCCCTTGCCTTGACTTCCGCACGATCGATAGAGAAACTTTAAATCTTCCAAGAAATTCGCAACATTGTAAGATCTCGTAAGAGTTATTTGAAATGTTTTATAACCGGCAATAAATGATGATAATTTTGTTAAACTCTGTTTACCTGATCCACCAACACCAACAAGCATAACATTACCACGGGGATGTCTTATTACACGAGATATTTTAACCAAATGTAACATTGCATCGGGAAAAAATACAAGATCCATTCCAGCGCCTCGTTGCATTTCATTAAATTGTGACAAAAACATTTCCAAACGATCCCGTAAAATTTGATCATCAAATACAGGCTCGTATACTTTTGGTAATTCCATATCAGCATCTTCACCTTCTTCTCCGGTAGGCTCTGGAGCGTCTCTCATAAAATCAACAAAAGCCGGATTTTGTTTTAACATTTCAGTGTATGATTCACCTAAATATTCATTAACAACACAAACTAATTCTTCTTCAAACCATTTTTTATCAGACAGCATGGTTAAACGATCGCTAAATACTCGGGTACATTCATGCTTCCACAGTAGCATCAAAAAATTTTCTTTTTCAATAACAGTTGACAGAGTACCAATCATACCCTGCCAAATTCTCGAAAGGTCCCGAAGACTGAATACATAGTGAAATTTAGCAGGAGTTGGTAATAATTTAGCCCGAGTTCTCTGCCACAAATGCCTCGTGAGAGGAATCATTTTTTTAACAAGAGCTCTTATTTCTGTTGAAAAACCTCTTTTAGAATTATAGTGCCCTTCACCGAGTACACTGAAAATTTTATCGATTGAAGTGTCATTCGGTAAAGTGCAATTAAAAATACAAAACTGTCTTTTTAAACGAGACGGAATGTCATTTCTTCCACCACCTGGTTGGCTCATTGCCCCGAAGAATGTCATGTCAACGATCATTGTAAAATCACCGGGTTTTTCAAGGGAATAGAACCCCTTCATATCCATCGCTTGTCTCACTATTTCATTGGTAATCTGATCGCCCCATTCATTTATTTGAGGCAAATTAATATCATCAACAAATACCAACATTTTTTTACCACCTGGAGGACCAAATGTATTACCCATTCGTTTTTCAACATAACTTTCAATAGTTTTTTGAAACTGATAAGGCGTAGTTGCCGAACTAAAATTAAATGATCTAACAAGAGTAGTGTCAGGGTTGGTTCCTTTCATATAAGACTTCATCATAACTGTTTTTGCTGAACCTTGTTCTCCAATCAATAAAACTGGCTTATCTTGACGTCCTATTAAATCAATAAGATACTGAATTTGTACATTGTCAACAATAGGCACCAAAATACTATTATAATCCGGTGTTGCGTAATCTGGATAAATGTAATTAGTTACCATATTACTCCAAGTATCCCATTTTCCTTTATCATTAACCATAAAGTCAAATGTCGTTGCATTAGGATACTTTTCAGACATTGGAAGATCTAAATATTCAAAATTACCTCGTAAATAATTGTCAAATTTAATTCTATCTGCTGTTTCAAGTAAAGCACCTATTCCCCAAACCAAAGAAAATACGTAAAATTTTTTTAAATGCTCCGCAGTTAACGGCTGAGGTTTGTCTTTTTCAAAATCATCCTCGTCTTCATTTTCTTCCAAAGGAATTACTGATGGAATTAATCCTTGTAAAATAAATAACATTTGCTGTATAATATTACACTGGAGTACTTTAATAGCAAGAACAAGTGTTTGTGTACTCCAGGAATAAATAGCTGGAAATGATTCATCAAAAGTTTTCTCCAAGACTTGTTGCTCCAAAGAGGTTCTTGTTTTTAACCATGCAGTCACCACGGGTTTCCAATCTAAACCCGACGAGCTCATATACACCATTCCATTTCTTGATACCGTAGCAGGACTTGCGTTATCAATATTGTGTGGCTCAAATATTATTTTACAAGTTGGTGCCATACTCAAACGATCACCATTAGCCAAAGTTAATGTTTTGTTGTCATCCAATACAGAATTTAAATTTTCAATCCATATACTGTCAACAGGACCATCAAGTACCAACCAAACGTGTTCATCTTTTTTTAATTTTAAAGTTTTACGCCACAAAGCTGAAAATATTCCGTCAGTCCAATCATTGGTAGCAACATCTAGCCTTCCAAACATTTGTGCTGCTGTTATACTTTTTGGATTCATTCTCATTTCTCTGTGGTACTCTCCTAATTGCGACAAAGCTTTCATAAGTATTTGAATGCAAGTTGTTTTACCAGCCCCAGAAGGACCCAGTGTCATTATTCCATGACGGACTCGTTGAGTTTCGTACAATTGAATGAGCTTCAATACCCACGGAGGATGATATATAAGCCCAGACTCTTTGACTTGCTGATCAATAGCTGTCTCCAACTCGGGATAAGCCGTTTTTTCTAAAACTTGATTGGGAAACAAATCAGCAACCAGTGAAATAAACAGTGGCTCATCTTCGTCGATAAGTTTTGATAAATTCATATCTCTCAGCACCCGCATTACAATAGTACTCTCGGTGTCTTTTGAATTAGTCCGTTTAGCGGCTCCCAAAGTTCTCAATACTGACAAAATATTTCTCAAACCAAAATCATAGTGGACTTGTTTTGTAAGCTGTTCCTCGCATAATTTGTAAAGTGTATAAAATTTACGGGCAAGTGTTATATTCTCTAAAAAACCACAGCTGGCAAGCTTTACTCGAATAATTATTTGCCGATCGGGTACCATCATCGCTACTGTTCTAAATTGGATTTTTAAATTTTCAGGTAGTTCTTTTCGTCCAGCGTATCCAGGATTCATAGTTATAAATATACCTAATTCGGGACACATTTCAATTTGATCTCCGTCAGTAAATACAAATTGTTTCTTTTTCTCCTTTTTAGCAGCCAGTACAACGGCAACCTGCTGAGCAGCAACAGAAAGTACTGGTAATTCAATTCGATTAAATTCATCAAAGCACCCCCAACTTCCACTTTGAGCGAGACCCTTGTAAATACGCCCCAGTCCACGATAATCCATTTGATCAGAGCAATTAAATACAACAACGTACTTGGCCAATGTTTTACCCATGTCTTTAACTGTTTCTGTTTTTCCAGTCCCCGCTGGACCACAAGGAGATCCTCCCATTGACATTGACAGTGCTTGAGCTAGAGTTATGTAACATCTAAAAATAATTAACAATCAATAAATAATTTTTATAAAAATAATATTTTAGATAAAAAAAAAAAAAAAAAAAAAAATTAATACCTGTCAGTGAGAGGTGTAATTACCAAACGTTCAGTACAACCGAGATATTCATTTTGATAAATAAATTGTACATCTGTTATATGGATCGTAGTTTTATCAAGATCCTCTTTAAAATAAAAACGACACTGCTTCAACCACTCAAAATCTGTGACTGTTCGAACATTTAAGCGACACTAAAATTATTATTTTATTTATTTATTTATTTGTACTAATGTTTTTATTATTATTATGTATAAAATTACAGACCATCATGTCAAAAATATCACGTTGATGTACGTGAATAGTAATCAAAGTTTCAAATTTAGTTCGATCTATTTTAGCTAAATCTCTGGTCGTTTGATCAATAAGAGTATTTAAAAGTTCAAGAAATCTATTGTTTGTTTCACCCATTATTTTTTTATCAGCTCGTGCTTGCATAAGAGCCAATTCAGCGTCTCTTGTCCAAATCATCTGAATGCCAAGTATACCAACTTGTGCTGGCATTTTATCCAAAAATGACAGCAAATTAAAATTTTGATCATTCATCATGGTGTTTGCTGTCCGAATAATCGAGTGTAAAGACTGCTGTGATGTTTGAAGAAGCTGCATCAGCCAAGTCTCAACAGATCCCTCTGCTCTGACAGCTCTTTCAAGGACTATCGTCTCTCCCTCAGATGAAATTATTGCCGTCATTTTATTGTACTCTATATCGTGAAATTTAACAAATCTAGTATTGTCAAATATAGACAGCAGATGATTTTGAATAGTGTGAGAGTCTGAAGCTTGGCCCAAAATTTCTAAAAGAGCTGGATCAGATACAAAAAAAAATCTTGGAAACATCATACGCTTTTTTTCCAAATAACCACTCAGAGATTTTTGACACAGTTCCAGCTGTTCTTGTAAGTGCGGCAACAATTGTTTTAGTAAATCATCTCCAACACAGCAAGGAACAACTCCAGGAGTTTCGTGAGCTCTCTGCATTATTTTTTGCCAACTTTTGTCTATTTTACTGAATCTTTTAGCTTCTTTTGGTAATTGTTTAGCAATGTCACCGCCCACAAAGACTGCTTCTAAATAGACCCACATATTTTGGACGAGTAACCATCGCTCCAAAATTTCATTGGTATTTGACAAATCAGTGAGCCATTGTTGAATTTGTTTTCGAAAAGGCGCATTGTATCTGTTTGACATAAGAGAACCCAAAATCATAAGACTGTCTTCCAATTGACCAATTGTTTCAGCTGTAGTATCACCCCGAAGCAATAATTCTCCCCGATTATTAAAAGTCATGAATGTTAATTCGTGTGAGGACCATTCATTGACAACTTGTCGTAATTTAGCCTCAATATCTTTTTCTTTCATCGCTGAAATACAAATATCTTCAATATCTTCTTTATATTTTAATAACGGAGCCTCTAAAATATTTTTCAAACAAAATCCCTCGCTTTCCAAGTCAAATGTGTAGCCAGTGACCTCAATAATTCGCTGCCAATGACGCGGTTTCATGGCTTTATTGGCCATCAACTCCAATAGAGGACACATGTCATTAAAATCATCGATTGTCTTCTTTAGAGCAAAAAACGCCGGCCATTCTTTTAATCCCTTTGGTAATTTACGGCATCGATTTTGGAATTCCATTAACTCGTTATTTATATCTTCAATATTAACTTCACCCCACGGTATATCGTAATAACTGCTGACACGATCAATAACATCATTGTACAATTTATATAGTTTCTGAAGTAAATTCAATTCCTTTCTTATTTGAGATAACTCGGGATAATCTGTTATTGGTAAACCAAATAATTCTTCGCCACTCTGATAAGTTTGTAATTTACGCCACATTCCGTCAAATCGATTTTGGAAAAGTATTTGCCGATCTGAAGCTTCACGCGGTGTAAGACCGGTTTGCATTGGCCCAGACAATCTATATTCCTCGCAGTAGGCTTCATTATCACGGCGAAATTTATCTAAATTATATCTGAGTTCCTCTTCAAACTGGGGCTGGAGTTTTAAGAGTAAAACGTGACTCTCTTGAGCTCGGGCTAGAAGATTTAACCACGTAAATCTCAAATTGTCGACTTGTTCCAGACACTCTTGATCGACAGGAACTTCATAACGAATTACGATATTAAAGGCCTCTTCAATCGGGTCTATTTTCAACTCCATGTCTACCTCTTGCTCTCGTATTTTTTTAAGGGTATCCATTACCAGTCTTACGTCATCTAAATCACGTATTTGACGATCTAATTTTCGATCCATTTCATTTATTACCGCATAAACATACTCCATTTCTCGCCGGTATTTTTTCTTCATAGCTTGACCAATTTTATAAGTTGAATCTTTTAAAATTCAAAAATTAACATTAACAAGCATAACAATTGTTATATTTTTATTATTATAACTTACTTTTTATTTCAGTAGCCAAAGCGTATTTTAATTTTTCAGTACATAAAGCAATAGAAATTCCTAAATAGGACATGTCTGATTCCGTAGATAATTTATCTTCAAGCTCACTGTGTTTACGCAAAGTATTTTCAAAGTTAGACAACGTTGAATTTAATAATTCACGCATACTTTTTTCATTTTTCCACAAGTACTTGTATGGAGTCCATTGCTCTAAGAATGCCGCAAGATCCTGAAAAATAATCAATTATGAATTTTTATGATTAAATAACATTTAAAAAAAAAAATATATATATATATAAAACCTGTCCAAGTTCTTGAGTACAAGTGCTCAACATTGACAAAACTTTAATTATTTCTTTATTTTCCATCACTAGAGCATGAAAATTACGATTTTGAACGGGAAACTCTGGTCGTTCTTCAGACACAGTTTTATAAAGTCTTCTTCTACGAACTTTAGGATCTTCTGGTTCATCATCACGGCGTCTTTCGGCAACTATTTGAGCTCTCATAACAACGTCCAATAAATTTTTCTTAGGAGCCAACGATGTAGACTTCCACGTGCTCTTCAGAGCAAATATTAATTAATTTTTAATTTTTAATTTTTAATATAATAAATGAAGAATAATAAAAAAAAAAATTACCTTACTAGTTGCAGCAGTCCACTGAGCGACGCCCTTGGCGACTCCAGCGATAGCTTTACCCGCGATAGTCAGGGCTTCTTGAACTTGCTCGAGGCTGGGCTTTATAACGACCGACGGAATCATCAAAGTCGCTTGTATAAGAAATACCGGACGTGTTACATTCTCTGGATCAAATTCCCGGAGAAATTTTTTTCTAATAGTGTCCAGAGAAGTTCTAGTAACTTTTATAAGAACATCAACGATTTTTCGTGAATAATAGCGTCGCATTTCTGAAACGGCATTGCGGACCATGTCCTGCATATTTTTGGAAAGACCAACTCCGGTGGTGGATAACAACTGATGAGGATCATCAAAGCAAGCCCAAACTACCGTCCAATCCTGGGGTTGAACAGCTTCTCCGTTGGCCTCTTCATCACCAGTAAATCCTTCATCGCCTCCCAAATCATACTGGTCAGGTTCATTATTTTTGAAATTATCTGCAGCATTTTTCACCAGCTGTAAAACTTCTTCCACGGCTTCTTCGACCATGAGACTTCGCCTGTGAAGATCGATAGCTGCTACACGACACGCTTCATTTGTTTTTTCTAAAAACTCCTCAATACTCCAGGGATCCTCCTCCGGTAGAGCATGTAGAGTTATTTTCTGCATACTGGCCAACACCTGAAGAATCCTATTGGAGTAAACATCGTGTACTCGCGTTATCAGTACATCAAAAGATTTTATTTCTTCCCTCGTAAACTGGCAGAACTCTTTCCAACCGGGTTTTGTCCAGGTCAGTGTTTTTAGTCCAGGCATAAGCAACGAAGACAGTCGCACTAAATGCGGTAGCAACAGTGGTCTCACTTCTAATTTAACACGTCGGGCTGTTGAAACAAATTCTTCAATTACTAATTGTAAAAAATTGTGTACTACAGTGAAGTAATCCTGTTTTACGAGGATCGTTAACGCCACTATCGGTATATCTAATTTTAATTTAGCCAAACAATCAGCTTCACGGAGTAAAAGAGTTATACGATTCTCTAAATTCACTTGAACTTTATTCGTTTCTTTGTCCATCACCAGCAGTGGCCTAAAAATACAATCTTAGTTGTAAAAAATAAAAATATTGAATGAAAATAATAACAGTTACTTGTTTAAGCAGTCTTCAATAACCCAAGAGTTTTGATGGGTCCAAACTTCAGTAATATCCATTTGATATTGAAGTAAAACAGTAACAGCATGATTATATCTTCTCACTAAATCAGCAGTAAGTGGCAAAGTTCTCAAAACAGGATGATTTGATACTGAGGCTGTCAATTCATTTAAATGCATTCTTAAACATAAATTATAATTTATTTATTATTATTATTCTTCTTATAGTTATAATAAGTTAATAAATGAATATATTATTACTTGAGAGCATGTGCCCAAGTTAATCGACCCGCAATAGGTGGCATGTGTCTCGGTAAAGGCGGGTCATCTCTTTGTTTTTTGAAGAGCTTCAAGGTTCGTTCGACTTCCTTATCGCAGTATCTAACCACCAAATTGTATTTTTCATCCAATTTAGTCAGAGGAATTTTTTCACTAATTTTTTCAAATCTCGTGAGAAATCTTATGCCTTGTGGTGTCTCCCACACATCCGCATAATTTTTTTCAATAATCCCACCGATATTTTCTTTCAAGGCGTTTGTCTTTGACATAAATACGTCGTAATCTCTATCAAACTCAGTGTTACGAGGGTCTAGATAGTCGTAAGATTTATTGGTTGCAATTTTTTTGGCCTCTTCAAAGGACTTTGTTGCTTCTTCCAAAGCTTTATCGAATTTATAAATGTAAATTTATGCTTTCCTACTGTAATAATAGTATATAAATAAAAAGTTACCTTCTCCTAAAAGTAAACCTTCCATTCGTCGAGCGAATAAATTTTGATAATCGTCAATTAAATCAAACATTGCTAAAATTTTTCTAATCCTCGAGCAAAATGAGTCGAATCTTCCAAAGACGTGAGTTTCAGAAAATGAAAATTCTTGTTCGGTAACAGCCGGTGAACATCTGACTAGTCTGTATGTTTCTCTGTACGCTCTGCCAATTAAAATTTTTGTTAAAATTTTTAAATAATACATTATTAAAAAAAAAAAAAAAATTACTTATTTAATCTGAGACAGTGTTTGAGTCTGGAGCGCGCGGAACTTCTATCGAGATTCCAAACAGTTTCACGTCCTCTCTGAGTAACATAATCCCTACAGGCGACAATCATTTGATTAGTTATCTTTACCATTAGTGAGGAAGTTCTTTCAGAAGTATTGTAATATCTCGAAACACTGTAGATAAGTCTTACAGTTTGTAAAAGAGACACCAATGATTCTCTCATTCTTACCTGCGTAAATAATAAAATATAAATAAACAAACCCTAAAAATTATTTATCTAAGACTATTAACTATAAAAATAAATTACTGGATCATCAAGATACAGACAATGACAGCATTTTTCCAAAGCTTGAATAAATTTAGCATTATCTTTGGCCTCACTGTAACAGTAAGTAACTTCATCCTCGGCGTCAACCCACTCTTTTATTAATTTAGACCTTGCCACTTGCAAACATAACAACGACATTTTCACTTCATGATCCTGAGGTAAGTTACAAATGATATTAATTATTAATTATTAAAATAAAATCGAAAAATCGAACCTGCAGTTTGGTAGCGAGTTGACTAAACTGAGCACCGCGTCTTTTCCAGTACTCCAATTCCTGTTGCGGACCGGAGGAATCATTTTCTCTTCTAACCTGTTTGCTTTCTAGAATAAAATCTTTCAACTTTTTGATCCACAACTTTACGCGTTCCTCGATCCTCTCGACGACTCCTTCTTTGACGAGAAAAGCTTTTGCTTTTTCAAAATTGTCAATCTCGTCCATCATAGTTTCTCCGTCGTCGAAAATATTCCCCTCGAGAGCTACTTGTTCGCACACTTTAAATTTACGAATAAATTATAATATTTATTAGTAATAATTTGAATAATAATTAATGAATCACCTTTTAAGGCACTACAAAAAGAGCGAAGTCCAGGTAATAAGAGACTCTTAATCATAGGACAGTCGTCTTCGTCTTCGCCTCCAGGATGAGCAAGCGCGTCCATAAAAACTTGCTCGACAACTCTTTGAATAGACGCGAGGATGCTCACTTTAGCAGTATCTATTACGCCAGTGTATAAATCTTTTTGGAAGCCTTCCTCCGGCAGTTGTTTCGCTGTATTTATTCTGTTTGTATAATTATTTATTATTATTATTATTATTGAAAAAAAAAAGATTCCAGATTTCCAGAGAGAATAAAACAAACCGGAACATGTAGATACAGACACCAGTGCAAGGAGTTTGCCAGCCATCGGTCAAAAATAATTTTTTTTTCGGCGGTTCTTTGGGTTCCTTGGGTTCCTTGGCTTTGTTCGAAGGCGCGTTGACTGGCGCTCTAGATGTACCTTTTATCACTTGTCCCTAATTCCAAAAGTCTCACATAAAAATAAATTTAAATAGGAAAAAAAAATGATAAATAATTAAAAAAAAATACAGTTTCAAGGGGTCGCAGAATTTCTGGCTCGTCAACGACTTGGTAGTACCAAACTAGGGTTGACCTCATGTGTGGCAAAAATAATTGGTTGATTTCATCAAGCATATCTCCCTCGAATACGTGATCCATCGCCTCGTGACGCAGCAAACCGGTTCCATCCATCAGGAGCTGGAAGACAAACTCCAGCCGCGGATCCATCTCTCCTCTTCTCGCTTTTCTCTCGCATTCTTCCCGGCGTTTCTGCGTCACCCAAACAAACAATCGTCAATACTATTTACTTTTAATATTTTAAATAATAATAATAATAATAATAATAATAATAATAATAATGCCTGAATAGTTTCATCACTGAGTTCATCATCCTCGCTAATGTCTTCAGATAAATCAGATCTATCAACATTGGCTCTTGGACCGTGAACAAACATAATAATAAAGAAATAATAATTTGAGAGTTGGGGTTCCCGCAATCAAACTGGCTGGCGTAAGACTGGAAGGTGTTGTGCTGGCAAAGCCTGATATCCAGCCAACACCTCGGTGGTGAGGTAAACAGAGGCAAAGAGAGGTAAATACATTGGTGAGATACACTGCACGTTCTGTCGGTACCAGGTTGAACCTATCTCACGCTCTCACGGATATAGACACGTTCCTTATTACTTTTCACACTATACTCTACTACTTGTATAATAATAATAATAATAATAATAATAATAAACCTTTTTTTTTTTTTTTAATATTTTCTTTTTTCATTTTATAGTCTATTAAATTTATCGTGTAATCTCTTGCCCAGAATTTTATGTCCCCCGACTAATGGACTAAAATAATGATTTTATGGTTTTAATGATAACTCGACAGAGTTGTAAAACAAGTTAATATAATTAGAAGGTGTCTGAATCTTCCTGATTCCTGATTGATGATTCGTAATGATATTATCATTATCACCTCATGCACGGATGGGATTGTATACGTATATTTTCTTTTTATTACTCTCTCTCCCTATTTAGAGGATATTATCTAAATCGAAAATCGAAAAATGAGCATGCGATCCCCGACAATTATTTTAAAAATTTACAAGTGTAATATTAAATAGCGCGTACTGGTTCAAGGGGTGGTACCTGCACCAATAAAATAACTTATTTATTGACTTATATGTCGCGTGAGAAAATCCTCTTTATTTTGATAAAATGTCACCTATCACTTGACGAAAAACGACCTCAATAAAAAATGCCAAATAATATTAATGATTTATATTTATTTTTCTTACTCGCGCCTCGTCTTCGGCGTCATCCATATTTGTTTTCTTGATTTTTATTTATTATTTATATAAACGAAGAATTCACTTGGACCATGCAACTATCACTGTAATAAGACAATAACTAACTGATTTCTTTTCGTTATTCGAAATATACAGTATATAGCAGAGGGTAACTCTGCTGATGTCTCCAGACATGCTCAATGTACCGTTAACAGCCCAATAATGTTCTCCATTTGCGACATCAATTGGTATACAGTCTCAAGATTACTTATATCCAGTAAAATATTAATATTGATTACAGTTTGTTGTTGTTTATACTGTTGAAGCTTAAAAAGCAATAAAAATAAATCTATTTTAAATAATATAAGCTGAAAGAAAATTATTTTTGTTGTTAGGGAAGATATATTGTTTTAGTATAGAGAAGGAGAGTAGGAGAGTTTAAGTAGTATTATCGACTTGCTTTGTGGTTTTTAAAACAATGTAAGTGGTGCCAGTCAGCGGCAGGTCAGACCTCCCCTTTCTCCTCTTTATCCCTGCCATAAAATTTATCAACTGACGAGGCCAATCTCTGTTTAGTCTAGTCTAGCAGTCTTTTTTTCTTTTTTTCTATTTTATAAATAAAATAGACTGGTGGAAAATCTTTTGATAGTCTTCCTTTTAAATTCATGCATGAAAAATTATGATTGGTGTTAGAGGACAATGAGGAAGGAAGAAAAAAAATTCATAAACAACCAACACATTTTTTTTTTTTTTTTTTCCAATCTGCGCTTTCGCTGTTTATTAATAGACTTTGCGCTAATCTATATGCTCTAAGACAAATTCAATCTCTGACAAAAGTGAATCCGGTGGTTTAATCATAATCCTGTTTAACAGCCTTACCCTGCAGTTTCTACACAATCCAGTGCTTCCGAAAACATTTATCCTCTAAATTTTTGTTTTTCTTTTCTTATCTTTTTTTTTTTTTTTCTTTTAAAGTTCTTTTATATGTTATCATTATTAATATTATTAGTTAATTATTAATAAATTTAATTCTTATTTAAATTATTAATTAATATAACAGCACGCATATATGTAATAATTATAATCAATTACGTTAAAAAACTAGTACAAAACTAGTGACTAAGTACAAAAATTTAAAGAATATTATAATGATGGAAGTCATTCGAGAAACTGTCAGGGACTTTTAATCACAATCGTTATCATTATTGTAATTATATCAACATTCATTGTCTTACAATTTTTTCTAGATAATGTATTTTATTAAAAGCTTTTTATTATTTCTTTTTTTTTTTTACTTTTTTTAATATTTTTTTTATTTTTTTTTTTTTTATTTATTTCTTTCTTTGTTAATAATCAATTGTATTGAAATTAAAATTGATTGTATCCTACCCTCCGACTCTCAGAATTAAATTTTCTAATAAATAGCTTTAGTTATTTATTAATAAGTATTAAATGCAAGTATCGCTGACAATTATTTAATACTGCTATGTTTGGCGACACAAGAGAGACTAAATTTTAAATTGTAATAATTGTCTCATAGATAAATATTTAATAAAGAGGTTTAATAAGTATATAGTATTTAATAACAACCAATTATTAGTTTTTTCTTTTCCTTTTCTTTTTCTTTCTTTTTTTTTTTTTTGGTTTAAAATTTAATTTTGATTCTAATAAAAATATAAAATTAAAATTTCAATCATCTATAAATCGACCGATGACAATAATAATAATAATAATAATAATAAACACTATATATAATAAAAACTCTAAAAAATTTTAAAATTATTTTTAATATTTAAATATGTATAATTATAATAATCCGATCAGAACTAAAATCACGAACCTTGATGGCAATGTGGCAGTCCTGCTTCCACTAATAACTTTTTATTAATTAATTAATATATATTTAGTAATATAGAGTATGTTTATGTAAATGGTTAATACCTAGCACTATATAATAATAATAATAATAATAATAATAATAATAATAATAATAATATTATTTACGAATCGAGGCAATTATTTATTTGGATTCCAGCCAGCTACGCATTGCCAGAAAAATTCATCTATATATCGATGATACACAGTGTGTAAATATCAATAGTTTACTTGTTAAATATATCCAAGTTTATAATTTTAAAAAGTTTGATTAGCTTTTATTTTATTTTTTCTACGAATAGTTAAAGTTTAAATGTTGGGCTGCCTATATGCAATCGATATATTTTATAATTTAATAATAATTATCTTTCGGTGAATTACATTCGACATAGCGAAAAAACTAATATAGATATTTAAAAAACAAAATAAAATAACAAACTATTTATTTATTGAGAGTCGGGGGTGCTTTCGAAGAAGGGTTAGTTGTTGTTTTTATTATTATGATAGTTTTTCATTTGACTCAATTTCTTGATTAAACACTTTTTTTTTTTTTTTTTTTTTTTTTTTTTTTTCATTTGTATAGATCGGTAAAAATCTCTTTGTAAATTTATTTATCCATTAGTTTTTCGTAGAGATATTTTTTTTTTTCTTTTTAAGTATTATTGTTGGGTCTTGCGACTGTTGTTGATTGCGCTACGCATTAAATTTTCCATTTAACACCATTCATGATTTAAAAAAAATCATTTTCCATAATTATTATTACTATTATTATCATTATTATAATTAGATAATAATAACAAGTGTTACTGAGATGACCATCAGTATTATTTTGAATAGAGTAACGTCTATTACTCGGCTTCACTCTTGCATAATAATATAACTAGTTTTTCTATGTATTCATATTAACCTTTACCATACAATATTATTATATTTAATATATATGAATGCTAAGATTAATATTATTTTAGTTACATAATTACGAGAAATCTAATGTTAGATATAAACCCATGCACACTCAGCTTATTTGATAAACTTTAATAATAATAATTTACTCGTGGGTAAAAGTTAGCCAAGCTGCTTTAATAGTTTTAGTTTTAGTAAATAAATACTTATAAACTATATAAATCGTTAATCGTTAATCATTATTTATCATTATTCCTTATGGTTAATGTTTATAGATCTTAAATACTTATAATACTCGTTTTTATGTAAAATGAACAATTGTTGTTGTTGTTGTTTTTAATACTCATCGAAGTTGCATTTGTCTTATAGTTAATTAGTTAGTTAGTTATATAGATTAATAATTGAATATATATTATAGTATATATATATATATATAGTTAATTAATTCATGCATAATTATATTGACTGATTAATATTATCAGAACAAGTATATATATTTTAATTAATTAATTAATTAATTAATTATATTTAGTTAAATGCATATTATAGAAAGCATATTTAGTTTATTTTATTATTATTCAAAGAATAATAATAATAATAATAATAATAATAATAATAATAAGTATCGGAATGGTGTAAATGGTGTTTCTTATTGTTTATTAATTTGCGTATCATTTATTTATTATGATTGAAAATTGTTAATCGGTTTGTTTTTTTTTGTTTTCATTTGTTAAATACGTGACACTCTTTCAGGTATTGCACGTTAATTGACTATTTTATTTATTTATTATTTCTTTTAGCTCGCTATAACATTTATTGAGCGTGTTCTTACGACATAAATAGGCAACGATTATTAAACGTGTATTTTTTTTTTTTGTTATTTTTATCTCGCTCTATTATTTTTTGAGATTAAAACTCGCGCACGCTCCTTACGCGCATTAACTGACGATTAAATTTTACTTTTTTTTTTTTGTTTTTATTTATTGATAAACTCTAAAATTGAGCGAAACGAGATTATTCTTGCGCTAATGCGTTATTAATTATTAATTATTAAGTATATATTAAGTATAATATAGTGATCAAAAATTTAGTTTATCTAAATCTCGTTTGTTATTATTTAATGTTAATAATAATAAATATTTATTACATAATAATAATAATAATATTAATTTTAAACCAGTCATCATTAATCATTCACGTGTCAATGGAAATATCATTATGATTATTATTAGCAGCGTAACGAAAAAACGCAACGCGAAATTATATTATTTTGATTAAATTTTTTTACCTACAGTGATTAATAAGCAAAGTTCAAGTTGTTTCTTTATTTATGTTGTTGTTGTTGTTGTTGTTGTTGTTATTATTATATCATTGAGTAAATACGAGTAATTGTTTAGTTGTTCTCCAAGAATTCCATATTTGAGTGATTGAATTTTTTACGGTTTATACTTTCCTTTAATTTATTAATTTTCTATTATTTAAATTATTTAATTATTTAATTAATAATTTTTTTTCTAAATTTTTTTGTTTTCTACATAGGATTGCGCGCGCGAGATAGTACATTGTCGTAAATATATATATATATATATATATATATATATATGTGTATTATTATTAATAATAATTATTAGTCATCATCGTCGAGGCCCAAAAGCTCTGGTGGTAATCTTCTATGTCTACAGCAAAGCGTGAGACATAAAACACGAGCCGCTAAACGAAATTGAGGACTCAGTGTTCCGAGAATAATTGCTTTCCAAAAAGAATTTAAAATACCAAACCATACGACAGCAAATTGGAGAAATGGAACCTGAAAAATATCATTATAAATCAATATAAATAAATAAATAAATAAATAAATAAAATTTTTTTGACAACAAAATATTAAAACCTGAGGAGGTCCATTAACAGTAGAATAAATTTTGAGGACAGCGTAAGGTGCCCATGACAGCCAGAACGCCATAACCAGAACAAAAGACATTATGTGACTTGGATTGCTGAGATTTTCTGACAACGCGGTGGCGTATTCCTTGTCGTGGATCGGAACACCAGATCTTAATTTTCTCATCATTGAAAATATGTAGGTGTAGGTGTAGACAATTGTTATTACCGACGGTCCAAGTACCAGAATTGAAAGGGTTATAGTGTAGGCTGCCATGTTACCCCAGTCAAGCATGCAGATGAAGGCTTCGCGGTCGAAAATTGGTTTGTTGAACCCCAAAAGAGGCGGACAGCACATCATTGCAACGCTTATCCACGTAAAGGCCATCCAGCACTGGCATCTTGTTTTTGTTTGGACAGTCTCGTAACGCAGAGGTTTCCTAAACATTTATCATCATCATTATTATTATTATTATTATTATTATCATTAAAATTATACAATAAAACATTGCATTGCATTACCTAATAGCCAAATAACGATCAACAGACATCCACATAAAGGTGTAAACAGAGACTGCCAGAAGAGTAATTTCAAGATAGCCGACAAGTCGACAGACAACGTCCCCGTATACCCATCTTCGAACGAGAGCTGGGTATATGGAGAGTGGGACAACAAGCAGACCACAGAATAGATCTGCTGTTGCCAGTGATAACAGATAGTATTTTATCACCTCGGAGGGACCTAACCAGGGATTAGAAAATATTAATTATAAACTATTAATTAAAGTAATATAATAATTTACCTCGAAAGTTGAGGAAAGTCGCGATAATGAGAAGATTAGAGAGAATGATGGCGACGCCGACGACGAAGATGAGGCTCGCCTGCATAAGAGCCTCCACCGAGGGCTCGTCCATGCCGCCACCCCTTCGCACTGCATCCCCTCACCTTTACTTACTTACCCCGTGACTCCCTCCGTTACTCTGTGACTCCCGTCTACCACCGCCTCTTCTTCTTCTTCTTCTTCTTTTTATAATTCTCCAATTCTCCAATTTTACTATACTATTTATTTTTAATTAATTTGGGACGATGACGACCACTACAGACAACTCTAATAAACATTGAGGAATTTTTCAAGGTTTAATTCACCGGAGACACGCCTTGTATCGCTAAAAACAAATAATTAATACCATTAATACAATTACACCCTTTTACCTTATTTTACCTTCAATCTCTCACTAATGTCCATTGTGAGTCAATGGACATTCTATTCATAACTAAATGGTTTCATTCATGGGCTACCACGACACCGCGACTATGCTTCGTGACTTATTAATCTTGATTCAACGATCAGCATAAAAAAATTACTCACACTCTATTATCATTATTATTGTTATTACTATGCTGGATTTTTTTCTGAATAATATATTATGTACACATATCCGCGACTATTTTACACTATAAACATTTTTTTTTCATAAATTATAATAGAATGATACCATGCAAATGTCGGGCATCGTGTTATTCCACCCATTGGTTATAATTTATAATATAATAAAATAAAATAAAATAAAATAAAATAAAGGAAATAGAAATGGGAATAGATGATTACATGAAAAGAAGATTAGGGAAGCCCCTACCCGGTATAGGATATAGTAGTAAATGGTAGTGGTAGCTAGTAACTGGTAAGCAGCGTTACCTAAATAATAAATTATTTAAATATTTTATTCTCAGTGTACCGTTGGTGTTATAATAACTACAATACAGTGTTCTGTTCTGTTCTGTTCGATGATTCTTTACCTGTACGTGTTATTTATTTTATTTTTTTTTGCCATTTATTTATACGAGTGCCTTGAAAGTTGTTGGCAAAATATCGATTAATAAACTACTAATTTATTAATGTCTATGAAAGTAACTGCGTGTTCGACCTGCCGTGGGAATATCCTCAAGAAATATCAAGTTTTTTAAACTACCAGGTATGATTTTTATTATTAAAACTTTTTAACCGATTTAATATTTGATCAATTTATATTTTTTATTCAAATATTCAATATTCAAACTTGTCGTATTTATTTTTTTTAGTTTCAATTTAATGGACCGAGAAAAAGAAAAAGAAAATAAAACAAAGAGACACTTGGAAGTCTTCCGTTTGGCGTGCTCGTGACCCTGCACTTCAAGCTTTTCTTATTATCCCTATAAATACATCTACTATTATCATCTACAATCTTTTATATACAATTAATTAACATATTAATTATTCATTACATGATAATAACAAACAAGTGAATGATAATGAGGAAAATTTAAATAATTAAGATATATATATATATAATCTAAAAGGGTAATCTCCATGTTATAAAAAAAAAAAAAGTTAAGTAAAATACAGTGCCATCTTTATTGGTTGTGTGTTTGATTAATTATATTTAATGAAAACTACCACGTACCTTTTAATTTTCATGCTGAATTTTAAAAGCCTTGTTGTATTTGTTTAGTAAGTATATAGATACAACTTCTACAAATATATATTATTATTGATAAATAGCGTAAAACAATGATCTCTAATTATTATTATTATTATTATTATTATTATTATTATTATTGTAACTAGTAGCCGGATCAGCAGCAAGCACAACACTAAGATATTTATAAAAAAAATTAAACCTCACTTAAACAGTTTAAGATATTTATGTAGTCCGATAGTTTTGAAATAATAATATATAACGGGGGAAAGAAAAAATAATAGTAAAGAGTCTGTGATGAGGATTAAATAACCTGGCGGTGAGGATACGTCTGACCGAGTCCGACTTTACTACTGAGGGTCTCTGGTGACTCTAGCAACCGCGGGCCCGGGCGTATCAGGCATCGATATATACCAGGAAGAACGCCTGCGCGACCTCAACCCTCAACCCTCTGCCCCTTGCAGTCCGCAACTCTCAACTCGTATTTCTATTTCTACATCTATTCGTATGACCGTATCAGTATAATATGAGTTGGTATTCGGTAAAATCCTCTATACTGCTATACTACTTGCTCTAAACTACTGTTCTATTACTACATATAGATAGAAAACCTCGGTCTCTGACCACTTCCAACCCTCAATGCCGTACTCGGGAATATTATAATATGGGATATGGCGCACACGCTCTGTGCAGCTCCCCTCAACTAAACCTACTAACGTTACTACTGCAATTCCTTTCATTTCCAGATTGACTGATGAAAGACTTTTAATTATTATTCTAAAGTTATAAATTGCAACCCAGTTTTGGGTTTACATTGCAGTCTTATTCAGAGATGATCTAGATTTCATTCGCTGAAAGAATCTTTTTAAAACTATTTTCCTTCATCTCTTTGCTCTTAATATTTAAACATCAAAAATTTAGACGTTTAAAAATTAAAAAAAAAAAAAAGAGCCATTCAATCTCACCTAAGAAAAAAATTTAGGTATTAAACCTTTATGCGGATAAAAATAAAAACTATTTACGGATTCATATTAAAAGGTTGAATTAAAATTAATAAATCCGAGGGAAAAGCAAACGAACGGCTAATGAACCTGATAACGTGATAATGAATCTGTCAATTCGATTAGTCTCCTCTTTCACGGTCTGAACCTACTGTAAGGCTTTATTTAACCCCTCGCTGAGAAATTATTTTAAAAAGTCAAAACATAAAAAAAATTTTTAATAAATTCAAACATAAGGATAAATAAAATCTATTCAATATTATAAATATGATGATTAATTTTATTCAGTCATTTCGGAGTGATAATACAAGTGATTTTTTCCGATAATTCCTTTTCGATATCGAACAGCTCTCTTGGGTAAAATTATTAGAATGCATATATAATATAATAATATAAAATGAAAGTTACGATCACCGTATCATTCAATCAACTTTCTAAAGCTCTTTCTAACACATCCGAGCATTCAAACCCCCTGTCGCTTTTCATTGATAAAAAATAACTACCTGTTCACGAGTTGATTAAACTTCTGCTATTACTATTATCCTTTTTTATTTTTTTTTCCTTCAATTTTAATCATTTTCATTCTCTCGTACAGCATACTCATTAGCATTAATTAAAAATAAAGCTCCATAGCTAATAATGATACTTGTAAATAAAGTTTACTATTTTTATCCTCTTTTGAATGTATTATGTAGATAAATAATAAGGAGGTCATTTAGAGATTCCATTTGGTATATGAAATTCATGGGTATTGAAGGATGGATGAAATGAATTAAATGAATCGATACTCAGTCACCTCAATCGAATTTGGCACACTTACGATTCATTCAACTTGAGCAACTCACCCACTCATCGTAACTGGCTCTCTTTGTACACAACTTTGTTATATTATATAACCATACATTTATATTTAAATTTACATTCATTCTAAACTCAGACTTTATAACAAAGTTGCCTTTTTTAAATGTGCTATATAAATTATATAAAAATAACTACTGGTACTATTATTCGATTTCAACGGTTTACAGTAATTTATTATCAGTAATTATAAAAAAGTTTGGATATAAAGAAAAATTAATTTAAAAGAGACTCAAGATGGTTCGCCTGGTAATGACACTGATAAATGAATAGGATAGAATCTCTGAGAATGAGATTTATATAAATAATGATTAATTGTCAAGTAACTGGAAATTATTGAATTTTTTTTTTCATTTTTTAAAAAGTATATCTTTGTATTATGATTGTTGTTATTGATAATTAAATGCCCACAGTATTGAGTGAGGTTGTAGAGCGATAAGAAAACAGAATAGAGAATTTTAACAAGAGAAAATAGGAGGAAAGAAGAGAAAAGTGGGTAGAGGATTGATAAAAGCTATTCGGAGAAATACCTGCACTGAGTCGCAAAAGAGAGACAGAGTTTGCAGATGTACTAGCGTAAAGCGTACTTCCGCACCCGGTAATACGGGTAAAAAGAGACAGAGGATCCAGTATAGTGGGTGAAGAGCTAAATTCGATGGTAGAAGAAGAGGTGGTAGTGCTGCTGCTGCTGCTGCTGGTGCTGCTGCTATTGCCAGTGCTGGTGGTGGTGGTGGTAGAGGGATGTCCTAGACCCTTCGAACGCACGCGACTCTTATTGATCTGGCTAGACGGGGAGCAGAGGCCGCATAGAGGGTATTATTCGTCCAGGAGAAAGAGGAGAAGGAGAAGGATGACATGACAAAATCACTGAAATAACAATAATAATAATAATAATAATAATAATATATTGAGAGAAAACGGCGTCAGGCTTCCTCAACATGTTAGTTATCAAGAACGTCTTTGTTTTTAGACCCTTCTGGTAGTTTACCAAAGACCAAACTTGCTAGCTGCTAAGTAGTCCAACAATAACAATAACAATAACAACAACAACAACAACAACAACAACAACAACAACAACAACAACAACAACAACAACAACCAGCAGTCAGTACATCCAGAAAACAGAGTCAGGATAAGTTGAATTACTCTGAAGGCCTCAGACTAAGATTCTTCTCAGACTAAATAATGAAAACTAGGTTGAGGACAGACTCTAACTCACTGTTTAATAAATTTACTATTTGCAACTCACTTCGACATTTTCTTCTTCTTCTTCTTCTTCTTCTTCTTCTTTAATCATTTTTTTCATTATTCCATTTTCTGAAAGGAAAATTCAATCTCAGAATCAAATAAATAAATCCATTCTAAATGATCAAGGATTTATAAAATAAATTTTATTATCTATTTTATAAAAATGACAATTATTTTAATGGGGTACGTAGGTTCCGTAGACTCGACCACTTCTGGTGACTCTGTACTGAATTTTATGTGAAATTTTATTAACGTTGGCACAAGGAGTTAAGTGAGGCCCGTCTCCAGTTCCCAGCCGCTTTACTTTTGTCCTGATACCCGTCACTGATACCACTGGCAGCTTTGGATGCAAAATTAAGCTCTGTCGATCGGGGACAACTCCAGCTATTTCTCGTCTCTTTCCACGGTTGATTGAACGAACCCGTGAGGGAGCGTGACTACCAATAATACGTAGCGGTGACACGACACCACGTATAGCTCGAAAAATCGGACGTCTACATGTCCAAAAAAATGCAGCAGTTGTCAGCCAAGTCAACCAGACACTACCCTTGGGACTTGGCGTTGGTTCTCGTGCCCAGAGAAATAACATCTACAATCATTTTAATCTCTATTACTTCTATTATTACTACTACTACTGTTATTACTCAATTATTATTATTTCGTTTTTTTTTTTTTTATCGTTTTAATATTACCTTATTAATCCACTCTCTGGCACGGCGATTGTAACTAACAGGTCGCTCAACACCTCGAAACATAGAATGGCCGTTTATTTAAGTACAATTATTATTCCACTATCTATTTAAAATCAGCCAACTAATATTTATATCAATAACTAAAAATTTAAACAGCTGGCTCTTGATTTATTTTATCCATTTAATCCAACATCCAGGGATTGACTTGAGTAAAATTATTCAATTTAAATAATAAATTTAATGTTTGTTGATAATTTAAATAATTATTTAGTTGTCTTTGAATTTACAGTGGGATTCTACGCCCACTTATTACGCCGAATATTTAACTGGCTGATAAAAAATATCCAAATAATAAAATAATTAAGTAGCAAACGCCATTTAATTTTGACAACTGTCTGACGTTGCTCGATATCAGTCAGTCACTTTTTTTTTTTTTAATTATTATTATTAAAGCACGATAGCTTTTTACTCTTTTTACCAAAGTAGTGTTTGTCATTAGAGATAACAAATAGACATGTATGTATTCTATAGATAGAGTAATAGCACACTAACCAACCGAGCAACTAACAATAAGTAAGTAGTTGAAAGGGTTGGTTTGTCAGTGAATAGAAAACAAAGTTTAAATAGCCATCAGCCATCGGCCATCAACCACATCAGACATCAGCGACGCATATCGGTATTATTCCCGGGGCTTATAGTGTAACTAGGTCAGAACCTGGATACGTGACCCGTAAGAGCTTTCGTTCTGCTTTTCTTTTCTATCTTTTCCATCTCTTTATCTTGCTTTTTTTTTTCTCTCGACTTGTGACGCCTACACTACACTCGGTGGCTCAACACTAAAGCACCAACCCTCTTCAAAGTGATCAAGATATAAGAAATTAAGCTTTCGCTTCACTTTTTTTTTTTTCTCGACTTTACTTCTCCAGCAGACTGTTTTACCGTTTCATTTATTATTCAGTAGGCTTTAAACTTTTTTTTTTTCTCTCTATTTTTCATTTTTATTATCGCAATTATGGGTATATTATTGAAAATGGACGCGTGTAAATATTTATTGTTTATGGTTATTCTGGGTAAGGAAGTAAAAAGGTATAAATTGAAACACCAGCCAAGATCTCAAGATTATACTAGCTCATGTGGTAGATAAAATGATTGCGTGTAAAGGCATTTATCTTTTAAAGAGAATTAAAAGTTTGGCATGAATCCTGAATTCCTGACCTTGACATTAAACCAACTACTAAAGATGTGTAGCGCATTGCAGAGATAAAAGTTAAATGATAATAATACAATAATTTCCTTATTTCTTATTCATACTCGAGTTTACTATTTACAAAGGTGAATATTAAGTAGTAATTTAAAATATGAAAGAAATTGTTGGTAAGTTTAGTGATTTGTATGTGAAATTGTTTAGCAATTTAGAGAGAACGTGATTGACCTGTGACCCAGAGTAACACACGATAAATCCAGTCACCGCTTAAGATATTATCTAATGTAAGACAGAGACAGATAATACCAATCTAAAATTCCTTATAGTATATACGCACAGTCTCTACTTTCGAGTATATATTAAATATTAAATATTAAATATATAATATAATGCAAGTACCGTGTCTATAAAGCCCTTGGGTTTTAATTTAAATTTGTAAAAGGAATATTTCAATTACCGATCATGATAATAATAAATTCCTGTTAATATGTTTATGTCAGCTAATTTCCGCCAGATTTAAAACACCTGATAAATGCGTGTAAAATATTCATGAGGATTAACAAGTACACAACACCTTATTGGTATCAATCTCAACTCTTGACAAGACAAAAATTATAAATTATAAAGATATATATATATATATATATATATATATATATATATATATATATACAGTGGTGTTGTTTAAAAGTTTATAATCTTGGTGGACAAGTTAACTTGACGAGAAATAAAAACAAAAATCACCAGGAACAATGAGAGCAACAACAGCAATGCTTCAGCTTTAGCTTGGGTGCATTGTCCTGTTGAGTCAGAGTATCAACAGCAGCAACCTTATCCACCATCCAACATCCAATATATATGCAGCGGTAGACCAGAGAGCTGTTCAAGGATGTATCACCGTATCTGTATCACAATAATAAGTATCCATTCAAGTGTTTTAAATGGATACAAATAATCATCTACCGGTTTAAAAAGAATCATCACTATACCTCTTGTTTAGACATTCATTTTTTCAGATTTATTTTTTTTTTTGTTTAGGCTTAACGGACCAAAGACCAACGACCAAGGAAAGGTAAAGTGACCGAGAGTCTTTCACTGAAAAATCCAACAAAACCGACACCAAGAGGCCAACATGTCGAATAACAGAATAAGAAAAGACTCGAAGAAGAAGAAGAAGAAGAAGAAGAAGAAGAAGAAGACGAAGAAAAGGAGAAAAGGAGAAAAAAAAAGAACCATAGGAGAATTAATGCAGGAGAGTAAAAGAGGATTGCTATGGTGGGGACGTATAACCAACAACCAACAACTCAAGCACGTGGAGAGTAAAGTCTTGGTGTATCTCTCGTGGTCTCTTGTTGTCTCTCAGTACAAGAGTAGTCTTTCCACTGGTTTAAAATTCTTTTATATCTCATTCAACTTAAATATCGACAGCAAGCTGTCAAACTCTTTTTATCTATTTTATTATAAAAAAAATTAAGTAATGATGAATTTGATATTTTAAATAATCTTTAATAGAATAGAATAGAGATAGATATTTTGTTAAAAAGTAAATAAAATAAAAAAGTATTAGAAGATGATAAATAATAATAGTGTTGGGATGACTGGTGTAAGTTTGTTGATCTTAGTGGAAGTGATCAGCTACCTAGGTACAAATCCAGCTGGCCTTGAGTTCCCGTTTAATCAGAACTATAATTTCCATGATGATGATGATGATAACAATAATACTCGAGGGAGCGAAATCGGGAGCTTTGACCACGACTGGATGAATTTACATCGACACCAGACTAGATCCAACTATCACAGGCATCAGCATAATTCAACAGCTAAACTGGCACCCAGTCATAATCATCATCAACATAATGCCTCGATTGATCGAAACAGTCCATCATCATCATCATCATCATCATCATCATCATCGGTGTATCATTTACGTGAATATGATAATAATATTAATAATAATGGTAAAACGGTGGTATCTGGATCAGAAAAGTTTACTGCAGTTGCCGTAGCCGAGTATTCTGGTACCAGGGCCGTAGCTTACGCCGGATATAACAATAACAATCAGGATCAATATGCACTCCACACAACTACTCCGGTTCCTTCCTACACCAGACATCATTCTGGGTAAGTTGACAACGATAAATCCACCTAAATTTAAATTATATCAAATCAAGTTGCTATCAGTCAGTCATACTAACATCTAAAATTAATTTATAAATAAGTATATATTTAATGTATGTATTTTTAAAATTTAATAGATTCTCCGTAGAGCAATTAGGCGGTTGTTAAGTCTGGCGGTAAATCGTCAGTAGTTTCTATTTGCATGTGGTTAGTCTGGAGATATGTTTTGCTTCACATAAGAATAAACAAAAGGGGAGAAAAGTAATAACTGGAGCAGCTGCACTCATTTTTATTCTGCATTATATATAAAGTATAAAATATAAAATACACATACCGCATACCGCCATACCAACCAGTCATAAACGCCAGTTTAACAACCAACCCAATAATTTATAACTTCGCTAATAATTAAAAATAAAATTCCCTTTTTATTCTACAACAACAACAACAACAATATTATTATATAGTTCTATTACAGTCAATCTTAATAAACAATCAACAAGGTTTATTGATTATTATTTAGTCCAGAAAACTAATGATTCAAATATCTAATAGGCGATTAGTGATTACTTTGTTTACGCATTACTGTCTTTGTTTATTCAAATTAGCTAATCTATGATTAGCCGACTGATAAAAAAAAAAAAAGCCGGTGAGTAAACGAACAAACGAGTAAGACAACAATTAACAAGTATATCAACTTGAGAAGGTTACTCTATATATTCTTAAAATCCCTTTTCTTTGGTTGTTGCTTTGTCGGTACAACTTGTTGCGGTAAAACGAGTTCTCTCTTTTCCATATTAGTCACAAACAATGTGATACTAAGCGCCGATACAACGATACAACGACACAACCATTACTTCAAGGTTATTTTGAGATCATCAAGGAAACTTTACTCTTTGATTTCCTAGCTATACCTTCTGTGTCATTTAATCTCCAATAAAATAATATTAAACTACAGCTCCGAGATGTAAGACAAATTATTGGGTACAATCTGAAATAACTGTTTGAAATATGTAATTGGATAAATTGTCGTGTTCGATGGATCAAAAATAAATCTATAATTTAGTTGTAATTTGATAATGCTTTGAGACTACTGATGAGAAAATCTTGTAGACAGATATTACAGGGATTACGAGGAATCTAAAAAAATATTGATAAATGCTGGAAAAACCTTGAGGATTTTACTCAATCTATTGAATTTAATATGTAGTTATCCGCCGTGTGAACGAACTTAACAACGCGTGTATTTATATTATTACAAGTAACATGAGGATGAAAATAAGTAACTCTCAGTGTTTCTGAAATTAGCACTGGAGTCTCTGTGTAATGCAAGATATGCAAGAAAGAGGATCTTTAAATCCCGATTGTATTTTATGAATCAGCCAAAGTGTTTATAAGGGGCGGGTGTTTATAAATGCATATCCGTACCATAAAATAAAATATAATAATAAATCGACTATATGAACGAGTATTTAATGTTTTCGGAGAAATTAATAAAAAATACTTTGTATTCAAATTTTGATAACAAGATCATGTTTTAATTAATTAATTAGTTTAAGTGGAATATTTTTCACGAGTACCAGTACCGGAGTTTTAAATAAAGCGGTTGTTATCTGTCTGGTGTCAGAGTCGACAGATAATAATAATAATAAAAAAAAAAGGAAGCGTGCCGAGTATCTTATTACTCGTTCGATATGTTTGATATGTTGGATACACTCGTCGTATAGTCGGATAGTCGGATACTCGGATAATAATATTTATAGGGTTTTCTTTGGATATATGGATATAGATATACATAATATTAAGACTTGTAGTTCGGTTAGTGTATGGCTCAACGAACACTGTCAGATCAATTTTATTTTTTTATATAAACGTTAATAAAATAAGGTGTCATATACAGTCTACTAAATTATATCAGAGTTTTAAAATTGATGATAGTCGTTTGATATTATCTTTTAGTTATTGCTCAATATATTTACAGTGTATTTCTTATATAAATTTTATTATCATCATCTATCAATGAGAAATAACTATTTTAAAAATACTATTAGTATACTGAAAATTATTATGAAATTTATTTATAGAGACAGATATTAAAATCCGGTGGTATCGATTTCATTTCCTCCTTGTAATCGTCTAAGAGGTTTCTAAAGGCTCAGAAAATTTAGTTAGCCTCATCCCTGATGTCATTAACGTAATAACAACTTTAATACCTTGGAATCCTAAAAAAATATCTAAGAATCCAAGGTCACTAGGGGATACCAGAAGGATAACAGATGGATAACAGAGACCAGAGAGACCTGCAAAAAATACTCACGGGATTACTCAGATTTCAACACCTTTTTTTTACATATCTACAAAACTTTTTTACCCTAAAATTTTCCCTAAAATATTTATTCTCATTCAATTGATCCAATAAAATTTTTTTAATTAAAACAATATTGATATATAACACTCTTAAAGTAGACGGAAGTATTGAATTTTAATAGCCCATTTTTTATACCCCCGAGTTTTTATTAAATAATTGATTTATGATTGTAAAAAAATATTAAATATTTTTTTAAATCATCGAACCATAAAATAAATAACATTTGATACAATCAATATGACTTGCTAAAACAGTTGTTATTTATTCAGGCGACGAGTATGCACGAGGACTCCGAGTGTCAATCATCACTACTCCAGTCGACAAATAAGGTAAACATAGACATGTGTTTTTTTTTTTTTTTAAACTCAAAGTCTAAAAGATAATAATGACAAATTACAGATTTGTTTACACTCAAGTATCAGCAGCGTCGAGTTTTATTTGCTGTCCTGGATGGTCGCAAGTCACACAAACAAGCTACGGATGTAATAGACGTGAGTATATATCAGTTACTGCGGTTAAAATCAATTACAATATACCTAATCACTCTATATTGGTAAACTAATGGAATATGAATATGATTAATATATGATATTGTGTTCACAGCCACCTGCGTCGCACCATGTCACAACGGAGGAGTCTGTGGTCCTCACGGTAAATGTAACTGCCCCAAAGGCTTCGCCGGCAGTCAATGTCAATTAGGTAATAATTTATAACTTTTATTAACTAACTAAATTTTTACTCTAATTTAATCATCTTTTATAAAAATAAATTTAAATCAAACAAGTTAAATAGTTACTTATATCATCATCATTTAAGAGGCTCTGCAAATAGATTTTAGTGCACACGAGTATGTCAATAGTTTTTAGTTTACTTAAATGCTTATGTTGTGCGCTGGTAAAAGGTCACTTTTCTATCTCTATAAATATTAGTATTATATTAACGAATTGATAAAAGATAAAGATTATTTATTATTTTATTATTATTATTATTATTATTATTATTATTATTATTATTATTATTATTATTATTATTATTACAGATATTGATGAATGTATGACTGAAAAACCTTGCGCACAAATTTGTAAAAATTTACCTGGTAGTTACGAGTGTCATTGCCGGTACGGCTTTCAATTGCAACCAGATGGACAATCTTGCAAAAAAAATGGTCCTTTTTTTTGTTGATATTAAAATTAAAAATAATTAACGTACATTTATTTATTTATTATTAATTTAAATATTTTTATTAAACAGACAGCGATGGTACAGCATTCGAAGCACGAGATTTAGAAAATGACTACGGTATTGTTACAACCACCCGAAGACCAATTATACCGAGTCCACGTGGTATGAATACATTATATTAACTTTTCAACTACAAAATATTACATTCACCTTCAGTATCTTTACTCTCACGACTAACCAGATGAAGTAGTCCTCATTCTAGTTTAAGTTATTTTACTCACTAAAAGTAAAAATAAAAATAAAATACAAGAAAGAAAACATATAAAGATCGTGAATTGAGACACTCAAAAACTATACAATAATAAACTCTCGTATTTCTTTCTTCGTCTTTTTTCTTATTTTTTATTTTATTTTCTGTCACAGACACCGAGAACGAGGTGAGTGATGGTGATGCCAGTCGGGATTACGAAGTTATTCTCAAGAGACTTACCAAGTTAGAAAAGGTAAATAAAGTTAATAAAAAAAAAAAAAAATAATAATAATAATAATAATAATAATAATAATAATAATAATAATAATAATAATAAGTAAGTAATAAAAGAGATAATTTAATATTTGGAAAAATAAAAATAAAAAAATTTTAGCAATTTTCCAGAGGAAAAAGAAGAGAAAGCGAGGCCGCGGAGCTTAATGGCCGAGTTAATCAAGCAGTCGAGGGCGTTGCGGAGTTAAGACTGGCCGCCAAAAATGTATTACACTTTTTACGCGAAACTTTTGAACCCGTGAGACAGCAAGTTTACGAAATGAAAAATAAATTCGAGCTGGAGCGACGGAGAATTGATTATATTGTTCAGCGTTTTACTGAAATTGACCATCAATTAAATCAACATAAAAATCAACGTACTGATATTAATGGATAATTGTAATTTTATTGCTTATTATTTATCAAGTTAATTATTATTTTAATAATAAAATATAAAATAATATAATGTAACACGCAGAGATGATATACAACTGCCAAGTTTTAATTTTAAATACAATATAATTTTATTTCTTATTACCATTAATCGGTGTTGAGTATTTAATTATTTTGAGAGTTACCTTTCTTCTTCACCATCTTTTTTTGTCTCTTAGTAAGTCTTTTGCTTGATTTTGAGGTAGCTGAAAGATTTTTTCCCCGACCTTTCTTATGTTTGGCAATCTTACGACTGCTCATCCAAATTGGATACTGTCCATATTGATCTTTCATTGTCTTCTTATTGTAAACACGTTTACCGTCTTGATCCATTTGCTCGACATGATTTTCATTATCATTCTTATCAGCTTTCATCTCATTTTCAGCTTTAATTGTCTTGGCATCAACAACTGTACAAAAATTTTCACAATTAAATTACAAATACCATTTAATTTTTTTTTTTTTAAATATTAAAGTAATAATATTTACCTGTGGCTATTTCGGATATTTCATTCAATTCAACCTCTTGTTGACCATTTTCATCGATACCAAGAGTTTTTTTCAATGTAGCCAGTTCCTTTGCACCATAACGTTCACGTTTTACTGCTCTACACTTTCGTCGCCATTTACTTCTTAATGACTTGGCCATTATATATCTATAAATTAAAAATTTTATTCTAATTAAACACACTCGAAATATCTAATATGACAATACATTGTAATGAACCTAATTGATACAATTTTATTTAATTTTAATATCAAATATATAAATAAATATGACGACATAAAAATAATAATTTCAATATTATAAATTACCTTTAGTATTTCCTAGTTTTATTAATATGTTTAATTCGTTTATCAACGAACTTTTACGAGTTGATTTATTTAAAAACACGTGTTATTTTAATAAAAAGTATTTCCAATTTCCAATAGAGGACAATTTGGAGTCTTGATAATAAATATATACTACTTATTACGGAGATAAGTAAATCAATTGACAAGTTTTTATTTATGACTCTGGTGGAAATAAAAGTAAGCTTCTTTGAAGCCAACCGCGAGTTTCAGCGCCTCTAACGGATGATAACAAAAGGCGCGCAAATTGATAAAGATTTTTTATTTGTATCTTTTAGCTGTTAGAGGCGCTGACTTGTTATTCCGAAATTAAAAAATTCATAACACAACTATTTAACAACACTTGCCGAGTATGTACAGAGAAAAAGAATCCGTAAATTTTTGCCAAACATAAAGTTATAATTGTTTTGGGATGTAATAATGATTAAAATCTAAAGTAAGCTAATTTTTTTAAATTGCTATATACTTGTAATAACCCATCTATATGTACAGTATTTAAAAACTAAAATAAAAAATCATACGGTAATAGGTTAGTTTTAATATTATTCTTTATAATTATTATTATAATTTGGTTGATTTTTAGCAATTAGAATATATAAAAGATGAATCCAGCGAAAGAAAATATCAGTGGGAAAGTATTGTCTGATAAAATTGGTCAATTATTATCAGATCAACAATTAAAAATATCTGTTGATCAATTTCAAGAATTGTGTAATCAACCAAGTGTTCAGCCCTTCTTAAAGTGGTTTTGTCAACATGTGTCACAAGATAATATTTTATCAAAAAAAGAAATTCAGATGTAAATTTTATCACTAAGACTTTATTCCTTTTAAAAGTTACTTGTAAGTTTTGATATATTTATTTTTAGGAGCAAAAGTCTAAAGAAGAATAACAAATGGTTAACTGGAGATAAATTGGATACAGCGTTAGCAACTGCTTTAAAAGATCACCCAGAACTTGAATCTAAAGTCGAGGAAAATGTTAATAACTATGAAGCAGAACTTTACAAAGCTTGCGAAGCCGAAAAAGAAGCCTACAGTGAAGATCTTAAATATCAAACTTCTCTCAATAGCTCGTTGAAAAGATTCAAGTAATTTTATTATTATTATTATTATTATTATTATTATTATTATATTAACTTTGCTGATGCTTTTATTTTTAATAGTGTTGATTTATTAAATTGATCATTGTTTTCCAGAGAACTGGAGCTAAAACAAGATGAGGAGTTAGAAAGAGAGAAAATAAAACTAGAAAATCTTGAAATTGAAAATCTTAAAGTATACAATGATTGTCTTTTAATTACTGAGGAATATGATCTTGCTCTAAAAGATCTGGATATTTTTTTGAAACAAACATTGAATGCTTATCGTGATGTTACAAAAAAGGTATCATAGTTAAAAGTAAGTTTAAATCTATAATTTGCTAATTTACTATAATATTTTTTTAGAGATCCCGAATTATTTGTTGGAATCAAGTCCCGTTAGATATATATGTAAAACAAATAGACACTTATAATAAGTACCTTGAATCTTACATCGAAAAAAATAATTCAATTTTTAAAAAATATTTTCCCGATAATTTTTTAACCGTAAACGATGAAACGGAGAGTAGTAATGAAGAAACTAATATTGGCTTATTTATGGAAACAGAATTGAAGTCATCCGAAATAAGGTAAATAATATTTTTTATTAAAATTATAAATCAATAATCTTATTTAATTATTATTAAACAGGTTGACAAATGCGTTGTCAAAAAAAATTGACTGCGAAGTTAATAGATATACAGGAGAAGCAGCAATAAAGCGTGCTATTGAAATATACAACGATGGTGATATCGATCTTCCAAAAACCCATTCTCAATTAATGTATGTTTATTCAATTATTTGATTACTCTTTATTATTATTTATAATTTATGTCTGTATTTTTAGGTCTGAAACGGTAGATTTGACAGCTAAAAGAGATAGTTTATTGCAAAATAATTTAGTTTTGGAGCAAGAATTAAAAAATTGTATTGTCACCTATAGCCAATTATCTGTTTCTCATGTACTAGTTGATATGCAAGAGTTTCGATTACAACAAAAAAAAAATGAATTGAAGCAATTACAAGATATATTGTACATTGCACGAGATATGGGTCATGCTCATTCAGATTTACTCTCAATGTTAATGCAATCTCAGCTGAGAAAATTAACAAATCTTAGAAAAATAATTCCTGAAGCTCAACGTTATCTAAGGACAATTTATCAACAATCCTCCAAGAGACACGTAAGCTATCATTAATTATTAACAAAAATAATAATGTATATTAAAAATTTTTTTTTTTTTTTTTTTTTTTTTTAAGCAACATTTACTACATCTTCAAGCACAGTACAATATAATTGAGAAATCTTCATCTTGTGAAGAAAATATTTATAAAAAACTCTTTTCACAATTAGTATCAGGGGATAAAAATTCAAAAGATTCATTTGAATCATCTGTTAAACAATACAATGGTATCACTGCTGAGAATATAAGTTTGAAAGAAGATCTATTGGAAAATAGTTATAATAATCAACTACAATACCTAAAAACTCTGTAATTATTTTTTATTTACTATCATAAATTATATATAACACTAATATTTAAATAAATATATATTACAGAGAAAAACAAGTGATGATAATGTACGATAATGAATTAAACAGTGGTCAAACAAAGAGTTTTAAATTAATGTCTAATGAATTGACTGCTCAATTTGAACATGTCATTGAATCCATTGAAAAAAATCAAAATGATTTTAGTCGAATGAGGAAAAAATTTAAAAACTTTTTGGTAATTATTTATTTTTTTATTAATATGATAGAAATAAATGCAAATATTATCATAAAATTTACTTTTTAGGATAAAATAACTCAAAATTTTTCCGACCACGAAAAAGAAATACTTTGGCAGAAATTTTTAGCCGATCCAGAAGGCCTAAAACGTCGATACGATGAAATTCAGAATGAATTAAATCGTGCTCATTTTGGGAATTCAGCTCTCAGTGAACAATAACCAAATAAATAAGTTGTTAATCTATCAAAAAATATTCATTCATTTACTCTTGTTAATAATATAATATTTTTTTGTACTTTTCTAATAAATGACTATTTAATTCAGCTATAATTATATATATATATGTAGATAGTAAAACAATCAGGGTAGAAGACATAATTAGTAATAATAGCGAGAGAAAAAAAAAGTAAAACATTTTTAGTTTAAAATAGAAGTGGTATTACGCATACTGATGCGCTAAAAAATATACCAATAGGGTTTAATGACGACACATAATACAATTATATTTATTGCTAATTGTAGACAGTACTTGCGTATACGGATGAATCAAAGAATACATACACTTACCGAAGAATGACGTAGTGGCATGCTTGGCCATGCTCGAGAGTAACCTTGATCCAAACATCCAGATTTTATTCCCCACTCATCTTCCTTTCTACCATACACATGTTATATTCCACCACCACCACCCATTGTCAATATCCAGTATTATACTATATACGCTGTACTCTCTATACTCTATTCATTGTATACAAACTTACATTGTTGTTGTTGTTGTTATTGTTGTTGAGTGTCGAGAGCGTCCAAACTAAAAAAAAAGTGACTCATTCGACCGACACCAACGCGCCGTTTATCGTTTATCGTTCATCGACATTATTTATAATCAAGAAAATCATTAATTTTATAAATAAATAAATATATTTACATATTTATTAACTATTCAATTAATTAATTTATTTATATATTTATTTAATAATATTAATTATTGATTAAATAATTGAAATCAGTATTGAGAGTATGTGTGAAATGTTGGTAAATAGCATTACAATTTAAGTAGAGCTCGTGTGTAAAAGTGTTAAGTGTGTAAAAGTGTGTGAGTAGGAGGGTATTATCGATTTGCCAGGGGTTCAAGTTAACGGTTTATTTACATGAGCTAATGTTGTACCTCTTTGCGCATGCGCTCCAAGACCAAAACAATAATAACAGAGTGAAAAGGTTCATGGCTGGCAGCAGCAGCAGCAGCAGCAGCAGCAGCAGCAACAACAGCACAGACCCATCAGCCAAACATAAATACGAGCAACCAGAGCAGCAGCACTAGCTAAGCCATTAAGAGCAAGACTCCGGCTGCCTCCATTAATAATATCTACACGTCCTAACATATACATCTACATTTACGGACATTTAATTTACGATAACGCAAGATTGTGAGAATCGTGTAATTAAAAATATATACATAAACAACATTTATTATTTTTATTATTTGTGAATTAAATAAAGTAAACAGTGTAAGTGTTTATTTTTGTGCAGCAATAACCAGAGTGAGTGTAACGTGTACATACATTGTACACATATAATAAACGGAGCCATCTAACAATATAATATGTTTGACTAATGTATTTAATTTTTTTTTTTCCTCACTGTGATTCGACATTTTTAAAATACATTATACATACTACATTTATCAATTATTAATTTAAAATTAATCAAGTGAAGATTACTATTGTTATTAAACAGATTTGCTGCTTAAAAAAGACAATTGAAGAATTAATTTTTAAACTATATTAATATTATCATCATTACTATTATCTCGGATGTACGTGTTACTTTCTCCAATTGGTTTAGTGTATACTGTATGTCCGTTAATAATATAAACAAGACACAATATCACGCGTTTTCGCCGGGTGAATCACGCGCACACTCAATTCATTATAGTAAATACGTTATTGACGTATTAAACCATCAGACCTCAAAAAAATAACATTTTGGTAAGTTTTCTTAATTTTAATTAAAAAAAAAAAAAAAAAAAAATTTACAATTATATTATTACCTATTAATAATTTAATAATAAATGAAAAAAAAATATAAATTTATCTTGGTGATGTTTATTTACTTTTAATGTTATTATTATTATTTTTATTTCCCAGGAAGTCTCGAAGCATCTGCCTGTCGCTCAAGAAGTTAAGCTGACTCGACATAAAAATATAATAACAAAAACAACAGAAGAAAGACGCCGAAAGACATATACCTCACCGGTTTCTCTGAATTTTTGGTTATACATATTTTGAAATAGTACAGTCCAGGTATAAAAATATAAAAATTTAGTATATTATAATAACGAATAACAATATGCCGAGTACGGAAGAGAAAACGACGCCTTATTTAATCCAAGTAGTGCCGGAGACTCATTACCGAACACTAGAAATCGATCTTTTGGTATCGCAAATAAAAAAAACATTGCGGTTTCCAAATTTAAAGGCAAAATCAAGCGTAAGCTCACACAAACCAAGATCATCACCGTATCTGATTCCATCACGCATCGAAAGACAGGCCTATTTTCACAATCAAAACAGTGACAACAGTAAAACTAACGAAGACGACCCTTATGAAAAATTAAGAGAGTTGATAAAACAGGGCCGTCTAATAAAAGAAGCGGTTAAGAAACTCCAAATGATGAACTTTGAAAACTTATCGAACAATCCAGAGGGTGAAGATCAAGATTGTCACGACGATGACGACGATAATGAGAATACACACCACCGTACATTCCGGAGAAAAACATTTTACTATGACTCCGAGGATGAGCCCTTGCCGGCAGTGTATGAATCTCTAGATCTATGAGTTTATTATTACCATCAATATTATATGTTGTTGTAATATGTGTTGTCAGTGTATGCGTGCTATCGAGTATAAAACTGATGAATTATATTACTATAATTATCATTATTTAAATAGTATACGAATACGATAAAGATATAAAAAAAAAAAAAAAAAAAAAAAAAAAAATAATAATAATAATAATAATCATAAATAACAAAAAAAAATAAAATTGATGTGAATAATTGGCGTTATTGAAGTGCGGAAATTGGCTCAGATGAACGATGTGTTACTGACAAAATCGTATTTCTATCGTTTACTCATCACCAAGTATATTGTATCTCTCACTCTCAGAGTTCCTCTTTAGAGTATTCTTCGAGATCTCCCCCAGTTAGTGTCTCACTCTTTCCTCCTCATATCTACCTACTTGTGCTTTCCGCTCGGTCATATTTGCCATTGTAGTCGCGCTGCCTGGTACCGTGTATCCAACAAACGTACAAATCCACACAACACATATTGTAAAACGCTTACTACATATTACATACTACATACATTGATTTATATTATTATTATTATCATTATAACAATCTAATATGTATGTATATATATATATATATATATATATTTTGAGGCCATACTGAGGAGAAACATGCATACATACACACAAGTTAGTCGTCGCAACACAATTAGGCACTCAGAAACTCTTCCTTAAATGGACATGTTTGTAAATATTATTTATTTTTTTACGCTTAAGCGATTGTTTCATATAATTCATTGATAGTATGTAATAAAATTTTTTTTTATAAAAAAAAAAAAACTTTAAATTTCATACAACTCCATTTTACAAATACACATAAAATAGCATCAAAACATCTGTAAGATGCTTTGTAAACGCTGCTGGTGTTATGTCCAAGAGACATTCCACCATATCCGTCATCAGCTCCATTACCCCACACTGAGTTTCCCGTTAGAATATCTAATTTAATTTTATACCAAGTAAGAATAATGTCAACTTACCTAATAGTTATATATTTAAATTTGTTGCTGTTATTGTTGTTGTTAAATTAAATATTTAAAAAAAAAAAAAAAAAAAAAAAAAAAAAAGTAATATTTTTACGTGGAAAATTATAAAAATAATGACTAGTCTGGAGTGTTGAGTAAGTTATGTAAGGAGTAGATCGATAATACACGTCTCAGCAAACTTGTTCATTCTTGACATCGATACCCGTCCAATATTATTAATGTAGTTCTGAGAATGCCGTATATACATAAATAAGTTTTGTGTTAAAAGACGACTAGACTAACATAAACGCTATTCTATTCTTGTAAATAGTTGGTATGGTATACATATAGAGTGAACACGTATATAGAACTCAAGTGTCTAGCAGACACACTTGATACCCTCAGGCATCTACATATGACCACGGCACGGACGATTGCCTATCTGAACTCAAGAGTTTGTCAATAATTTAGTGATCAAGAGTGAGAGAGGCTTTCAAAAAACTATTCAAAAATACATATATATATATATATCATTTAAAATAGTTTATAATATTTTGCTGTGCATGTTTTAGTGCATAGACTTATATGTATGTATACCATTTGATGATCGGTTCAAAATAATTTTTGGTGTTATTATATTAATATTATAATATGCTTGGTTGTTATATACGCTATTCATTTTTAATGGTGGCAGGTATGAAAACACCTGTTGGGAAAAAAAATAAGAAAGGAGCAGGAAGATAAATATATTGTATTAGATGTATTAAAAAATTGTATAAATTGGTTGTAATAACAATGATTTATAAATTGTTAATTTGAATAGTTTAAAAAGATATTGAAATATGTAAACCGACACCTTGAATAGATATTGTTGACACAACTGTTGATATTTATAGCTAATAAATATTCAAAGTTGCGTGAATTGACGTAAAATACGTTTTAAAAGCATCAGCATCGCCTTGGTAACATGGTCTAGCGTATATTATTAATTAAAAAGCTAGATAGTAATATTTTACTTAATTTTAATTGCCAATTTCCAAAACCTCAACATTAATATTGTTTTTTTTTTTTCTTTTTTTATAACGATCAGTTAATTAATTAATTAGTTAGTTAGTTAGTTAGTTAGTAAGTAAGTAAGCAAACAAATAACGAATGATTGTTGTATGTAATTTTTTTTAATGATGCGAAAATAATGCGTGATCTCTTTTTTTCCGTTAAAATCTTACATAAGAAATTTAACGAATAATTATCTTGTTGTGATCGTCAAACGTATATTCTCGTTTGGCATTTGTAATAATAGATGATGATGATGATGATGATGAACAAAAAATATTCCAAGTTTCAAAAGTCAAGTATCAATTGTTTTATTTATTTATATTTTATCACTATACCACCTCTCTAATTCATTATTTTATCAGCAATTATATCGTGTCGTAATCGAAGAAACATTTTTTATTAAAGAATTTACAGTCATATATCTATGTACATATATATTTAATTGAGAAGTTTATTCCAAAGTATAATGAATTTTTGTTATTGCGTCAGCAAACCTCATTTTTTGAATTATCATAACGTATGCAACTGGTAAATGCATTTTAGTTGAATCAAATACATAAAATAAACCTCTACTGGCGTAGCTTCTCATTCTCAGCATTGTCCCTTTAATTTAATCAAGATTACGAAACTATTCAACTCATGAATTTTATTTGTCATTTACTTGAAGTTGTGGCTCAACACTTGATAAAAAAAAATATACTTAGTTAATTAGTTTAAAAAAAATGATATTTACTTGATAAATAAAAATAAAAAGTATAGTATTGTAGGTTTTATCTTGTATCCACTTGTGCTTACGCCCTTGGTTCGAAAGTATTCAACAAAGAACAAGGGATAGGATGATAGGATACATATCGTTTAATTTACAACACCGTCGCTCAGGTATTTTTTATCTTTGTTGAATTCCTCAGAGCCCGCTACAACTAATTTTGTTTATCTTTCATTTTAAAATTACATTTAATATTATTTTCAATTTTTCTGAATGAAACTTAACCGTATAACAACTTAAATATACTCTTTATCGATTTTATTATTAAATATTCATTAGATTTATGATTTATGTTTAAGTAGATAGATATTCATGTCGCCGGTTTAAAGATTATGACTCTTATTAATAGTACACGTTATGTCCAGACCATACATACATAACATATAAAAAAAATTGATTAGATCGACCTGGGTTTGCTCTCTGTTACATATTGTTTGAACAGCTAGTAAACAAACCAACGGTCAAATTGACCTTCTTAAAGACTATATATGTACATATATAAATATAAATGTAGATTATAAACATAAAAATCCGTTAAATTTTCTCCAAGATAAATAATAATAATAATAATAATAATATCATTATTATTTATTTTAATTATCAATCATAGACAATACTATCTAGTTATTAATACTAAAGATCAATGGCCTTTCAAAATGTCAATAAAATTATTTAAATTTATTGAAATTAACAAACATCTGATAAAAAAATATTTTTTATTATTATAAATAATATAGAAATTTTAAAAAATTACTGTTAACTGAGAGTTTTTTTTTAATAAATTTATTTGTAATTAACAAGGTCTCAATAGTTGTTAGGTAGATGATTGCTGATTTCAGTATCATAAATTATTATTAATAAATTTTTTTCTTCAACACCTGTATCTTTAACATTTATCAACTATAAATTTGGGTGTTGTCAAAAGAAAAAAAAATTTATCACCTCAGATAAATGTAATCAGCTCTTAAAAAAAATAATATTGGCATTTGTCCTCTTCACTTGTACTAAGTACATTGTATCTAAGTTGTAATTGGAGTAAAGACTGATATTATTTATAAATTATTACAAGTGTAGTTTCTGAAACAGTTCTCTCACATATTTATCTGTGTGTTGGTACATATACAAAAACATACATATATATATATATAATATGTCTGACAGCTAGTTGTACTACCTATACTGGCGCGAGAGACTTGACTCAATACAAGTTTACTTTCAAGATGGCTACCAGCATGTCCACCAACAAGTAAGTATTATATTTATTTACGTGATATATTTAAGTGTCGATGCCCTCGTAAATGTAGGCTTCGGCAACCTAAACAATCTCGTACTTATATTTTCAAACTGACGTCAATTGTGGATTAATTTTTCCCAACAGGCTACATTTTTTTTTTAAATCTTTTTATTATATTATACACACAATGACACTTTTGTAAAACATTTCAGTTTTCAAAATACGTGTCCATCATCAAATATCAAGTTACATTTCTTTTAGTAATTAATTTACCTGAATGTTTATTATTTTTGAGTAATATTATATTTATTAATTGTTTATTTTTAGATTTCAATGATAAGTAAATAACATTTTTATAAATTAACGTCGTCTGGTTTTATTAACTTATATTTTTAAGGTTATAAAAGAGTATATACACAACAACATTCATATATTCATGTATATATAATAATAAATAACACGAGTAAACTCATGTGCTGTTATTTATTTACTCTGGGTTACTCTCTGGACATGTCAAAATTTTAAATTATCATAGCTATTATATGGTAGTATCATGGATTCGAATAATAACGACACTTAATTTTAAATATATTAAATACAATGTCTGAATTTATATCTTTATTAAAAATTTGAATAATAATTATATTTAAACAAGTTAAAAAAAAAAAAATCAATTCAATTACCCAATGTCATCACATGATTAAATTTATTGTCAATAGTATAATGATGATGATACTTTTGTATTAAAGATGATAATTTATTTTAAATAATATTTTCTCCTGTTTTTTATTTTTCAATATTAACCGTACATATATATTATTAGACGTATAGTAAATAATGTATAAAATAATAAAACAGCGAGCCCGTTTATTATAATACTCGAGTAAGCGTGCAATGACACTGTTATTGTATACTTTAAATATAACCCGAATACACCTGTCTTACACTGTATCTAAGTGCTTCCGTTTTATTCTAAAACACTTGTAAGTATGTACACTCGATCTCGATCTCTATTCGTTAATTTTTATATTTACTTTCTGTTTTAAATTATTATTAAATTTTAATATTTAGTACAAGTACTCAAAAAATAAAAATAAAAATTATTATTACAATACTTTACGTAACTTTTATTTGTAAATAACAAAGAGAGAGGAGAGAGGAGAGAGGAGAGAGTGATCTTTGTAAAGTTTGAAGAATTAATGAAAAGATAAATTAGTATGTCAGTCGATAGGAATAAAAGAAAATAACAATAACTATAGTTATACAACCTCCAATTAGTATAAATTTATATGAATTAAAGGTTCAATCAAAAGGTATTTAATTAAGTTGTTTTATCTTGCCGTCACCTCACATCATTGTTATTGTTATCATTTATTTTAAAATAAAACTTGTTATGAAACTTTTTATAATTAAATTTTATTAAATCAGGCATTAATAATTATCTTCAAGGTAATCGCATTTCTCTAGATAATTTTTCTTTTGTTTACATTAAGATTATTATATAATTAATAGTATGTATGTATTATAAAAATAATACACAAATAGATTTTGATACATTGTATAAAATTTATAATTTTGTCATTGAAGTTTTATTATTATACGCGCTACTTGTCTTCCGGTTATTTTATTTTTATAAATACATTTACCACGGTATCTATAAATAATTAATAAAAAGTAATAAATGTTTCTTTTTATACTCGAGTTAATAACATCGTAAATAAAAATAGTATACTTAATGAGAAGAAATTTAATTTCAACAAAATTGCATTCTTTTACAACCACAGAAATAATAATAACAACAACAATAATAATAATAATAATAATAATAATAATAATAATAATAAAGAGTGTGAGACGATTGCACAATGTGTCACCATACAACAATTACGCAACCATTATTGTTTTATTAAAAATACAAACATTAATTTAATTGTTTGACAGTATTTGTATGTTATATTATTGTTATAGAAATAAAGAAAAATGTTTGTTTATGAGAGGCGAGCATACAATGACCGTACCAAAGAGTCTCTTTTACGGGAACAGAACACGTCTTGCTCAGCGTTTAAGAGAGAAGGCAGCAGGAGTAGCACCAGGTGAAGGTGGTTTTGTTTTGCTGCAGGGTGGCGATGAGGTCCCTTTCAATGACACTGACATTAACTACGAATTTCGGCAGGTGTGTATTTTCACCTGTTTTATAATTTTTATACTCTGTTTTTATTTAATTATTTTAAACGGCACGGTTTAAAAAATAAATTTTTTGTTACTTTAATGATGATAATAATAATTATAAATCTTTATACAAGTTGACGGCCAGGAAGATAAAGAGAAGAAGAAAAATGATAGACAGTGATTGCATAAGTCTGTCTCAAACAAAATCAGCTCCGTACTTCCGGCGAGTAACAACATACTCGTCTTCGGCATTGCTGACGCTTCTTCGTCTTCTTTATTTTTTTTTTTTTTTCATCTTATATTATTCAGCTCTGTAGTTTGTATACAAACAACCGTAGACCGCTTTGATTCTATACAGGAAGTTAATAAAGAAAAGTTCATTGACCTTATGATTGATTGCCGACAGAAAAAAAGATTAGAAAAGATATTTTAAATAATTTATTGAATAAGTAAATTTTTAATTATTTAAAAATTTATTTACAGGAATCATTTTTCCAATGGGCTTTTGGTGTTGAAGAGCCTGGTTGTTTTGGAGCATTAGAAATAACTACTGGCAAATCGATAATATTTTTTCCACGACTACCAGCCGAGTATGAAATTTGGTGTGGTAAACTCAGTACGTTAGAAGAATTCAAAGAGCGGTATGGTGTAGATGAAACGTATTATGTTGACGAAATAGCCCAGGTGTTTGATAAAAAAAATGCCAAGCTTATTCTAACTTTGGTAAGTTATTGTATTGTATTTTTTTTTTTTTTATAAAACATACATTTATTTATTTTAGTAATGATAATAGAGTAGTTTTTTTTTTTTTTTTTTTTTTTTTTTTTTTTTTTTAAAATAATACAGCAATTCCATTTGATTGGAGAAAAAAGAAAACTTAAATAAATTTCTCAAGTAAAGACACTTGATGTCGTATTGATGTTGAATCTAGGTCACTAAAGAACAGCCTGTCTGAGTGAATTTGCTATAATCTATCGGTAGGTCACCGTTAACAACACCTTATTTCGTATGACCTCGATGATTATTACATCATTTATTTTAGTAGTGATAAATAATAAATAATAATAAAAAAGTAAATCACATATTTTTTATTTTTATATATATATATATTTCAAGCAGTAAGTACTTTGTACTGGGTTTTGTTTTGTTTTGGCTAAATAAATTAACAATTTGATTCATCATCATCATCATATTGTAAAAAATAAATGGCTATTTGTATTCAATGGATTTATACGAAAAATATATTATGGCAGACAGATACAAATGAGAAAGACCTCTAATATTGCATCAGTTAATATAATAATGAACTTCGAAACAACATTCAACCGACTAAAATAGAAATCAATGACATTTGTACATCTATAGTCTGTAAATCATTTTTTAATATAGGTATTAATATTTCTACTGTCTGCTTTTAGAATAGACTTTTTTTTACAACATTTATGTCTATAATATAAGAGAGATATATTTTGAGCTTACTCGTGACAGCTTAATTTTATTTAAAAAATTTTTTTTTTATTTTCGTTTAATATATTATTAATGATGTAGATATTACTTGGCAAGGTTTAATAATTTTTTTTTGGCTTTCAGTTCGGCCAAAATAGTGACAGTGGACTCTACTCCAAACAAGTAAACTTCGATGGTATTGAAAAGTGAGTTTTAATAATTTATATTCATTACATCATCTTGTTTTTATATCAACAATTAATGCTTTGCTTTATTTTTAGATTCAAAGTTGATAATACTATTTTGTATCCTGAGATATGCGAGTGGTAAGTTATTTACATATTTTTATTCTCAATTAAAAATTATAACTCTGTTTAAATACATATTATATTGAATTACTATTTAATTTTATTGAGACAGTTGAAATAATTTATCATTCAACTAAAATAGATCTGTAATAAATTTTATTTTAAAATAAATTGATCGCGTCACAGATTATTTAATTTACGTAGAAAAATATTTAATTATTCATTTCGGAAAGATGACTGAACAAAGAAACTGACAAACAATATTAAAATTAAATGGTATATATTATTTAAACTATGGTTTAAAATAAATTGTGAAAAACCTGTTCAACTGATATAAATATGCAATTTCGAAAATTAATTACTCAAAAACGGTGCGGTCAATTGATCTGAAATTTTGGTAGTGAATTATTAATATATTGATCTTTCGATAAAAAAAATTTCATAACTTTCTGTTGAAATGCCTTTCACGCTACAACTACCTTAACTCTCAGAGGCCTACGCTTCTATCTGTCCCCTCCCTGAGTACTACGATGGTAATTGTAGTATTACTTCTTGGCAGAGTTGTTTTTATAAACCAATTTTCTCAACCGTGATTTTGATAATTAAATATTAGTAGATATTAGTAAATAAAAAAATTAGTACTTAGGGAGGGGACAGATAGAAGCGTAGGCCTCTGAGAGTTAAGTATACTAAGAGAAAATGAAAATGAAGAATGACCCGGTAGCTTAACTGGTAAAGCATTCCTACATGTTATCGAGAAGATCCAGATTCGAGTCCTGGCTTGGTTAATTTTTCACCAAGTTTTTCAAAGTTGCTTTCGCTCTCAGACGATTTTGGTTTATTAACATCTTTATACCTCGAACAGATACTAACAACTTCCAGCTTACTAGTATTCTTGTTTGATGGAGTCCATCGACCTAACAACAAGAGACAATCCCGTCTCGATCTTTAGCGAAGATGAAATGCTCCATCTCGACTTGAATTAGTTTAAAATTAGTCAAAAAATATTGATCGCATTGGTGATAAAACAAACTCATTTAATTATTATGATTAATATTTGTTTTTATTTGTATATACAGCCGAGTAATAAAATCTGATGAGGAAATAGAAGTAATGCGGTATGTTACCAAAATCAGCTCTGACGCTCACAAAATGGTTATGCGAGCAGTACGTCCAGGTTACACCGAATATCAGGGTGAATCAATTTTCAAACACTACATCTACTCAGTCGGTGGATGTAGGCACATTTCTTATACATGTATTTGTGGTTCTGGACATAATGCTTCTATTTTACACTACGGACATGCTGCTGCACCTAATGATAGAACAATAAAAGATGGTGATATTTGGTAAGTCATATAATAATAATAATAATAATAATAATAATTAAATCAAATCAAGTACTTATTTATTTATTTATTTATATATTTTTCTAGTCTTTTTGATATGGGAGGAAATTACTGTGGTTACGCTGCTGATATAACATGTAGTTTTCCAGCAAATGGAAAATTTACAGTTAATCAAAAATTTATTTATAATGCCGTGTTGGGTGCCCGTAATGCGGTGATTGAAGCTGCTAAACCCGGTGTCAGTTGGATGGATATGCATTTACTGGCAAACAAGGTAATGCTTGAGCATTTGAAACAAGGAAATCTGTTAGTGGGTGAAGTAAGTGACATGATTAACGCTGGATTAAATGAAATTTTTCAACCACACGGCCTTGGTCATTTACTGGGATTGGATGTTCATGACGTTGGTGGTTATTTACCTGACTGCCCCAAAAGATCCGAAAACCCAGGAGTAAGAAAATTGAGAACCGCTAGAAAATTACTTTCGGGTATGGTGTTAACAATAGAACCTGGCTGTTATTTTATCGATTCTGTAAGTTAACAGTACTATACTACTAATAATTGATAACTCAATCACAGTTATAAATTAAATCAATTTTATTTATTGACTCTCACAATAGCTTCTTGATGCTGCCCTGGCAAATCCTGGCCAAAGTAAATTTATTAATCCTGATAAATTGAAATTATTCCGTGGCTTTGGTGGCGTCAGAATTGAAGATGACGTATTAATTACCGAAACTGGAGTTGAAAATTTAACTTTTGTTCCTCGGACGTTAGTATTTTTTATTATTTCATTAATTTTAAATCAATTATTTCAAATCTTTTTGTCCATTTTTATTGAGTCATTTAATTTTTTTTATATTACAGAGTAGAAGAGATAGAAGAGTGGATGGCTCATGGCAGAGAAAATTTATTGCTACCTCAAGAACTGCTAAAACCTTAAACTAATTTAAATAACTGCTAGCAATATAAAATATTTTTTTTTTTATCCACCAAGATTAACAATTTATTTTTTATATAAAATAAAATATTGTAAGTAGTTGATAAAATATGATGCAATTATTAAAGATATGAAATGCAATTTAACAAATGACTAAGCTTTATATAAGTGACTATAACTAGCCTATCAAGTGGGTTGTTGTTAGGGAGTCCTTAAGGACTGAGATCATTGACGTCATTATGTGACATTTTCCCCTCGATCATGACGTACGATTGAACAAGCTAAGGGAACTCACGTTATACAATATTTAATATCATAGTCAGTCACAGTTGAATGTGAGTGCTTGATCGTGGATTACAACTTTTATAAATATATCGTTTACGGCTTATATAAAATTTATATACTCATACATGAATATATATTTTTTTTTTTGATTATCCATTTTATCAATATACATTAAAATAAATTACATTTTGACAATTTTATAAAGATAAAAAAAAAAAAAAACACCAAATGTTATAGTGATATATAAAACATAATAATTAATGATTTACGGATATTTCGGTGTAAAAGTTGATAAGTACTTGTAATGTTGTTAAAAAAAAAAAAACGAAAGAAATGAATTTTAAGAAGATGCAATAAAATGAAATTGATGTGTCAAGTGAAATCAACAGTAGGTAATGACAGACGTACATTCGATAACGACATACGTATTGTACTTACATATATAAACTAATACCATTAATATAATTAATAAAACATGTATGAATTAAAGTATATATCAGTTGATGACGATTATGATTATTTTTCGCGCTTGAAATTAACTCGAAACAAGTCGCGCAGAGGTGTGTACAACTAAATAATAAACGTAACATATATAAATATATATATATATATATATATAATAACGTGATATTATATACATAGCCGCGACACCAAGAGTCGCATGCAGTCGTGCTGTTGTAGAGGAGTGGTGCTGACTACTCGGACTAAATACTCGTAAGTCAGCTCCGCGTGCGCGAATATATAATCGGTGATGTGTGATCGTTGTCGTGTGTCCGTCTCAATGCCACAAGACCAATACCACTGTATCTATATACAATAATATACAATATACAATACAAATTCTACAGATTTGTTATATAGATAAAATAAACTCAACCAAGTATATTTTTCGTGTTACTAATACACTTGCTGACATATTTAATTCATATATAAACTATTTAATTAGTTATTGTTACAACCACAACAACAACAGATGAAAATTAATGTAGATCGAAAAAATATTTATTGATAATTATAAAAATCAAGGTAAAGATGAAAAATTTTAATCGTGATAAAATCTATAATTAAATTGTTATTTATTTTAAAAATGTGATTACCAAAGTGTATTTTAAAATAATAAAGTGAAAGTTATTTAATTATTGATGTGTATAAAAAATGTTTAAGGTGGTAAAAAATATATGATTGCCGCGGTTGTAATGTGAATCGCGAGGTGCTATCCGAATATTCACGAGTCTCATCGATTGAGCCACGACAGAGACAACCCGAGAGAGAGTAGAGCTGAACTGGAGCTAGAGAGTATCACGGCCAGAGCAGGCCAAAGCAGGCCAGAGCTCAACAGAACAGAGTGAACCAGAAAAGTAGTAGGTGTGCCGCGATTAAAACTTTAGTCACTCTTTTACCCAGCAATCACCAACCCAGTTTATCTCTCTTTCAAATCCACCAAATATTCATTAACAATAAAAATAAAAAAAAAGATAATATTATTTATACTCAGGCAATCGTCGTAAATATATAAATACATATATAGAATAATAATACCGTCCTGGCTGTCTGATTACTCTACCTGTCTTGCATCGTCTTGACAGTAAACGCATTCACTTCAAGAGACATAATAAGCTTTTACTATTTATTTTACTTGGATTAGGTTACAATATATATATATACAACGGCTCTAAGGCTATATAATAACAATGTTATATTGTTATATTATATTTATTAATTGATGTGTCTGGGTGCTAAAAAGTTAGCTGTCAAAGTGTTATTGTCGAGCAAAACGTCGTTTTATTTTTTATTTATTCTACAATTAAGTTGAGTGATGTGTCAGTGATAGGATATCGTGATCCTAGATTATTTATAATATTTATTATAATAAATACGATAATTCATTTATTGTTTTCATAATGAATTAAAGTGAACTAATTATCTATTGATAAGTATTTAATTATTAACAACGAACATGTGTAAAAAAATAGTCAGAAGAACTCGAAAAAAAATATTACACCTGAAATTTTAAAATCTAAATCATTTCTCACTGGAAGAATAATAAATAAATAAATAAATAATAATAATAATAATAACAAACGAGTTGACAGTTGAATAAAGATTAATAATAATTAGTAATAAGCAAAGTAGTTGTGTCGCAATGTTTTGTTTCCAGAGTCCGTTCACGCGCACATCTCGTAGCACGGTGACGACCCCAACTAATACTACTACACTGGGTACACAGCAGACAACGAAAAATGTAACCACTGAATTTAATAGACGTGGTTCTGAAGCTGTAAGTGAGGGATCTGGATCTTCCTCTATTCAATATATTGATCAAGAGATTTCAGCATCTACAAACAGCAGCACCGATACACTGCCAGGTATCAAGACAGATTATTTAGAATCAGCTCCATTATCACCTGATCCAGTACTACTAGTTACCAAGGATGTCATCATCACAGCAACTGCGACACCAACAACGGTAACAATTAATGGAATCCAAGAAGACATCACAACAATATCATCATCATCATCATCATCATCATCATCATCATCATCATCATCATCATCTTTTAAACAACAACCACAACAAAAGGGTAATGGACGATGGCGGAAAAAATTTCTCTTGCGTCTTAAGGCTGACTACTTATCAAATTCCCAAAATAATAAAAACACCAATGACCAAAATTGTTTTTCGCCATTGTCAAATATATCAACGTCATCCTCGTCCTCGGCAAGGGATGCATCAAAATCATCAAGTCCATTGATAACCAGAGGAGACGTTGACTCTAAACTCGTTAAAGTTGGAGCTTTCAAGGCCAGTTCAACCAATGATATTCCATCTTCGTTGAATGGATTCAGTGAAGAAGAGGATGACGACGACGATGATGATGATGATGATGATGATGATGTTGATGTTGATGTTGATGTTGATGTTGATGTTGATGATGATGATGATGATAACGATGAAGAGGGGATCATCCAAGGAGAAGAAGATGATGATAGTTGTGAAGAGACTGATCAAGGTTCATCAGTACCGTCCAGTCCAGCTGCTGCTATCTCCCTCGCTGGTTTACCACCCACTCAAGTGCCGTCTTATTACTCATTTCTTTCAGTAAATGGTGGTGCGATGCGACAAGAAACTACGAGCACCAGTTCGCCTCAGCTGTCAACTGGAGTGACACCAGCGACAAACAATGAACGGGACTTACCATCGGAAACAGCAGAGACCAGTTCGGTAACAGAAGAGTGTTTACCCGTGGGGATGAGCCTAAAGAAACCGGATACCTTGGATCCACCCAGTTGTTTACCTGCCGCTCGTTCCTGTCCTAATCTCGAGCAACAGTCAAACGGGTTCTCTTCTACCAGTGGTTCCTCCAGCCCGAGTCCTAGTCCTGGTCCCGCTGGACCAAGATTTAAACCCCTTGCCGAGGGAGACATACAAGTCTGTTATTTAAATCACGCGAGGACACTAGTCAGTAAAATATTGTCGAGTAAATTTTTACGACGATGGGAAACCCACCACCTTTACCTTAACGACGCCTGCCTGTCGTCTAAAACAGTAAGTCAATTAATGCAATTAATAATAATAATTATCATTATCAAGTATCTATATATTTATAGAGTATACAAAAATGTGCTTGTAGGATTTTTATTTGACGCACGTTAATTTGGCTGCCTATAATAAACCTTTTGTTATCGTAATCACCGTAATTGGTTTACACTTCAGATAACGTCACATTTTTTTAAAATTGACGTCAAAATTATTTTATAATAAAAATAATAATTATTATTATTATTATTATTATTATTATTATTATTATTAATAAACTTTAATACAGCTGTGTAAGTATAGTATGTACACAAGTAAATGAATTTTTTTTTTATTCTTTAATTCTTTCACATAATATCATGCAGTCTACAATGCTTTTTCCCACGACTTTATTTTAGTTTCATTTGTTATACGTTTTACGCTTTAACACTATTTACACCACTCATTGTCTCTCTTTTTATATTCACTAATGTACTTTTATACTTTTATATTTAGCAGCAACTCTTTCTGTACACGTCTCGAAATAAATTTTCATCATCAGGCCATTGCGCTTACCGTTGATACGTACGTAAGTTCCTTCGTTTATTCCTTTCGCGTCTACAGTATTTCATTTTAAATATTATCGAATTATTAAAATCGTTCACAACTACTCATAATCGTTAACTCTTTTTTTTACCACACGATCCTTGTATCTACGACCTTTCAATTTATTTCGTCTTTATAATATCCGTTTTTTTTAATTTTTCTTTTTTTTTAAGAGATAAAATATTATATATATTGAATTGATATTGTGGATTAATCAGTTTGATTACTCAATGATGTGTATAAAGAAGATATATACAATTAATAAAATATACGTAAATTAAAGCTGACACTTGAAAAAAAAAAAAAAAAAAAAAAATTTAAACACGAATAGATAAATACTATCCGGCACAAAAAGAAGACGTGCGTCAATGTGAATTAACAGCAAATCAGAATTAATAATTAACTTAAATATTAGTATTACCTAAAAAAACTATGAAATAAAAACAATTATTATACAATTTTAAGTATCAAAAAATCTAAATGCATACCGATTATTCTTGCATTAATTATTATAATAGATGATAGGTCGTATTACAGTAAGTACGTATTACAGCATAAATTGATTTATAAACTCATCAATAATAATTGAACACAAGTAATATTTATATATGTATAATTAATTACATTATTATCTAAGGATATAAATTTAAATACGGATAAATTTATAGCATTGAGTATTAAGTGTAAATATATATGTATTTACTTTTTTTTTTATACATAACATTTATCCACAATTAATCCATCGGCGTATTAATAAGTATTTAAAATACCAATTAATTAGAGTAGCAATTGCTCCATCAACAATATAACTGAGTAATTTATATATATATATTTTTTTTTTGCGAGTGAGGGAGCATCTGGGTGTTAGATAAATGGCTCCAATTAATAATGAATATACTTTTCGCTTGACTCTTGCGTGACTGATGCACATAACTTTTTTTACTTTCAACCGAGAGAAGCAAAAAAAAAATAATTTCCGGAAGAAATGGGCCAAAGAAAAACCGATTATAAACTTAAACTTTAGATTAAATCTATTTTTTTTAATTTTTTATAGCTGCTCATTGTAGTAAATGTCGTATGTTGATTATATGCACTTTACATAAATAAATTAATATAAATTTAAGTAACAAAAATATTAGGGGAAATATCAGTGATGGAAAGTGGTGATATGATGATGATTCTGATTACCGACAAACATTGACAACAGCGACGATGACGATGACGACGACGACGACGACGACGACGATACAAGGTCGAAAAGAGGCGTATAAATGTGTCATTGATAAAGTTCAAAACGTTTAATTCAACGTAAAAATGATTTATATAAACATTTGTTTAGCTCGTCACCGTGGATATGTGGAATATATATCTTCCTTTTTATTAACAACTCGTAATATTTGTCGGCGTAAATTTATCATCATTTTTTATATTCCTCCACATCATATCAAATTATTATTATTATTATTATATATAATTTGTTATTTAATTTAAAAGACTTTTAAGCAACCTCAGCAAGTGCAATAATTCACCGTTTAAGCGTTTTAGTCTGATGATGTTTTGTTAATTTGAGTAGTAGAGTTGAAAGAATAAATAATACCAATGCAAGTACAAAGACTCGGAGTGTAATTTAATAAATTGTTTTTTTTTTTTTTTTTTTTTTTTTCATTATCATTTTCGTTTTATCGTTGTTAATAATAATAGTAGTATAATTATAGAGCATGACCACTTCCAGGTTGTATTAATTTGAGGAGATCGTTGGTACTATTATATATCAAACTAAACCGCGTTATGTACTAAAACGTGTGATATACTATGTATATATTGAATATATTGTATTATATCGTATCGAGGATATATTACAGTGAGCCATGCACGGTGCCGAGGCTTGACGTCAAAGCTGACCCTGGATAATATGAGTTTCCGCCGTCGGACACTACAGATTGTCTCTGATATGATATGATAGTCCTCTACCTCAAGTTAGTTATGCAAATTAACTCCTTTCAATCCCATTAATTATTCCAAAAGTACTTTTACTAAATAATTAATAATTTTTTATAATTACAATAGCTTTAACGCTGATTGATAATTGTCCAAATCCATTAACTCTAGGAACAAATCAATTTCATTGACTTAATTATTAGATTTATAATTGTGATAAATTTTCTTCTTTTTGTTTCTCATTACCCTTAAAAAAAAAAAAAATTAAATTAAATTATATTATTAATAATAATAATAATAATAATAATAATAATAATAATAGTAATAGTAATAGGGTGAAATGTCTTTGCTCCCTACTGTGATTATTAATATTATGATGTATACGGGTACTAGGTAGAGATATATGGCGTTCATTGAGAGTATAAAACTAGGGGGTGGATATAAGCCAACACGACAGATTAGGTTGAGCTCACTCGAACAGTCGTTCAACTCACGGCCTAGATTCGCCAATGACGTCATTCAATCTCTTCTCTACGCAAGCGTTTTCCCCCACTGGTATTCTCTATCTGTTATCAGCTACTTCAGTTACAACAGATTCAACATTTTTTTCTTTTTTTTCTTCCCTTAAACTTGCCTTTCCTTTCTCAGCAATGATTAAGTATGTATGTAGTACATATATTATATTAAAAAAAAAAAAAAAAAGGTGGAATCATTTTCAATACTTTTTCCTTCTTATTGTATTATTATTTTGGGTCCTTCCAGCAGAATAAAGTTGTTATCTATTAAACATACAAAAGTTTACACTCGAACAATTTATCGTGTTAATTTAAACAATTGTTTAAATAGAGCACATTGGCCTGGTAGTATAGTACTGTTAGTAGTACTTATGGTAATACTGGTAGTATTGTATAATCACATTCACAGTTGACTCCCTTTAAAACTTATTTTTATTACTTGAGCGTCACTAAAGTAATTATTATTATTATTTTTGTTATTATCAATTATTTATACAACTAGGTCAATCCAGTTCCGTTTAAATATTTTTTCTCACGATCTCACCTGTACCCGAGGATACCATTTGCGTCATTTAACACTCATACTCATACTCATGCTGGCAATAAATCATAATTATTATTACTTTTTATAATAAATTTAATGCCAGGTGGTGAGTGATTAACGAATCAATGACATGGTTTTTGATAAAAACCATTTAAATGGATCATATTCACCAGTGTTAGACATAACACATTACAACACATCACCGTGTAGGGAGATAAAACATTCGTTTTTTTTTTTTTTTTTTTTTTTTATTTTATTTCACATTAAAGCACATTGAAAAATAAAATATAACTGTATAAATTATGAAATAGGGAAGAGGAAGTAAAATATAACCCCGGATGTTGTAGGAAAATGTGATGAGTTATGACCTACTGACACACTTGGATTCTCATGTTACATCTTCGCTTTAATTGCTTCTACTAATGGTGGTGGTGATAGAAAAAAAAAAAAAAAAAAAAGCAAGTAACGTAACATCACAAGCTAAAAATATTTATAAAACTTGCTTCATTCAACATTTCAATGCTTAATTTAATTTATTTATAATTTATAAATTAAATATTTGACAAGTGTGATGTAATTGAGAGCAGTTAAATAATCAGAGACACTTGATGTTATTTAATTATTGTTATTGCCCAGAATAAATTCAAGTTAAACGACATAATAAAAAAAGGTTGAGCTTTTTTTATATTTTATTATTTGTATATAAATAACGCGTATCGGTAATTCTCTGGTCTCTATAGATTATCATGGTTCGCTCTCTACGTCATTTCTATCACCAACACATAACTATTTTATTTAACAACCACTTTTGTACTCTAAAACTTTTTATTTTTTAAATTAAATTAAATTAAATTTTATATCGTAGTCTAGTTAAATGTTCCTTACCGGGTACTCTGTAAACCCGATAATTGTTTATTGATATCAATAATAATAATAATAATAATAATAATAACCAATTGGTAAGGGTTCAACCATTTAATTACTGCACTCTAAAATTTAATACAACTTAATAAAGTTAATTAAAACAAAAATGAAAAGTTAATAGTAAATAATTTAGATATATATATATTTGTCTATTAGTTGACAGGATTTCTTCAACAACCAGTACCGTACAGCAGTATGACTGAAGTATATGCAGTTGCAAGATGGGATCCAACATACAAATATTGTTTACGAATAGTATTGCCGGATGGATCATTATTACTTCAAGCTAGTAACGCTTATACAAGAGATCAATGGTATCACTCTATTCTTTGGAAGGTAATAATTAATTATTATTATTAAAAAACTTATTTTTAATTATTGTTTAAAATGGGTTTTAATAATTATTCACAGAAAAGTATATTTAAATACCAACACACAGTATCAATAAATACTAAAGAAGATATAATTCTTAAAGAGCTAAAATCAATGGTAGACTTTGCCCTGTGGACTCCTCTCCAAGATGAACGAGTTAATGGTACGCCTTTGGAGGCAGTAGCTAAGCTTCTTGAGGATTCGCCAATACCTAAATTATCCAACAGTCAAGATAATAAAATCAATCAAGAGGATAGAGAAGAAATAGAAAATTTAAACGACCAGAGAAGTTGGGCAGAAGCTGTGCTGGGTGTTGCTGCACCGCTTTTAGAAAAAGCACCGCCACCTCCAGTTTTGGCTCGTGCATTAGCTCGTCTCACTCACCAGCATCCAAAATCATCTCTGGTGCCAGCTATCGCCCCAGCAATCACCCGTTGCCTAAAGCACACAGTTGATTTTGGTAAATCTCCAGACATGCGGAAGCTTATTCAAGTATTTATTGCTGCTCTTTATCAAAATGACGACGGTGAGCAGTCAATCAGAGATTACATTAGTTCTATTCATGGACCCGGGAGTGATTGTCCCCATCCACGTATTTTGCCTAATTTAGTTTCCATCTGCGTAGCAGCAATATTCCATCGGTAAATTTTTTAAAACAGATATTTTAATTATAATGATAATGATAATAATAATAATAATAATAATTATTATTATTATTTTATTTCAGCTTTGAAACTCCGAAACACGATCTTGATATCGGTAAAATTCCCCCAGTTCCACCATTAGATTGTTATCTTTTAGTTTTAACAATCACGTAAGTAATACTAAATTATATAACAATAATAATAATAATAATAAACAATAATTTTAATAAATAATTATTAACAAATGATAGATCCGAGTACTGTGATTGGAGACCTGGTCTAAGCGCCCTATTGCAACCAGTTCCATTTCCAGAAGGTGCTTTAGCTAATAAACAAGTTCAAGAGACTATAATGACTGATTTAATGTGTCGATTGGCTCAAGACACACGTTGTACTGTCCATCGAGTTCTTTTACCTGTAAGAGAATTGCGGCCAGGATGGATTCATATCGCAGCTCCGTCCAATCCAGCTTGCCCTGATGACGGTACTCTGTTTGGAAAAATGGTAATTATTATTATTATTAAAAAATTAATATTATTTAATTAAATAAAATAAATATTATTTAGTTAACAAGCCTACTGGAATGTTGCTGTCGTCGTAAAAAATTTATCAGTTCGCTGCTTAAGCAAACTGGAAGTGCGTGTATACTTTTGGGAGTAAGAGGTTGTGACGCAGCACAAGAAGCTCTTTGTCTTATGCTCGAGTGGCGTCTCTTGCCCAATGAGGAAGCAAGACTGCAAGTTGTCTCAGCACTACAATCAACCCCCTCGGGTAAAGATCGCTACTCAGCTCTCTGTCAGCGACAAAAAAATCTTCAGGAATTGGTAAATATAAATAGATTTTTATTTTTATTATTTTTGTTTTAATTTTTTTTTTTTTTTTTTTTTTTTTTTTTCCTTTTTTTTTTTTTTTTTTTTTTATTAAAGCAACAAAAAGGTGGTCCGAAAAAATTAGTTCTTCCTGTACGAGCAACTGATGCTGACGTAGCTCTGTTACTTGGTGGTGGTGCTCTTGGTAATTTGGAGTGTCTCAGTTTGGCGTTTACTTCAGTAACATCTGCATGTGCTGAACAACTCATCAAACTACCAGCGTTGAGATATTTAAACTTATGGGCGACCCAATTTGGTGATGCTGGACTGCAAATGATAAGTGAGCATCTTCAAAAACTTCAGGTGCTTAATCTCTGTGAAACACCTGTTTCTGACAAGGGTATTTCTACACTGGCCTGTAAGTATTTTTTTATTTATATATTTTATTAAATAATTATATATTTAAATATATTTTTTCTTTTTTTATTTGTGTAGCACTTACAAGCCTCAAAAAGTTAAATTTAAACAGTACGAAATTATCTGCTCAGACATTTGAGTCGCTCAAAAAACGTTTGCCATCTCTTCAAGAGTTTGACGTACGTTATACTGAAGCCTGGTGACCCGAACCCGCAATCTCACCTCTTAAGATCGGCAAATCGACTAATAATATTAATTCTCGCAATAAACCAACAACAACAACAACTACTACTATTACTTCTACTACTTCTATTATTACATCTAATAATAATAATAATAATAATAATAATAATAATAATACTGTTATCAGTAATAACAATAATGATGTTTATGAAAAACCTAAAAGACAATTGTAATCGTAGAATTGAGTATGAATGTGTGCTATATTGAATGATATAATTGATAAATCGTATGCAAGTTTTTAAAATAAGTTTTATAATTCGATACCAACTCAACTTTATTTATTGATTTTTTTAAGAGTATATATATTAAAGTTGATATAATAATTAAATTGAATAATAGGGTCGACGTTTTGTTAAATTGTGGATGGGCTTTCTTAGACAGTATTGCCACGGACACTCAGTCAGCCTAATATTATTACATATTATTGTTATTAATAATTTTTTTGTTATAAATAAAATTTAAATAAATATTATTTTAATAGATTTATTAATAATAACAGTCCGTAGGCAATTTTAGTCTTATAATAATGAAAGAGAATAATAAATATGTCTTTAAAGAAAAGTTAAAAAATAAAACGACCGTTTGAGGATGCCCAACTGCCTTATTAAAAATTATTTATGACCACTGCCATAAAAAATATGCACATTTTTATCATAAAAGCCGGATTTATTAAATAATTAAGTACTTGAAAAAATTTATAGAAATTACGTACATTTTTTCGACCCTAGTATTTTAAATGTTAGTACTTGTAATCAATTGTTTCAATATATTTATAGTGTAAATAAATAAGTTTATTCATAAATTCTCTATATAATAATAATAATAATAATAATATTACTATTATTAAAAAAATTATTAACTTATTATATAGTTAGGTAATAATGTTTATATGTTATACGATTTAATATTATTATTATTATTAATAATTAATTATACATATTAAAATATTGATAGATCGATAAATATAAATTAAAAAAAAGATATTTCAATTAAAGTAGGTAACAAAACCGAATTTTCCCTTTATATCGTATTAATTTTATTGATTTAGAGATTTATTTAATTTTAATTATTAATTATGACTGATTCTGTACTTTATTATTTAAAAAAAAAAAAAAAAAAAAAAAAAAAAATATTTATATATATATATACATATTAAATTAAATATTCCAAGCTGCAAGGGAGCAAGATTATATAAAAAGACTGCTTTTATCAATTTCATCAATAAAATTATTACACAATTCATTAATTTATTCAATTTTACATATTATTATATAGAAAACATAGATAATTTATTTATCAATTGACACAATAATCCAATTTAAATTGAATATACTATATGCAATAAAGTCAGAATTGAAATAATAATTAGTAAGTGCTAAAAAGTAATTTATCCTCGATATAAAAAGTATAAACGTTTTATTAAATGTTTGTTCTACAGTCATTTACATTTTTTTTACAAAACATTGTTGAATAATTAGAACAATAATCAATTATTCGTTTGTTTTTGATTATAAAAAAAAAAAAGTTATTCAATATATTAGTTTGTTAAATTATTAAATATTATTATTATTATTATTATTATTATTTAATTAGTCTTATAGAGGCCGTTGGAGCCTCGATATTTTGGAACTACTTGGGTCAATGTTTATTTTAGATTGTAAATTTGAGGGCAATTCGCGCCAGACGGCTTCAGGTACACTGTCTGTAAAATAAAATAAATTATAATAACAAGAGATATACAATTGATGATTTAGTTCTTACCTTTACACTTGTAAAGCAAATCAGACCAGATAATCATTTCTTGAGAGAAACAAAATACACCAAGACGTCCACCCTTGAGTACCGAGTTGAATATGTTACCAGAGTCGACAATCAAACGAGGCCCTTCAAAAATCCACAGTCTTATCAATCCAATACTTGGTCTGTGTAATAATTGCCATCTGTAGGGAGTTTTTTCTGTCCAACCAACATTTCTAGGATCCTTCCACAGTAGTTTAACTTGATTATCAGTATCTCCCGTGTGCCATAAACTGTTTCTTAGTCTTTTACCAGGGCCTGATTCTGAATCAATAAGTTTTAATTGAATTCCCGGTTCAGCAACTGCTCGGAATGGATTTGCTCGCCAGTAAGTTTGTGTATTTTTTTTCCACATAACTGAGTAAAATCTTTTATTACTTTGATATGAAAAAACAAATCCAACATAGTCGTCATCAATGTCGGTATTTATATAGAAAGTTCCCTCAAAGTCAACTCCAGTGAAACTATCGTATCCTTTTAACCGATAAAAAAAAAAAAAATTAAATTATACTTATTACCTATTTAATAAATGAATATTTTATTATACTCTAACTCACCGACAGCTATTCCAGGATCACTATTTTGGGTTTGTACAATTTCAGCTCCTTTGTTATGAATCTGCCAATGAGGATCTATTTGAGCATCCCCTACAGGATCTAAAGCTATTATTTCATATTTTGTAAAATCTGTTGTCCACACTTGACTATTATTTGGACAATTGTCATGTGGATTAGCAATAGTATCATTGTCATTATCATTGAAACAGGCATCTCCAAATATACCTCCTAAATAAAATAAAATAAAATAAAATAAATTATTAATACTTGAATTATTAACAAAAAAATAAAATAATTACCTCGTGAATTTTTTTGCAACGGATTGTAAACAAATACACAGTTGTCAATCTCATTAGGTATATTGTCACCGTCAATATCATCATCACACTGGTCACCAATTCCATCATAATCCGAGTCAGTTTGCTCAGAGTTGGCAACATCTGGGCAATTGTCAAGATTATCTTGAATACCATCTTTGTCTCTATCATGTCCGTCATCACAAGCGTCTCCTACTCTATCTCTGTCTTTGTCTTCTTGATCTGGATTAGGAATCATTGGACAATTATCACAAGCGTCTCCAACACCGTCCCCGTCAGTATCACGCTGGTCCTCATTTTTCTTCATTGGACAGTTGTCAAGTTCATTCAATATTCCTATATGAAAAAAATGATTAACAAACATAAAATAAAATCAAAATGAAGAAGAAACAATAAAAAGTACCATCATTGTCCTTATCGTTATCACAAGCGTCTCCGATAGTATCACCATCGACGTCCTTCTGATCAACATTTGATATTGCTGGGCAATTGTCACAGGCGTCACCAATTCCGTCAACTCCATCACGATCTGTATCTTCTTGCTTGGGATTATAATGAAGCGGACAGTTGTCAGTAGTATCCAACACTCCGTCATTGTCAGAGTCAAGATCGCAAGAATCACCAATCCCGTCGTTGTCAGAGTCCTCTTGACCACTGTTTGGTACATTAACACAATTATCTGCCGGAATTTTTTTATGATTACCAACGTTTAAAGCTTCATCTGGATGTCCATCGCTGTCAGAATCAGTTCCACACTTTGCTCCGTTACCAGCCCACCCTATATGACACTTGAATTATTTTTAAATATTAAATTAAAAATTCTATACAGAATCTTTTCAATATTCAAATAAAAATAATAATAATAATAATAAGAAATTTATCTACCTGACAAATGTATTGATTAACAGCGATGCAAATACAATCAGCATTGTCATCGCAAACAGTTATTCTATCAGGACAAATATTCCTTGCTGGACGACATCCAACTGTTTGATTGCCAAAAAATCCAGCTCTACATAATCCACATTTAAATGATCCCTATATCATCAAATAATCATTAATAATTTGTCATAATTAAAAATAATAAATAAATAAATAATAAAAATAACCTGGGTGTTTATGCACTCGGAATTGGGTACGCAGCCTCCGTTACGTCCATCATCACACTCGTTAATGTCCTGGCAGATCTGCTTGTTCCTTCTAGTGAAGTCGATTTCAACAGCCTCGGTAGCAGTACTGGTAAATCCCGGAGGACACGGTTGACATCTATCATCGGGCAGGAGGCATTTACCGGATGGGAGGGTAAATATCTTCATCATTTACCCATTATACTCTTATACTTATTTTTTCCGTTTATTTTTTTTTTTAAATATATGTCATTTTCTACTTATTTAGTTTTTTTATATTTTTTTATTTTATTATATAAACTTTATTAATATTATTATTATTATTATTATTATTATTATTAAAAATTAATGAGGGAAATAAGAGGAACGTGAAAGGAATTTTAAAGACGAATGCAATTGTAAATATCATTAATCGTCTTTTTAGTTTCCTTGGCAATATATCTTCATTATGATACAGTGTGTGTGTGTGTGTGTGTGTGTAAAAAAAAATTTAAGTACATCAGGGAAAAAAAAAAAAAAAAACCAAACAAACAAACAGCAGCTAACTAATTTTGATTGAGAAAATGACGAAAGAAGCAAGAAAGAGGACTAATAATTTTTAATTTTAATTTAAAAAAAATTTTAAAATTGATTAAGTAGATATGTAGTAAAACGGATTCTAATGGAATTAAATTAAAAAGAAGAAAAAAAAAAATAGTATTTAACGGTGAGTGAATTAATTTGGTAAATCCCAGTCAGTAGGCTCGCACCTGTATCCTGGGGTGATGTTGATACACTCAGTTCCTGCGGGGCATGCTCCTATATTGAGATCACACTCGTCAATGTCCTGGCAGTTTGTCCCGTTACCGGTGTACCCTTGGGGACATTCGCCACATCTGTAGTAAGGATACTCGTGAATCGAATGACATTTTACTCCGGAATGGCAAGGGTTAGACTGGCACCCTCGAATTTGATGACAGTTCTCTCCAGATCCAGTGTATCCAGGAGGACATGAGTGACACCTATAAACATACGTTTATATATTTATATTATTTTTAATTTTTAATTATTAATAAAAATAAAAAAGACTGACCTGTATCCATTTCTTGTGTCTTGACAGCGAACCTCTGGGAAACAAGGATTATCTTGACATGTTTTTATTTTTTGACACCGTCGACCATCTCCGGTGAATCCTGGAGGACATCCAGTACATTCAGGACCTCTTTCAGTATCCCGACAGTAGCTTGCTGAGTAGCATGGACTTTGGTATCTACATGATGGTCGCGGTGGGGTCGGAGGTGTCGTAACTATTTAAATAATTAAAATTTTCTATATTGTTGAAGAAAAAAAAAAAAAAATACACTTACCTGGACGACAAGCTGCACATTCTTCAATTAATTTTCTTATGTACCGAGTTTCGTGAGTCTAGAATTGAATTATTAATATTAAATCAATAAATACAATGCATATTGAATAATTGAATGAGTATAATAATAATAATAATAATAATTGATTACATTTTTTTCAACTTCACTCCAAATTTTTTTTGTAACTTCTATCAGTTCATTCAAAGTTTTTATCAAGGTTCCATCTCCAATGCAATCTAAATAAATAATTTATAATATTATATTGTGTATTAGTTAAATAAAAAAAAATGATTAATCATACTTAAATCATCGATGGTATGAATCCCGATGTCTCCCCGTCGACGAACACGTGAAACGGTAGTACTGTGATTCGCTTGGTACTCAATGTCTTCAATGTCTTCAAGGTTTGTACGGCAGCCTTCTCTTTCCCACAACTCGGAAATTTCTGAACTTTTGTATATTTTTGTATGATACTTTCTATCTTTATACTAAGGAAAAAAATAATAACAATAATTAAGTATAACGTCATCATAGATAATGTTGATGTGCGTAAATTTAAACACACAAATATGGTATTGATATATTTAATAGAGCCTTATTTAGTAAAAAAACTCGTTCCTTGTATTTAATGTAGTTATAAATAAAATAATAAAATAGCAAAATAAACAGTAATATAAAGAGTTTACTCTAATAATGATTTAATAAAGTTTACGTGTTTATTTATAATTTATGCAATGATAATAATAAGTAATAAAAATAAAATACCACTCGAAACACAGAAATTGTTTGTTCATCAGCGGCTTCTCTCAGTGTTTTTCTCAACGGAATGGCGCCTTGATTGTTACAATTAATATACACGTCAACCCGAGAGTTTGGTTTATTTTGATGGACTAAAAATATTATATTTTTAATGGGATGCGTTACATTCAAGCTGCCCACTTGAAATTCTTGACTTTCTTTTTTGCTTTCTTCCACAGTTTCCAGGAGTACTGAGAAAAAAAAAAACAACATTATTAAGATTCAGATATAATTAAAAAAAAAAAGGACTTTTATAATTAAACTTACTTGTGTTGGTACGTCGATCAAGCATAAAAATAAATTTAGTTTTTGGATCTGGATACTTGGCAGCAAATAGTGTCTCTGTACCGAGTTCATTCTTCTTAAATTTCAAGTGTTTTACAGTGATTGCAAATTCATTGTCGTTGACTGCATCTTCAAGTGTATCACTGAGAACTTAATAATTTTTTAATAAATTAAATCTCAAGTCTCTGATGTAAATAATTTTATTCTGATGCTGATATATATTAATAATTATTATTAAATCAGTAACGCTGATGACTATGGTAATTAGAACAATTATAAAAACGTGGCCGGGCTTACGTTTAATATTTTTTAATATTACCTACTTAATGACTAGAGCTATAGCAATATGAGAAGTAAGTGTCCAAGTAAGATGATAATTGCGCCATTTTTCTGGCAGGAGAAACTTTTTTCCTTAAAAGTTCAGACGAAAAGTTTTATATTGGCAAACAGTGCGGTTGTTAATTGCTGGGGATAATTTGAACATTCGTTTATGATATAGATAATCAAAAGAAAAAAAAAAATTTAAAATTTTAGAATAAGTATATTTTTTGCAAATAGAATCTTGCAATGATGATAAAGAGAGTTGAGTGACCTTGCGATACCAGAATGATACCACCAGCAAGTTGCCTTAGTTGCCTTGTATTGGGTGGGTTTACGTTTATATACAAACTACCGGGTATTTCTTGCCCACGTTCTTAGCGACTGGTTTTAAAGACATAGCATAACGTTTGCTCTATGTCGTAATAGTAAATATAAAAGGGTCATCGTCGATGCCACTAGGACTACATATTTTAATTTGACAATAACAAATCTATTAAATCCCTCGATAATTCACTTTTTGTTATATTACATAAATATTTATCGTGATAAACCCCTTTAAAGTGTTCTAATTTTCCCTAAAACCATGTCGGGGTTATCAGGGTCAAAAGCTTTACGACATCTTATATTTAGATATTATTTTATTTATTTTTATCTATTTAATTGGAGTAATTGAAAAAAAAAATTAAAAAAATTAAAAAGATGATAATTTTTTTTTTTTTTTTTTTTAAATACCTTGATCGTATAAAATAGCGGTTGATAGTGTGAAAATTCCAAAAAAAATTAATACAATCGGATTAAACCCCGCCATTTAGGATTTAAAAATAAAGAATATAAATTTTTTAATTAAAAATAGTCGTCTTCATGTGATGCAGTTGCACTTTTTAATTTAAATAAAATACACAAAATGATGAATAAGTTTTGAGAATATTAGTATCACCAGCGATCAACGTCAACACTGAACCGGGGAAACTTTGCCGGCGAGTTTTATACGGCGCCCACGGACTCTTAACTTTTTAAAAGCGCATAAGGAGAGAGGAATATAGTAAGTACTGAGACTAACGCATTTTATAACTACACCCGTATCAATTAAAACAACAATAATATACTTTTATATTTTTTCATTAAAACTGTCTAAATAAATTTTTATTAATTATATTTTTAGACATCCAGCCACCAAATTATGTCAGTGTATTGTGTTACTTTACAACTTTACAAGTACCATATAGTAATAAGAGACGAGTAGTAGAGTAACAGATGTATTGTATTTATATATTTATTTATTTAGTTAAACTTTACTGAGTTTAAAAATGAGTAGGAAGTAGTTCTTCCTACGATATGTAACTGTCTATATTATAAATTATAAATAATTATAGTTGTTTTTTAATCCAGCTGTTAATGAGTTTAAAAATTATTTTTTTAAAATAAAAGTATTATGACGAAATAAAATGAAAGTTCCTCTGAGACTTGTAAGAAAAATCATTTTATTCTAAAATCCGAGATCGGTGATGATAATAAAAAAAAAACAACATTAATAAAAATTTCGATAAATTTTATTCATTTATATATATATATATATATATCAACAGTTGACAATATCTAAATTAATATCATTGTTGGGAATTATTTCAAGTGGTATACAAGATGATTGGGTTAAATGTGAAAGATTTTGATGCCACGATACACGACAAATAACTTGAGATGTTTTTTGCTTCTTTTTGTCTACCGTTACAATCCTTCGAGTTCTTGTTGTTGTTATTACCTATAAATAAATTTTATTAACAATTATTTTATTAAAAAAAAAAAAACAAAATAAAATAAATAAATACTGTGCGTAGTAAATAAAACAAATATTAAATATAAATAATCTTTAATAAATAATAAATAAAATAAAATAATAAATATATTTATTTGTTTTCGATGAGCTTGACTGACAAAGTAAATGGTGTAATTCGTGTCTCTATAGTAGGAGCTCGTACTGTTCTCTGGATTGAAAAAAGTAATGAATAATAAATAATAAATAATGTAATTTGTGCATTAAAAATAAATATCCAACATACTTGAGTATTCCGACGAATATTAAATGCTCCATAAACTATCGGATTCATACATGAATTGGTACAGGCAAATAGAAAAAGTCCTCTTTGAATTTTTGGATCTAGTTTATGAAAGCTTTCTCTGTCAATCCAGTACCTAAATTTTATTTATCTGTTAGCTTAATTATATTTTATTTATATATGTAGATAATTTATTTAAATAGTTACCAAGTACTTATTATGTAATAAGGTGTCCAGCAGATAAAGAATACAGCGACAATGATAATTGTCATTTTTAATGTTCGTATTTTAGCACGTCCCAAAAATCCAATCGATGATCGGCGTATTTTGTCTGGACAAAAATATTCATTTTTAACATAAAAAATTATAAAAATAATTAAAATAAAAACAATTACCTTTAGAATTTTCTCTTGTTTTGCTGTAAATTTCAATCAAAATACTGGAGTATGTATAGATAATTACTACCAAGGGTAAGCAGTACATCATAACCATTGAAAAAATAGAGTATCCAACTTCTTCAGTTACATTTGGAGTTAAAAAATGATAAGTAATACATTGCTCGTACCAGATAAATTTTGGATGTCGTTGAACGTGAAACACAATCATCTGCAATTAAAAGTTAATTCATACATATATATATATATATATATATATATATATATCAATTTCAATAATTAAAAAATAAATTACCTGAGGCGCTGAACACAAAACTGCACCAATCCAAGCTCCTATTAACATTATTCTTTCTCTTTTATTGATATTTATTAATTGCATTGGTTTCAAAACTGCATAATACCTTTTAATAATAATTTAATTTATCGTTTGTAAATACATGTATTATTGTAATTATATATTTACCTGTCAATGCTTATACAGATAAGTATGAATGAAGACAAATAAAGACCAAAAACACGAAAAAAGGCCATAATACGACACATTAAATCTCCGGCACGCCAAGAAACTGTCGCCGCCCATCCAATTTCGAGCGGCATCATCAACAAAGTTACCTGAAATTTTTAACCTTGATCTCGTTATAATTTAAACTAATCAAATATATAATAAATAATTGTGAAAAATGATTTACCAATAAATCGGCGATGGCCAAATGCATTAACATTGTGTTGATTCGAGACTGATGAGTTTTACGTCGTTCAAAAATTAGGACTAGAACAGTGGTGTTCCCGGCAATTGATATCACCATCAAGACGCTGTAAGTTATGATACTCAGTAAATGTCCTTCGTTGAATTGCATGTCAATAGGCAATTCTGATTCCGAAATCGGTGGGATCAATTTCGTTTTGTTCACGTGCTCTGCCATTTTTTCTTCTTCTTCTTCTTCTTCTTCCCTACATCAAGTCATTTCCAACTGCTTTGAATAAATAAACCAATTTATCAATAATCATATTGAATTTATTATACGTATGATAATCATAATCACAAGCAGAATTCACAAACTTTACTGCATAAAGCCAAGATTTGATCACTGATCAATTATAAATATTTACCACACTAACTGGGAGTTTGTTTATTGTAAAATCCGGAAATATCAATCGAATTAAAGAGTACGTTGATATTAAACTAGCATACTTCTTATACTAAATATTTCACCTTGACTTTCAAATTTAACTATTTGTATTAATGAAAATGAAGTTAGCCGACAATTTTAAATTTTTTTTAATTTTTTATTGAAAAAATTTCAATTAAATATTAAAAAAAAAAATTTTCACATGTAAAAAACTTGAAAAACTATAAGTGCAATTTTTTTTATAAATATCTTTTTTAATTGTAATTTAATTAATAAAAAAGAATCAATAATTTTTAGACGTCTCTGGTAACTTATTCAGTATCATTTTGTATTACTATTATCAAATATAATAAAAAAATGTAATTTTTCATATTTAATTTCATCTAAAATAAATAAATAAATAATTAAAGGTACTCGTATTATTAATTTTTTGAATTTTGTTGTGGTGTTAGGGTGACTGCATACCTGTAACGGTTGATTTGCGCGGTAACACTGCGGTAAGTACTTGGAGCTTCCTGAATCATCTTCTGGAATTCCGAGTAATATATATTTGCGCCCGCGCATTTCATGCATTTTTAAAATAACACCAACAACTAATTATTATTAAAAAAAGGAAAATCATGTTTTATTATCACCAATTAATCTATTTTTCTGAAATATTTATATTTTAATAATTTAATGCATCGACATTTATTGTTCTATATTTTATAACTGAAGGATTGATAAACAAGTGTAATGTAATGATGGTATTATATGAAAAGTTTAAGTGCTCTCTATAATAATGTCTCAATAATTCTACAACGCTCAACGGGTGTCCAATATAATCCACTGTATCCAAGGTAACTATTGCAATTATTTTATTTTTTATTTCTATTATTATTGAAAAAATAAATAAATAAATACATCAAACAATGAAATATAATATATATTCAAGTCATCCAATTAACGGCGTCCTAATGATCATCCATATTTATAGATTATTATTATTTATTATTAACACAACTGTCAAATTATATCAAACCTTTACAGAGTATATTTGTATTAACCAGTCGAGATCGTTATCTATAAATACTTCTATACCTATCATAAATATATAAGAACAAAATGAAAAAAAAAAAAAAAAAAAAAAAAAAAAAATTATTCTTAACATATCAGAATAAAGTAATGTCATTTATTTTCTGTCATATAATTCAAGGTGAAAGTCTAATGTCTATTTGTTAAAACTTAAACTCTGCTTTCATCTTTCATTCTTATTTATTAACTTCTTACTCCTACACACCTTTCACTCTTAAAAGTAAATATATAAATAAAAACCACGTACCTCAATCCATAAATCAATTTCGATTACTTTTTCACGTCTTCACGTCTTACCGGTTACTGTAACAGCATCTTCAATTAATGTCTGATTAGAATTAGACGTAACTAACATAACGCCGACACAACTTTTCAAGGGTTCAATTAAACGTCCGCGAACTCCAAGATCTGACACTGTAGATCAAATGTCAAACAATCACTGATAGCTCTGAGAAATATACATCTTTTAATATGCTACTGGATATATATCCTCAATACATCAAATCATTAATAATCTTTTAGTTTTATACTAACGAACAATAATTTTTATAATCATTAATATCTAATGGAAAGAAATAAAATAGTTAAAATATTAATTAAATATAACAAAATCTGAAGAGGAAACGAAGAAGAAGAAGAAGAAAAAGAACTGCCTGATTATGTATGATAAAAGTAAATAGTAAATATTATTCCGTTTTTAAGTTTGTGACTAAGAAAATAATCTATGACATTGATTTTTATTAAAAAAAACTATTTTTCAAACGTTTGTTATTATTATTAATATTAGTCAAATGTTTATTTATATTTAGACTTTGATCGTTAATCTCATACCTGCTATACTTATCAATAATCAATTTTTTATCATCATCAGAAAATAAAATTTTATTTTACTATCGAAAGTTAATTTTAATTGCAAATTTTATAAAACAATTAGTCTTATTGTAATAAATTTTACATAACGTCGATTGACACTATATTATATTATAAATTCAACGTAATAGTTACTTATAATAGTGATAATATTATTTTATGAATTTCACCGTAGTCACGATCTAAATTTAAAACTAAATCAAGATACTCTTTTAATAATTATTTACTCCACTATAGATCTAATAAAAAGAGAATGCGAGTCTAAGTATATAAAGGACACATTTCCAGATACTGTGATGATAGTTTTAACAAAAGACACGCTGTTGACGTTTCGTATTCTTAAATTATTATATTAAATATAATTCACCATGTCAATTTTACATGTAAGTATTTTATAATTATAACAATTAAATAATGAAAAAATTATTTTTTTATATTATTATAGATATTAACATTTATTGGATGGCTTTTTACCAATATTGAATTTAGTATTACTCAAAGGTAATTAATAATTATAAAATATAATAATTTTTATTATAAATTATTATCAACTATCTATTTAATTTTAGATACAATTGGCCGTATAAAGAACAGTCAGTTTATAAATTATTAAAACCCGCATCGTTGACAACAATACCCAAACATCCACCAATTATTTATGTCGCTCCGCCTATTTTAAAATCATCTGACAAAAAAACTCGCCGCAAAGAATCTAAAGTCAATTACACGGTAATACTAATGGTGAATAATTAATTAAAAATTAATAATAATACTAAATAATGGATTATTTTAAGGATTATCCAATGTACTCATTTAATTACGGTGTAACTGACGGTTATACGGGTGACTCAAAGTCAGCTTGGGAAGAAAGAAATGGTGATGCTGTACGTGGTAAGTACTCGGTAGTCGAAGCCGATGGATCTATTCGTACAGTAACTTATACAGCAGACGATAAAAATGGATTTAATGCCGTGGTTACCAAAAGCTTACCACCAAATTTCCACAAACCTAATTAATTGCCTCGGTAAAAAAAAATATTATTATTCATTTAAAAGTTAATTATTAGTTGTAAATATCAGAATTTATTTCAATACAAAAAATGTTATAACTTATTTTAAATCACGCTTTAAAATAATTATTTTATCATGTTTAAAAAAGTAATACTTGGTAAATTTGATGAATGTTTAAATTTGTACGCATGTCGTGAATTTTATGTAATAACCATTAATTAATTAATTAATTAATTAAGTAAAAAATGAATTATGATGATTAATATTAAAATGATATATTTAATAAATTATCTATTTCGAGATCTTTTATTATTATTTTTCTTAGCGCTGTTGGATGATCTATTTTTACTAGCTTCTTTGCTATTGGTATGTCCATCTTTAGCGGGTGTAGAAATATGTTCTAGACTACCATTTGACAATGGACCATTTGTAAATGTAACATTGGCATCGTTGTTACTCAATGTACCGTTGTTTTGTAAATATCCAGATTGTATGGACGTGTGATTCTTTCCACTTGAGTCTTTGCTATTACCCGATGTTACCACACTAGAATTGTTATAGTTGCAGTTGTCTTCACTACCGCTATTTCCAAGCTGTGATTCTGACTCACTGTATCGTTCAACTAAAATAAGGTACCCTCTAATTAACCGTACTAAGCAATATCGTTCAATCACTATTTACATATTTCTTTTAAATAATTCTATTTAGATCACTCAATCATTCGCTCATTTAAAATTATGTGCATTAAAATTAAAATAATAATAATAATAATAATAATAATAATAATAATAATGATGATAATAGTTGAAAAATATTGATTTATATAATTTATATGTACAATAAATGTGAAAAGACAGAAGTCAAGATAGAACTCATAGCCAAAAATATAATTTTAAAAAATATATTTACAATTTAATGAAACGAAAACAAAAAAAAATAAATAAATAAATAATTATCGAACATGCTCAATGATAAACTATGTAGTAATTTTGAAAAATATTTAGATTACTCTAAACTTAAATAACAATTGAACTTAGAAAAAAGAATAAATTTATGAAAAGAAAAAGATGTGCTACTTAATTTTCAATAAAAGTTAATGCAATATAATCAATAATCATGAATATCCATTCAAATCCTTACTTTTTTCTTGGGTATTATCGACCAAACCACTTACAGCCTGAAATATAAATAAACAATCAAATTATAAACTTTTTTTTGTAATAACAAATAAATTTTTATTTATAGATATACTTACAGCCATGGACGTTATTGATGATTTAGAAAATAATCTTTCAGCTTCTTTAAATTTTCTATTTCTTTTATCAGCTTTACTATTTGTATTTTTATTGCTAGCTAAGTATCTGTCCCATCCTCGTATAATATTCCCATATAATTGTGTATCTTCAAGATAACTACCTTCAAAAGCATATATTTGTCTTTCTAAATTCGCCAGGGTGTCCTGAAACAAATAATAATAATAATAATAATAATAATAATAATCAACTGTTAAATTATCAAACTTAACCTTAAATTCAATGATAATACAAACTTTGTATTCTTAGTGTCAAAACATTCAAAATAATTATAAATTATTTACAATTAATCGGATCATTATTTTCTATTTCTAAAATATATATTTATTTTAAAATAATTGTTTAAAAAAAAAAAAAAAAAAAAAAAAACTTACAGCTATTTCAGCTTTTCGCTTAACAAGCTCAGCCAATTCGCCTCTTAAATCTACGGATGACTTAGTCGACATATTTTAATTTGTTGAGTGTACTTATGTAAAACACTTTGGTGTTGAAAAATAAAAATAAAAATTGTTTTATTTCTTAATCAAAACAAAGCTGAGATTTTTCTGATTTACTTATTGATATGAGAATATATTATTAAGAGCAAATAAGAGAATGAATCTGTTGCCATCTCTTTTCAATTTTCATCCATCAGCTGTTTCGTGTTTTTCAATTCCACCGTTTCACTTATTATAATAATAATTTTCCTTTCCAAGTATTCCTCTCTTTCTATAACCAATAAAATTTCAAATTCCTTTTTTATCTCAGCCACTAATATATATATATATATATATATATATATATATATATATATACACTTGACACACTCTTTCTCTCTCAACTCTCAAACAGTCAAACCTAAAAGTGAATATAAAACAAACATAAAATCTAAAAGTCAAAAGTTATCATTAAAAAGAGATAAAAAAAAATAAAAAAATTTTTTTAGAGTAGATTAAATGAAAAAAATAAATTTATAAAATAAAGTAAGTACCGGATTTATGAAATATTTTTCCAAGTTTTACAGAGTTCCGTGTTGGCGCTTTATTATCTGGATTATACACACATAAAAGTATATATATACAAGAAGTGGATGATATATAGATTATATATGTACATGCTTACTATATATGAGCACTCACATGGTTGACGATAATCCTTGTAAAAAACGTTCAGGTGTTGAGAGACTGATTCGCGCCTTTCGTAATCTAGTTTGTGCAATACCAGTCAGGCAGATAGTTTAATTAAATATCTTAAAAGCTTTAAAGACAATTTCCTAATTGTTTTATTGAATTTAAAAATCTGTGGGGTCTGGGGGGTTAATAAAATAATAAAATAAATATAAAAATATAAAGGATGCCGGTTGCAAGCACTGCGAGTGGTTCAATAATAAGTGGTTGGCTGCCAAAATGGCAACTTGCTTTGGCAGTAGGAGCACCGGTAGCACTAGGACTAGGGTATATTTATTATAAAAATACAAGTCAAGAAAAATCGAAAAATTCTGGAAAATCAAACGGTGTAGGGACTGAAAAACAAATATCCATTGACGGTGATACCTTAGCCAAAAGTATTCAAAAGCCAGAGGTTATTTTTTTTTTTTTTTTTTTTTTTTATATTTATTTTTTTATTACTAGACTAGTGAGTCATTTATTTGTCATTATATGTTATTAACACTCTGTGTCTAATAAATTTAGACTCCAATAGCCAAGGCTCAGCGATTCAAGACCCTTGGAAATCAAGCTTTTGGTGCTGGAAAGTATGATGAAGCTATTTCATATTACAATAAAGCTATCGAGACCTGTCCGGATGATCAACATGCCGAATTGGCTAAAAATTATCAAAACAGAGCTGCTGCTCATGATGCGCTGGTAATTAATTTTTTATTATATAATATATTGATAAAAAAAAATTTCATTTTAATTTATATTTTTTATAAGGAAAATTATGATGCGGTAAAAGATGATTGTACAAAAGCACTGGAACTTAATCCAACATATACTAAAGCTTTGTTAAGAAGAGCACGTGTTATGGAAAAAACCAACGAATTGGAACTTGCACTTGAAGATGTTACTGCTGCGTGTATTCTTGAAAGATTTATGAGTCAGTCAACGCTTTTGATGGCTGACAGAGTATTAAAAGAATTGGGTAATTTATTTTTCTACATAATATTTTTTAATATAAAAATAATAATAATAATAATTATTTATTTACAGGAAAACAACACGCTCACGAACATATGAAAAAAAGAAGTCTTGTAATGCCTAGTAAACATTTTATAAAGACATACTTTAGTTCATTTAAAAGTGATCCTATTTTTTCGGATGACGCTAGTGACAATGACAATAAGTATGTATATATAAGTAATTACCTAATATTGTTTTTGATTAATATTAATTTTTTTTTTTTTGTTTAATAGAGATTTAGCGGAAGTCATTCAGTTATTTAAAGAAGAAAAGTATGACGATATAATTGAAACATGTACATCAAAAATAGAAAGCTGGGATTCAAAAGACATTCAAGTTAAATTGAAATTACATCTTCTTCGTGGTACCTTTTATTTATTGCTTGGCCAACACGAAGACGCGATAAAGGATTTAAACACAGTGATAAATAACGATGAAGCGCCGAAATCAGTAAAAGTAAATGCATTAATTAAAAAAGCAACTATGAGTATGCAGTTGGAAAATCCAGATAAATGTTTCGAGGACTTTGAAGGAGCTCTTGCCATAGACACCGAGTGTGGTGATATTTACCATCACCGTGGGCAAGTAAACTTGTTGTTGGACAAAGTTATCGAGGCGACATATGATTCACAGAAAGCATTGGATTTGAATCCAAACTCTGGAATCGCATTTGCTCAAAAATGTTACATGGATTACCGATACGCCGCTATATCCCGATCAACTACAAAAATTGATTCTGCGATTAAAGAATTTAAACGTGCTTTTGAATTATTTCCAGATTGCTGTGAATGTTATACGTTATATGCTCAAGTAATTATTATTTTTTTTAAATTATTATACATACTTGAAATAGAATAATTAAATATTATATTTTAAATAAACTTTAGATGCTTTGTGATTCACAATCTTACGATAAAGCTGACGAGTACTTTGCTAAGGCTATTGAAAAAGATCCATTAAATGCAACTATCCGTGTACATAGAGGTTTACTTCAATTACAATGGACTGGAAATGTTGAAAAGGCTGTTGAGTACATCAACAAAGCCCTTGAGTTGGATAAAAAATGTGAATTTGGATATGAAACTTTGGGAACAATTCAAGTTCAACGGTAAAAATTTTTTAATTTATTTAAATTAAATATATTTATTACTAATTATTAATTATTGATTACAGAGGAAATTTAAAAGAAGCTATTGAATTATTTGATAAAGCATTGGAATTGGCTCGAACAGCCTTGGAACTTACTCACATATTTAGCCTCCAAGACGCTGCGAGGGCTCAACTCAAGGTCAGTGAAAGATTGGGTGCTAACTCATTATTGGGTATGTCAGGTGTAATGTCGTAATAAAATCAAAGAGTTTAATTTCAATTTCTAACTATTATCATCATCGACTATGTAAGGATTATAAAATATAAAAATTGCATTTTTTAATGAATTTCATACCTAATGAATTCAAAAGTAAAGATTGATTATGTTCAATGGACATTGAAGGCAAAAGTTATTTAAAATTAAACATTATTATTAAAAGTATCAATTGGAAAAGGATTATTGATTCATGTAGGTATGGATCGACTGTTACTTTTACAAGTGCCTCCAAATTATTCAAATAAACATTCATTTAATCCGTTTATTATTATTATTGTTTTTGATTGCAAATTAATATATATGTTTGTTGCTTTATTCAAATGAAGAAATTAATAAATAATTATTGACAATTGTAAAATTATATAGTGTTTATTATACGCTTATAAAATCTGAGTAGTCTCGCACTGTACAAATTGCCTCTTTTTTTTTTTTTTTTTTTATTTTTAATTATTATTACATTGTTAACTAATTATTTGACTTAATAAAGAATAAATACAATTATAATCTTTTATCGAAAACTTTTTTTTTTTTTTATTTTTAATCAGAAATATATATATATTTAATTAGAGTATATTTAAGTCTATACAATTAGACTAGTTTTTAATTATTTGGTGATTTGATGAATGTCATCATCATGGAATATAAAGCATGTTAATTATAATTTATACGTCGTAAAATAGTGAAGCCAAAGGATATCTTATTGAAAATGCAACAGCTGTACAAATCACCTAGTGTAATATAAATAAATAAATAAATAAATTATCAGTTAAGCTATAAAATTAATAATAAATTTATTTACCTGGAATATTAATAAAATTGCAGTTAAATTTGATTCTTTTCTTGAACCAAATGTAATAAGTATTAAATTTATTAGGGTTAAATTATTACAAATAACGACACCGTCTTTATCCTCTTCCCATTTTACTAATTTAAATAATCGAAGCAGTCCCATAATAAATTTAGCTGAAATTAAAAGTAATTATTTTTTCATTACATTATATTATAAAATTTAAAACGTTAAATAGTAAAATACATACCCAATTTATTTAATTGGGATTTATGAAATGTCGTGACACTTGGATCTAACTTGCCAGTCTCTCTGTTGAATCTATATAAATTAATAAAGTTAATTGCAGTTGGAATAGTTTATTGATATTGATCAGTAGTAAGTATCAATTATTTATTAATAATATAGACCTTGGTAACCGATGTCGCGGACATGGCACTAGATGAAAGAGTTGAGGTACGCTGTATAAAAAGTTAATAACTTGTGGAATAAAAAATAATAAAACCGTTTTACTGAAATGTCCAATTATTCCAACAACTGCAAATGTCATTCCAGAGAAATAGCAGAATGTATCGCCCACAAATACTTGCGATGGATACCTGTAATACAAATTATTTTTTTTTTAAATAATTAATTTTTTAATTTTTATAGAAAAAAAAGTAAGAAAATTCGTCAGATCAATAAGAGAGTCTGACACACCTGCGAGAAAAAAAAAAATTTATTTCTTTGAGCTCTCGGCACAGCAGATGTTTCTTTTCTTCCCAGTATAATAGCCGGATAAAGTTCTTGCTTGGGTAGTCTAAGTATGAAGAAAAAATAAAAATATAAAGAGTATGGGTAGGAAGAGCATTTGAAATGCGGTTACTATTGAGATTGCAGCAGTTGTGATTTACCCGGCAACTAAAAATATATCTATTACTAACTACAGTTATACATATACGTGATTTTTTTTTAATCCCTAATATATTAGGAAAAAAAAAAAAAAAAAAAAAAAAAAATTAAAAAGAACCCTTGGAATTAAAATTCTTAGAGTGTAAAATGATGATCTCTAAACTATAGTTTAGCTAGTTGAATCATCGGTTGTTGCCATAAAAGAAGTGAATCATATACATTATAAACTAAGTATAATAAGTAGATAATATTTTTTAGTGTGTACATGAACGCATGCGCTGGTGAAACACCGCGAACGCGCTTGTCGTCTTTAGATTCTTTATTCTTTATACAAAACATCTCGCTCTCGGGATCTAGACATTCTGGTGGTGGTTCAACGCGACTCATGTGACGACGAACCTCTGGAGGATAGGGCGGGTACTCCGGGTGTGGTTTTTTATTATTAATTTGATTGTCATCACTAACCAAGTTATTGGTAACACCACCAACAGCCAGGAGTACGTCAAACTGTCACTGACTATTTAAAAGTTTTATCATTAAAAAATAAAAAATATTAAAATACAACGACAACAGAGCAACATGCGATTGAGAGAGTTAACACAAACAGTTGTAAAGAAATGCTGGAAGATCAAGAGTTTGCCGGTGAGTGTGCGTTAATATAATAATAATATGTATATGGTATTGAGGTCATTCGCTCAGACGGTGAACCGATGACGTTATTTATATCACCAAGTTGTAACCAACGGGGATGACAATTAGATGGATGACGTTGTCATGCCAATGGCTAATTTTATTTATAAAATTTACTCTACAAGATAATCATACGTATATCTATTTATCATATTATATACTTTGACTTCAACTTCGGAGCATGGCAACTTCCCACTTCAAAATAATCGATATTACTGTCTCTCTACTAAAGATTAGATATATATTTAATTATTATTATTATTTATTTACAGATTGATAAGGATTAATAATAATCATAAGCTGAATAATTATTAAATAAAATAAAAAATGAAATGAAAAAAAGAAAAATATTTGGGAGTAGAGTTGATAATCAGATGCAATGCAGAACCGCTTGGATGGAAAGCTTATTTTATTATATACATTGTTGGTTCTGCAGGTCTTTATAGTTATGATCTATGTAATATCAACACCAAAATCCGAATATGATCTATCAACAACGAGAAATCCTGTTAGTTTTATTGATACTCAAACCGTACAGGTAATTTTTAATATAAAAAAATAATAAATTATTTTGAAATAAAATTTGAATTTTTTTTTTTTTTTTTTTTTTTTTTTTTTTTTTTTTCTTCAGGTGCCTACTTATCATAATCAAATAAAATTAAAAATTCCTAAACCGACAACTCCAACAATTAGTGGAGAGATAAAATTAAAGAATACACGGACTTTAGAATTTTTCATAATTAAAAACCAGACTGCTTGTTGGAAGGAGGGACTGGATAATGATAAAATCAAGAGCACTGAAAATGAACGTGAATTAGATAGATGTATTTGTAAACCAGGATGGCACGGCGTTGACTGCGGTGAACCGGAAGTTGTTTGGCGTGCAATAATGGCCAGCAAACAGAATATTAAACTTACAAGACGTAGAACATCACGAAGATTGATATACGTATTCTCAGTTGATGATTTCAATTCAGCAATTGCCGAAGTTATTGTGGAGGAACTCTATAATGTAGTTGATTTATTTGTTATATGTGATTATAGTAATTCTGAGGAAAATTTTAAACATAAATTAGCTAAAGGTCTTCTAGAAGGCCACCAGAATAAAATATTATATATAAATATAAATTCTGGTGGTGGTAAAACGGCGCGAAAACCTAAACGCGTAATATCCCGATTTATTTGGGATAAAATAAGTGTACAAGTTAAAAATATTAAACATGACGATATCTACGTAATGACTGACAGTGAAGAAATATTAAATTTAAGAGCTTTGATGTTCCTAAAAGTATACGATGGTTGGCCACAGCCCATTGGTTTTCGTTTAAGATGGTCTGTATTTGGTTTTTTCTGGCGGCATCCACTAAAAACTACCATAACCGTGGGTGCTTGTACTGTTGGATTTCTTTACAATGCCTTTCGTAGCAATGCCTTAGTTTTAAGTCAATTATCCGATGAAATAAGTGAACAACGTGACAATCTCGGATTAGTTATCGGTGATTTGAACCACTATGGTGGTTGGTACTGTCATTATTGTCAATCACCGGCGAATATTGTTAATTTAATTGAACGTGAGGGCAAAAATAATGTACCTGATGGTACAAAAAATTTGGACGTTGCATTTATAGAAGATATTATTGGTGGTGGCGTTTGGATTGACGGGAAAACAAGTTTACTGAGAGCTTATAAATCACATGAATCATACTTTGCACCAGAAACTGTTATTGCAAATCCATTCAAGTATGACTGGTTAGTTGATAATTTTTATGCTAAACTTGATTACTATTAATTCATTTGCAATACTCGAAATCTGTGATATTTATCTTCATACTCTGAATTTTCCATATACTTATTATACATGTTAATTAATTAGTAATTACTAATTACTAATGAATTTATTAAAGTATGTTTTTATTATTAAATTTATTAGTATATTATATTATTATATTAGTGTAATTTATTTGGACTTACCAATTGTATTTGAATAGCGCCAGAGAAGTTGTAAAATATGGTAACATCAAGTAGAGTGAAAATTGATGAGCTTTCCACAATGGTCCAATCAATTCAATAATATTAAAAATTATAATACTCAATGCAATAACAAGACTTTGTCCTACTTCAAGGCCATTTATACCAGCCAATATATTGATAGCGTTTGTACAAAAGACTGCCAGCATACCCATGTAAACATAATAGATAAGACCCAAGTTAACTGACAGCCCGAACCAACATCTCAAAGGTTTTGGTACTATTATCAAAGTTCCATTGTAATTAACGTAGTAGATCATCAGTAAGGGTAACGAAGCTATTGTAGGTAGAAGAAGTTTGTATCTCCACTGAAGATCTATCACGTCATCAACAAAACCAAGCAACAGCATACAGCAAATAGACAGAAGGGCTGCCAGCAGCTCAACAAACTGTTTTTATTTATTATATATATATATATATCAATTAGTCAGATATTTTATAACTATTTTTTTTTTTTTTTTATACACTGTATATTATTACCTCATGGTGGGGAAAAGTCGAATTATCGAAGATATTATCAGTAAATGGTATTGGAATAAAAAGAAATAGTGTTATGAGAAATATACATCCACTCACTACTCCCAATGCTTCTGGCCTAAAATTATAAAATATTTATTTTCATTTTTTCTTAGTCATTATTTATTATTATTATTATTATTACTACTATAATTACTTACACTTTACCACCGTTCCTTTTATTCATATCAATACCAAATAGGTTAGCTTTTATAAATTTATCTTTGAAGCTAGGTATCAATATTATTGCTACAATAAATCCAAATATTGACATCAGTATATTAATATACAATGAAAAATTCATTTTCCACGTTTTTTCACTTTCTTCCATTTTTTTATTTATCTTTTTATTGTTTTTGAAAAAAAATTTTCACCGGCGCTGTAACAGCTGCTCTTACATCTATTTACATTACACAATTTTTATATACACAACACGCATGCATACACACGTAAGTATACCTTATCGAAGTGTCACCACGTCTATGGCATTAACCCCTAAAGTCGCTTCGAACAGTCATTTATTATCGTGATTTTTCGATCTTTCTTGCTCTATGTATATACATATAAGTATTTACTCTGTCGTGCTGTGAACCAAAACTAAAAAGTGAGAGAGTGACAAAAAAAAAAAAAAAAACCCGAACCTTTCCGATTATGACTGTTTTTCCATCATTACTATAGGTATATATTCTCATATTAACTGTTTAAACTGTGCAATTCTCCTCTTTCTCACTACATTCCATGTTGATGCAGTCAGTTATTATTTTCGGGATGATTAGTATAGAACTGAATAGAACAAACAAATTTAATAATTGAATTATTAATTACTTTCTAAGCCTTAATTAAACGTTTTTTTTTTTTTTTTTTTTTTCCATATTAGTATATATTTTTGATCGTAAGTATTTCGCTCAATGTACAGTACATGATGCAATAATCACATATTAATAATAACTAATAACCATACTGAATGAAATAGTAAAATATTTTTCAGTGGCTTTATCTACTACAGCGCAGTTGAAAGTTTAACAACACGTGTGTTACCAATAAATTGGAGTTGTTGAAAAATTTTTTATATTTTTAATTATTAAAAAAGTATATACTTACCTATTCAGTAAATAACATATATAATTTATTAATTTATATTTTAGAAAATGGTCAGTGAGCAACAAAAAGATGAAATAATCGCATTAGAAAGTATTTATACTAATGAAGAATTTTCTTATAACTTAAACAATGATCAATACCAGTGTTCGTTGAAGATATTCATAAATTTACCAGAGGGTTATTATTTAACTTACAAAGATGAGAGTAATCCAGATGAGGCTGATGAAAAATTATCAATTGGACATTTACCGCCGCTTAAATTATACATGACACTACCAAAAGATTATCCTGATAAATCAGCCCCAAAATTCACTCTGTACTGTTCCTGGATGACTCCATTTAATCTGACTAAACTTTGTAAAATGCTTGATAAATTATGGGATGAAAACAAACCTCAGGAAATTATTTTCACGTGGGCAGCATTTTTACAAAATGAGATACTGGATTTTTGCAATATGAATGATTATTTAAACTTGAGTAAGCAGTACACTTTTTATAAGAAAAATCTTAATGGTATAAAATCTGAAGAACTAAACGTCAATAAAAGAGATCAATTTAACAATAAAAATTATTCTAAAGCAAGCAAAAGCAAGAATAATCGGGATAGAAAAAAAAAATCCCTCTCCAAAAGGTTCGATAGACGTGGAGTCGTTGACTGCAGTTTTGAAAAAAATATTATTGAGATGCTTAGTAATTACAACGAAGAGAGAGCATGCATTGAATTTAAAAAAAATTTTTACACTTGCAATATTTGTTTTATGGATAAATCTGGTGAATCTTGTATACAATTTAAACCATGTTTACATATTTTTTGCAAAGATTGCATTGCAGGATACCTTAAAGTAAGAATCAATGACGGGGCTGTGCAAAATATTAATTGTCCTGAAGAAAAATGTACTTCTGAAATTTCTCCGGGACAAATAAAAGAACTTGTTAGTCCTGAGTTATTTTTAAAATACGATTCAACGTTGTTAAGTGCTACTTTGGACACTATGCTGGACATAGTTTATTGTCCTCGTCGTCAATGTCAGTATCCTGTTAGCAAAGAGCCTAATGAAAAAATGGCTCGCTGTCCCGAATGTCAATACACTTTTTGTATTTATTGTAAAATGGTATATCATGGTATTGAACCTTGTAAAGTTTTGTGTGGTACGTATTTTCTTTTATTTATTATATTTTATAATAATAATAATAATAATAATAATAATCTTTATCTTTTTTACAGCGCAAAAGGAAAAATTAGTTTCAGATTATCAAAATGCAACACAAAAAATGAAAGAACAATTGGAAAATCGTTATGGTAAAAAGCAATTACAAACACTAGTTGAAAATACCATGTCAGAAAATTGGATAAATTCCAATAGTCGTAATTGTCCTCATTGCAACGCAGCCATTGAAGTCAGTATTTTATTTATATTGATAATTGTAATAGTTTTTAATAAAAACGATATTTTTTTTTTTTTTTTTACTTTATTTTTATATAGAAATCCGATGGATGCAATAAAATGACTTGTGGTCGCTGCAACACCTTTTTCTGTTGGACATGTGGTACTCGTTTAAATCCAACCATGCCTTATTTCCATTATCAAGATTCCAAGTCAAAGTGCTTTAATAAATTATACCAAGGAATGATTATCGATGATGATGATGATGATGATGATGATGATGATGATGATGATGATAATGATGATGATGATGACGATCTAGACTTTCCGGCAGCTTATCTCGACTATGACTCGGACGAAGATGATTATTACGATGATGATGATTTTGTCATTGATTACGATATTTAATTTATTTTTTATACTTATTTATTTTGTTATTATAATTTAATTATTTTAATATGTATTTAATGAATAGAAGAGTGTTTATAAAAAAGTATAAAATGTACATATAGCTAATAGAGAGTCGAGTCAAGGTCATTTGTAAATGTGCGTATTGATGCGCATATAATACTGTCATTGAAGTATATAACTGTGATAGCGCTTAGTTTATTTATGATAAGCTGAAACACACTAAATATTGTTTATTATATCATTTTGGCGTTTTAAATAGAAAAGGATTATACTTACGCCCTCAATTAATATCAATTATTAATTAATTATCTTTGTGTTTATGTACAACTTTTTATCAACAGTCTATCAATAACTGGGCTAATGTTTTGCGCAAGGTATTTTCATTTATTATTTGTAATATTTTTTATTAAAAATCAATTATTTTTTTTTTTTTTTTTCTTTCTAAACAAGGTGCGAGAAATTTCAAACAACTCTTATTACTCAAGATGTTGATATTAAATTAAATAATATTAATGGTAAAATTCAACGAATTGATTGTAAACTATGTAAAAATTTTATTGCTATTATTAATGATAATAAAGTTGTTAATATTGATGAAAAATTTAATGGTTGTACAGAAAATTCTTGGAGAAAAGTATTTATTTAATAATAATTTTTTTTTTTTTTTCATTTTTTAGTTGTTGGTATTGAAAAAAATTTATTTTTACTTATTATAATAGGTAATCAATGTCCAGGATAAAATTATTTATTATATACTAAGTCAAATAATTTATCGAGAATTGGATACTCCATGTCACGACAAATTCGAGTCAATTTATGATCACGCAGATGATAATGACGAAATATTTCTCAAGTGGTTCGATAGCAAACCAGTTGGATTTTATACAATTAAACCAAAAGGTAAAATTTAAAATAATAAATAGTTTATTTTAATTATTAAAATTACAACTATTATTATTTATTTAGGGACCGAGATTGATCGGATTAATGAATATTCCATGACAACTTTAGATACTGCTTATATAAGATCTCAGTATCGAAATAAAGGATTGGGATCTGAAATACTTTATGACATTATTAAACGTTATCCAAATGAAGATATTGGATTTTCAATACCAATTTCTTACGGTATGCTTCGTATATTAAATAAATTTTTGATTGAACATAAAGAGTATCGACGATCTTTTTGGGAAATTCAAGACGGAGGTAATGAGGGATCTGTTAAATTAATATGGTTTATTTTACGAAATCAACTGCATAACTCATAATTATAATTTATTTAAGAAAAATACATTTTTCTTCGGTAATAAATTATTGATTAATAAATTTTTTTTTTTTTTAAGTATACATATTTTTTATAATTTTTTAAATTCACTTGTCATTTGAATATAATATATATATATATATATATATATATATATATATATATATATATATATGTATATATAAACTTTCAGACGTTTTTATACATATATAATTTGTTATCTTTTTATTATTAATGGAAATATCCTTTAATTTCACTTAACAACATTGAACCTATAACCATTTTTTCACAATTGACAATTATTTCAATTTGTTGATCTTGTAAAAATTTAACAGTTACCAACACCAGAGATTTTGATGACAATGTATTTCCAGCAAATCTAAAAATAAAAAAATCGACCAATTAAAATTATAAATAAATTTTTAATAAATACTTATTTGAATAATTTACCTCATAAAATCATTTTCATTAGAAACAATTGCGAGATTAGCAGCTTCAATAATTTTTTGCGACAGTTCTTTTTTATTACCATTAAAAATTAATTTAGCGGTGTGTTCATTCATACCCTTTAATTTATCTTTTTCAACAATAAACATATTTTCTGGAAGCTGTACAGCACGTATAATTTCACCTATAGTTGGTTTTAATTGAACAGAAGGCGCGTGAGTTTTATCACCAATTGTGTATTCAATGTTAAAATTTGCCGGTTGTGTTGAATCGTTATAATTAATTCCAATTATCGATGACAGTGTCACGTTTGGTTGTAAAATTGTAATAGGGGAAAAATCATGTATCATCATACCAGATGGTAAATTTTTATTACCAATTTGTATATTTGTAATTGGTTGATTGCCTTCATTAATAAATGCTAATTCAACACTGGCTAACATTGGATTAACTAAATGCTGACATCGTGTAAACCTTGATTCTATTTTAAGCCCACGTCCAGTTATTTTATTAACAAGTTCTGTTCTTTTAGTTGGTGTAAAAAATGGGGATACTTGTGTAATCCCATTTACAATTACATTTATAGATGAAATTGGATTAATTGGTGTAAGAAAACCTCCCAAGCTCGGCGTCATCACTGGTGTCATAGGTATTACTGTAATTAAATTAATAATAATAATATTTATTTATTTATTTATTAACTATTAAATTAATATAAAAAATATTTACCATCGTCTAAATCGAGTAACAAATCAAGATTACTCTTGGGTTTTGGTTCAACAATTTTTTCTTTTTTATTTTCAGTAATTTTTTTTTTTAATTTATTGTCGTTTGAAGAATCACTACTGCCGCTTTCTGAGCTAGATTCATCGGAATCTGATTCACTGTCAGATGTTTCAGACTCTACATTGTTGATAATCTTTTTAATAGGCTCTTTTGATTTATTTGATTCTGAACTATAAACTGATGAACTACTGTCATCTGAATTTGACGTTTCACTTGATGAAGTATCTGACGATTCATCTTGAGATTCTATAAAAAGTTTATATATAATTAATAATTTGAATTATAAATAAATAAAAGTAAATAATAATTTATAGTTACCTTGATCATTGGGTGAACTGTCATCTTCACTGTAAAATGATTTTTCTTTGACTTTTTTATCTTTTTTATTGTGTCTTTTTTCTCGTGGTGGATGAGTAACGTCTATTGGTTCAGCAACGTCTCTAACTGATGGATCTGGTGCAACCTCTGGAAAATCTGGCAATGGTCTGTAACCAGCGCAAGGCATATCAAGATAGTGTGACAATGTACCCAATTGATATTGTGATCCTTTAAAACGTGACATTAGGGTTGGCGCTGGTTTTGAAGCAAAAAATATATTTTTAGCATATTTAGCTAATTTTTTTTCACCATTATTATCATCATTATTAGTATTATCATTATCATCATCATCATCATTATTATTATCAAATATAAAATAACGTAAAAAACGTGCACGATCTCTTATATCATAGTTTTGATCATATTTAGCAAGTTGAAATACATATTGACAAAATAATTTTGTTTGTTCTGGATTATTAAGACACAATTTAACTGCTAAATTTAATATTTGTAATTTAACAATATCTTTTTCATTGATAAAACTTTTAGCCATTTTACGTAAAACATCAGGAGCTATTTTTGGGACCCGATCAGAGTATTCACCGAGTAACCAAAGTATTGAGGCTCTAGCCTGTGGTACTGTTATAAAATCCATCAATTTAGCCATATGTGCTATTATTTCTTTGTGCTCATTCGGTTGAGTTTGTAATAATTTTTTTATAACAACAACACTCTCTGCCACTACAACTTCTGCAATAATAATCAATAATAATTAGTATCATCATCATCATTATTATTATTATTATAATTTTTTTTTTTTTTAAATAAAAATAATAATTACCGTCACGATTGCTTAATAAAGAAACCAATCCATTTAAACACGTATCAGTAACTTCTTTAATATTACTGGCACATCTTCCAATAGCTTGGATACTTGCACCAACAAATTCTTTATCACTGCTCGATATATAAGTTTGAAATTCTCTCAGTATAACACTTATACTCGTTTCTGTAGCTAAATTTGTCAATATATCCAATTTTAATAATTTAATATGTGTTGGATCAGACGTTCTAACGAAAAATGATTTAAGAAATGGTTCAAACATTCCCTAGAAAAAAAAAAAAAAAAAAAAAATATATATATATATATATATATTTAAACGAATTAAATATAGGTTAAAATAATTAAAAAAAATACGTTTTGCGTACAACTCGCAATACTTACGTTACCTTTCTTGCAATAGAGATACTGGCAATACAATTGAGAACAATACTCTGGACTTCTCGATGATTTCTTAAAAGTCTTATTAATGCTTTAGCAGCAATCATAACTTCACTACGAGGTGCTACATGATGATATAATTGAGCAACAGCCATTACAACTGAGGCATTACGACTTTGTAATAATGGCTTTGTATTTCTTAATAATAAACGATGATCTCCATCTAATGAAAATTTTATTTTTTTTACATTTGATGAATCTGAATCTGAGTCATAAAATGGTCGATTTTCATCCTCTTCAATATCCTAAAATAATAATAATAATAATTATAATTATAATATTGTTATTAATATTTTAAAACTTACATCAAGATTTGGATTAATAAATTGTGTTCGAGCATAACGTGTCAACATATTTACAATAACAACTTGTCCCCATTCATCAACATCAACAAGTAAATTGCAAAGTTTACGATAATTTTTATGAATAAGATCTATTCGTTCTGGACAAACTTCTTCAAAGGCCATTACAGCAGAACCAACAACCAGTGTTGTTTTATCAGACAATAATTTTTCTAAAACACTTATCAACTCGTCTTTTTGCTCGGAATCCAATGAGTACAATTTAGGAATAGCATGTGCAGCAGTTTTTCTCACATACGGTGACATATCACTGGCCGAGTCTTTAATAGCCAGCATAACAATAGGAACAATCATTGAAACTCGTATAGAAGACAGTACTCTCAATGCACTGGCTCTTATCAGTTGATTTGGATCTTTCAGTGCTCTCTGAAATGTTGATATCGACAACAGAGCCAAATCTTGTTGATCTTCAGCATAACGTACCAAGTAAACGTAAACTAATTTTTTAACTTCTATATTTTTTGATACAACATTTTTTACCACCGCTGGAAATAAATCTGACGCATCTCTTCCTTTAGCAACCATCTAAAATTAATAATTAATACAATTAATATTTATATCAATTGATTATGTTTAATAAATTATAGGTATACACACCCCAATTATACGTTTCATAGCTTCTAATTTAAGTCCATCTTTATTACTATCTAACATTTGTTTCAAATCTTCATGTCTAAAATTTTATAAATATTTCAATTTACTTTTATATATTTATTAAGATAAATAGGGGGGGGGGGAAAAAATATAAATAATCGTAAAAGAATTTACTTTTTGTAGTCAGAATGAAAAAATCCTCCAGAAGCCGGATCTGTACCCAGTTCAGCATCTCCACTAGCTCCTAAAGGCCGATCATTGCTGTATGACCCACCAGAATTATTGGACAGAGTACTTGCTGCAGCAGTCAACATCTTAAATATCTATTTATTGTATTAGTTAGAATTATAAAATTTATTATATTTAATAATAGAAAAAAAAAAAAAAAAATGGAAATAAACACGCCCAACAACTTGTCAAAGTATATACAAGACTTTTGACAGATTATACAGTGTAACTCTACTAAGCGTCCATATTGTCGTAGTGATAGTCGCAGTAAACTCATATATATATATATATTTAGTAGCCAGATCTCATCTGTGGAGCCATCTGCAAGTTTTATTTCAAATGACAGAATAGTGGCGGCGCTTCTGTCTCGGCACATTACCCATCATGCATTGTATTTCTACACCATTGCAGTAGCATATTTACGCATTATTTCTTTTTCCTCCATATTATATATTTTATCTTTTTCATTCATTCATTCATTCATAATATAACCTTTTTCAAAATAGTAAACGTATAAACGTGATAATATATAAAACGTTATTTAAAAAACAATAATAATAAAATTTTTTTACAATAATGGATAAATATTTACGGGAAGATTTTGATGGTGATAAAAGACATTCTCGAGCCAGTAAAAATTATTCTACAAGTAAAAATAAACGTGATGATGAAAAAAGACATTCGAGTAGTTTAAAATCATCAAAAAATCAAAGAAATCGTAACGAAAGTGTAACAAAACAATTTAAACATGAGGATTCTTCTTCAAGGTCATCAAATAAAAAACATTCAAAACACAAAAAGAGAAAAAGGTATGTATATTTAAATATATAAATTTATAATTATTATTTTCTAACTCTTTATTGATTGATGTATTTAATTTTTAGATCGTCTTCATCTTCGTCATCTTCTTCATCTTCCTCATTGTCATCGTCAAATTCATCAGGTGACTCGATAAAATTGATGAAAAAACTGGAACAGCAGCGTCTGAAGCAATTAGAAGAGCGTCGTCGTAAAAAAGAACTGTTGAAAGCAACAGAAACACCAGAAGAGAAGCGACTGCGTCGGTTAAAAAAAAAAGAAGCTAAAGAACGTAAGCGAAAACAAAGGATGGGCTGGGATAACGATTATCTTCATTATACAAATACAGACAATCCGTTTGGTGACGGTAATCTTCTTACTAGCTTTGTCTGGAATAAAAAAATGAAAAAAGACGGCCTCGAGGGCGTGACACGGGAAGAATTGGAGCTGAGAAATCGACAAAAGCAAGAGGAAAATAAACGTGAGCTTGAAAAAGTTAAAAAACGTAGGCAGGAACGTGAATTGGAACGTCAACAGCGTGAAGAAGAAATGAATATGATGCAAAGGGGTAAAGAAGCTGCTCAAATGGAGCAATGGAAGCACCAAGAGGACGAATTTCATCTTAAACAAGCACGTTTAAGATCACAAATACGAATTAACGCTGGTCGTGCTGAACCAATTGATCTATTGGCTAAATATATTTCAACTGAAGAAAACGAGGAAGACGATGATGTCGAGATGTATGAGCCTTACAGTTATCTTCGTGGATTAGAGATAAAAGACTTTGAAAATCTTCTTGCAGATATTAAAACGTGGAAAACATTGGAACGTGGTAAAAATTCGGATTACTGGAATGATATTACTGTTATTGTTCAAGATGAAATGCATAAATTAAGAAAAATTGATAAATCAGAGTGTGAAGCCGCAATGGGACGTCGTGAGGGAATAAACGAGGCCGTTGCCCAAGACATTACCGGAGTATTTAAAGGAAAATCTGCAAAACAACTTGAGACAATGCAGCTACAAATTGAAAAAAAAATATCTGGTAATCCTGAGGGTGTTGATATCGGATACTGGGAGAGTCTTTTGTCACAGCTTAAAGCTCATATGGCGCGTGCTAGACTTCGAGATCGACATCAAGAAAATCTTAAAAAGAAACTTGATATTCTCATTGCTAAACAAGGTGTTGCCAAAAGTCAATCCGATAACAACAAAAATAATAATAATAATAATCATTATCATAATCAAGATGAACAATTAAATAAAAATCCCGGTACCAGCCATAGTTCTAATAGTAATGATAATGATAAAAAAGTGGATAATAAGATACCTGATGAAGAAAATAGTGATCACCAGGAGGAGGAGGAGGAGGAGGAGAAGGAGAAGGAGAAGGCTAATGATCATGAGGAGCATCAATTACTTGATGAATATTTCAACGAGTATGATGCTGGCGGTTATTCACCAAAGTATATCTCTCCAGGACAGCTCGAACCAGGAACTCTTGTTACCTTACAAGCTGACGATAATCAACGACTTGAATTTGCAAGACATCAGGTATTAAAAACAGGAAGAAAAGTTCAAAGTGTTTTATCTCTTGAGGAACAGGCGATGCATCGTGAAGCTAGAAAAAATATGGGTGATGATGAAGCTCAATTCAGTGTCGAGTCATCTTTAGAAGCACAAATTTACTTGTGGTCTGATAAATACCGACCGAGGAAGCCTCGGTACTTTAATCGAGTTCACACTGGATTTGAATGGAACAAGTACAATCAAACACACTATGATATGGACAATCCTCCTCCGAAAATAGTTCAGGGATATAAATTTAACATATTTTATCCGGATTTAATTGACAAAAGTACCACTCCAATCTATTCTTTAATTCCCTGTGGTGACAATAAGGACTTTGCAATTCTTAAATTTCACGCTGGTCCTCCCTACGAGGATATTGCCTTTAAAATAGTTAACAGAGAGTGGGAATATTCTTACAAACGTGGTTTTAGATGCCACTTTCACAATAATATATTTCAATTGTGGTTCCATTTTAAAAGATACCGTTATAGACGATAGATTTACTTACTTATTTACATTTCATTTACAATTAAATTAGGTAATGTAAAAATAAATTATAATAAATAACACTTTTTTTTTTTTTTTTTTTTTTTTTTTGTTTTATTTTATTTTATGCCAAGTGGATGAAATGAATAAATAATTGATATCCTGGTGTATAATAGTTGATAACAGACGATACCCCAGAGATGTTGAAATGATACGCATGGTTTATAGAGTTTACAGAGCCAGTATTTAATAGCAGTTTGTTGAATCGATTTGATTCAACGCTACTATACCGCGGTATAGTATTATAAAACCGGTATAAGAGGTATATACGTATGTACATAGGTGTATGTATAAGGTATATCGAACCAATGGCAAGGTAAAAGTAAACTTACAATTCAGTTTACCGCGATTCGCGGACTTTAAATGTTCTACCTCATACTCTTATCCCCAATTTATTTTTTTCATTAAATTTTTATTAAACTTTTTACCATCATTACTCGAGTAACATTATTAACAATTAACAATATATAAATAAAAAATTCTATTTAATTAAATTAAATTGATTTTATTTTATTTATTTTTTTACAAAAATAAATAAATGAATGATGATTCTGTGAATTAAATGCCGATCATGTAAAAATTAACCAGTGTAAATAAAATTATATTATTATATCGGGTGCTTGCACTCGTAAATGAAAAAGAAAAAAAAAAAAATGTAACGATAATTTAAGTATGAATTATAATTGCTGGTTGGAAAAAAATGATTGGGGTTTAATTTGACTACAAAGCTAATTTCAAAATTCAATGGATCATAAATTGTTGAAAATCAAGGTGGAAAAAAATATTAAAACAATTATTGATCTAGAAATAAAATAAAAGTTTAATATAAGTATATGTACGACTATACACAACGAAGGCTGTTAATAAAAAAAAAAAGTGCAGGTGGAACTAAAACTACCTCGCTATAATTATACTCTATATTTTTTTACTGGTATAATCTACCTATGACCTAGATATATTTATTTATTTTGTATAATTTGTGATTATTTTATTATTTTTATTAAAAGTATGAAGTGGAAAAGAGGATCAATGGATTTCTTTCCTGAAAAAACATTTTTAATTATAAAAGATAACGTTGAAACGTTTTCAGGTAACTTATTTAAGTTATATATTAAAATATTATTATTTATTTATTAATTTAGAATAAAAAAAAAAAATAAATTTTTTATTAGTAAAAAAATCATATCGGCGTATGAAATCAAAATCAGCAGCAGACACGACGGGTACATGGCCACCAAAAGTTAAAAAAAATAGTTTATTTGTAGCTGTTGAGCGACCAAAAACAGCTAATCTAGAGAGGCCAGCGGTGCTAAATCCCGCATTGGTTAATAAATTAGACATGTCATTGCTGAGTAAAGAACGATTATGCGATTCAATGACGCGAATACAACTTGATCGAAGAGCTACCACCAGTATCACAGTAAGTGGGGGTGGATATACACTACCCGCCAACAATAACAAACAAGTACACCAGCAGCAGGCTACCAGTATTGTTCAATCATCAAACAACAGTATTGCGTCGCTCACCGAGGCTAAAACATTTTTTATTCGCTCTAAACGACCTACCTTTCAACACCTTATTATTAATAATTATTACTTATATGATCAACCAACAACAACAACAATGCCTGTTAATCACAAACTTGATCCAGTAATTGTTAAAAAATCACCCAGTCCAGTTTTAAATAATAATAGACAGACAATAAAATTAACAGAGAATAAAATAACAGGTTCGTCGTTGTCAATTGTTCGGACATCAAAGTCATCTCGTTTAGCATTACCGGAGGAACTTAAAGTGTTTACCACCTCAGCGACTGTTAATAAATTAAAAACACCAGAGCCATGTAAAACTTGTGGCCGTCCTGATCAGCCTGAACGATTTCACAGCCATCCAAAGGGTCTTCCTCTCAAGGGAATTACTGATAATAAAGATAAAAATAATAATAATAATAATAATAATAATACCAAAGATAATGTTAAAAAATCTATTCAAAAGCCAGTTGCTTTAAATTACAAAAGCGATAAAAATAAAGATAAATCAACAAAAAATAACAATAAATATGGCCAGAATGATTGTTTTGTTGAAAAAGATAAAAAAAAATTATCATCACCCAATAGTAGTGATAGTAATAATGAAAATTACAGTAAATCACGTCCAGGTTCAGTTAATAAAAAAGGACCGAGAACGGTTACTTGTTACATATGCTCACGTGAATTTGGCACTGCTAGTTTTCCGATACACGAGCCAAAATGCATGGAGGTAACTTTTCTTTTTCTTTAATATTTATTCTGTTTTCTGTAAACGTTGCGCGCGATAACAAATATCACATTATGAAAAAGAAACTACTAATACTTTTCACCAATAAATTTTTACTCTGATAAAATTAATAAAGTTGTAAATTTTTACAACGAAATAATTTTATTTTTTCAACCATATATATTCACTATCTGAATCTTTTCATTTATTGCACAAACATATATAATCATTATAATTAAATTTTATCTTTTAAATGTCAATAACTGATGCGTCATAAATAAATAAATAAATCAATATATTACTACTAAAAACAATAAAAGAGATGTGGGTGTAATATATATTATTATATACGTGACCTCGACTTTTACGATGATTATCTATTTTCCACGACATATATTTTGCTACATCACACCTATTTATTGTAATATATCTATCAGCAGGTGTACTCACCACTTTATTTTATTATTTTTATTAACTACGTCACATTCAGTTTTATTTCCCCAACAATGAAAATTAAAATGAAAATATTGTTTTTTAAATTAAAAGAAATGGGAGCGTGAAAATGAAGCATTATCTCCATCACAAAGACGTCCTCGTCCTCAACGACCAGAATTGCCATTAAATCATCACCAGTGGAACAACGTTGCCTGGGAATTGTCTCAAGTAAGTTTAAAACTATAATACTAAATTAAATATAATGATTTATCCCTTTTTACTCAATAAACAAACATTTTTTTTTAAATGGGAATTTAATTTTAAAATTGTTTCCTTATAATTATAATAATTTTAATTCTAATTACTTTTACTCGAGCTTTTATGTATATATGTATATATAATTATGGAAATAAGTTTCTTAAAATATTAAATATATATATATATATATATATATATATTTATGTCATGGTATTAAATCGCGGGTTAAACATACTCTAACCCACTTTAAGCTTTCATGTTTATAGCCCTTGCTATTCAATAATAATAATAATAGTAGTGGTAATAATAAACTAGTTTTACTTATTATTTTCTTTTTGCTTTCTCAACTGCAAGTTCAACGAATTACCATTTTTTTCTACACCGCAGCAATATCGATCTTCCTGTTAATTTATAAAAGATAAATTAATACAATAAGCCCAACACAATGGGGTTTAATTTTACATTTTAAAAAAATTTATTTGATAATACTTTTTATATAAAAATATTTAATGATTAAAAAATTTGAATATACGCCGGGATTATGTAGACGTATAATGATTATTACCAGTCTAGACATTAAATTGCATATATATATATAGAAGCTCTCGTTTTACTTTTTACTTTTTATACACACTCTACATATATATATATATATATATATATTTTAACATTTAATATAATTGACTAGATAATAATATATGACAATGACACAGTTTTACTTTTTAGTCTGCTTGGAGTTGATTGATCAATTCCGTGTAACACCATATTTTATAAATAAAAATAATAATAGATTTAATTATTAATTTAAATAAAAAAAAAAAAAAAATAAATAAATATTTCAGACGCAGCTACTTCCTTGTTCGAAATGCGGCAGAACTTTTTTACCCGATCGTTTACCGGTTCATCAAAAAAGTTGCAAAAATTCCAAGGTTAAACCTCTTTTTTTATTTATATTTTTATCCTAAAATTTACCAATATAAATAGACTTTTTTATTATTTATTCTATAATCAGGATACAGCGTCAGATAAATCAGACAGGACTGAAAAACCGAGGAGCTCTACCAGTCAATCGGGTTCCTCAACTATTTTTTGTCAGACCTGCGGTCGTAATTTCGGCGCAAGAACTATTAAAATACATGAACCCCAATGTTTAAAACGTTGGCAGGCTGCTAACAATATTTCATCCGATGATAACAAAAAAAAACAAGATAAATCATCTGGTGGTAGCTGTTCTAATAATTCACGGGTATTTTATTTTAATTTATGAAAAAAAAAAAAAAAAAATCAATAAAATGAATTTAAATAATATAATTTATTTTCAGGAATTAGTAAAACCTACGACAACTTGTTATATATGTGGTCGCGACTTTGGATCAGCTAGTATTGATATCCATGAGCCGCAGTGCTTGAAAAAATGGCATATTGATAATGATAAACTCCAACTGAGTCAACGTCGCTATCAGCCGATTAAACCTATTTTAGCTGGTAATTATTGACATTTCATTTCATTAAAAATTATTTACACCTAAAATAATTATTTATCCAACTATTATTTCTACATTATTTAAATAACAATAAAATAAAGCACAAATTTTATTGGTATAATACTTATAAAAATAACAATTGTTGTAGATACTACATTGGATACAGCAAGCCCTGTAATTAACTGGGCAGCAACCACCGAAGCAAAATGGAAATCACATTTGGGTCAATTAATCCCTTGCAAAAACTGCAAAAGAACTTTTAATCCTGATCGAGTTGCTGTACACGAACGCACGTGCAAAGGTACACGCTAATTATAAATTCAAGCCATTCTACATAAATTTATTATTAACAACATTATTTACTATATTGAATTTCATTTCTTTTTTTTTTTTTTTTTTTAATTTTTTTTAATTAATTAATTAATTAAATTTATTAAATATACTTATATGTAGATAAAAATTTTTTTAGCACTTTGTATTGATGGGTTATAAATAAAGTTGTCAGTTAACACCAAACATCAAGTTGTCATTATTATAGTTATTTTATATTATAAATCGAATTCTACACGAACAATGATATTATATCCATCAATCTACGTCAATTATTATTATATATATATTATATGATGCACACCGCAGAAAAACATATTATAAATTTATGAGGTAGATGGTAATAAATATAAAATAAAGAATCATTAAAATCACAATTGTTACTATTCAAATTAATATATATATATATATAAAAATTTTTTTAATTAATTAATAATTTTAATATCATTTATTAAATATATAAATTATAAATTATAAATCAGAGTCGATGGAAAAATTTTGATAAATTTAATATATGAAATAATTTTCATGAAAATTAAATTTATTTATTAATTATAGTTGATTAATTTTTTTTTTTTTATGTCGTTAGAGTTCAAGTAATTGGTATTATACTGAACTATGAGTTTGGCTGGGTTTCCTGTTGATGATATTATTATTATATCATTATTATTACTATTATTGTTCTTAGGGTGATTGATCGCCGCCATTTTGTTTACCATTTTGCCGCCATTTTGTTTACCATTTAGACGCCAGATTATAACAAGTATAATCCAAATTATAATCAATATAATCCACATTATAATGAGTATAATCCCGATTATAATGAGTATGAACCCGATTATGATGAATATAGTCTAGATTATAATGAGTATAACCCACAATTCGCAATTCCATCAGTATTTTCGTCGAAATTCGCGTAAAGTACATTTATAAAGTGATTCCTGTAGAAAAATTGGAAATAGATATTCAATCTCACGATTTAAATCGATTTGAATGTTTTACAAGGCGGCCTCTTACCTGAAAAATGGTCAATTTTTGCTCCATACGTGACCAACTCGAAATAATTTAATTCAAGCACCATATCATACGTGTAGTCGTAAAATTTCTTAGAAATGCCAGGACTTAGAAATTTTCAAAATTATAAATTTTTCTTTTTTTTTTTTTTCTAACCCTAATAACTTTGGAACGGGATTACTTATTGAATATCTGTAAATTTCATATGAAAGCCCTTGAAATAAGCTTTAATTTATGCACCATATCATAGGTGTAGTCGTAATAACGTGGAAAAATGTAAAAACCAGTGATATGAGCACTGAAACACGACCAAATCTGTGACCTGAGCATCCGTACGACTCCTTCCCTTCCTTCTTTCAATTTTTAAACTTAGATATGGTTAAAATAACATGGAAAAATGTAAAAACCAGTGATATGAGCACTGGAACACGACCAAATCTATGACCTGTGCATCCGTACGACTCCTCCACCTTCTTCTTTCAATTTTTAAACTAGGATATGGTCAAAATAACGTGGAAAAACGTAAAAACCAGTGATATGAGCACTGGAACTTTACCTAATCTGTGACCTGACTTATAACCTTTAAACTACTGGACCAATCAGCTCGTTTTTGGTCTAGATCTCTTCCTTATATAAAAACAAATCGATATAAGCCCAACAGGCCGCCCTGAAACTACTACTACTACTACTACTACTACTACTACTACTACTACTACTTGGTTTTTAACCTTATCCTGCCCATATCTAAGACTATTTTTCAATAATTTGACTGTATTGAGGCCTGCTTCTGAGCTTCTTGAATGTATTGTTTGATTATTCCAACATATTTAGAACCATTTTTTTACTTTTTATTTTCATTTTGATCATATCTAAACCTTTTTTTAATAATTTGATTATATTCATGACTATTTCTGGACAATTCAAGACTTCTTCATAATAATTACTCACTACTTCATTAAATTTCCGCCTAATTTTTAACAATTACATCAAATGCACGACTCTTTTCATGGTTTACAATTCAAGCTTTAAAATTTGCACTTGATGAAATAGGGAAGCACTAAATATTACTTTTCCAGTAGTTATTAGGCAATACATGCTACAGTCGATATAAATATCAATCGATAATAATGATAATAATTATCTTAGGGGCCTAAAATTTTATTCTCTACGTAATAATAAGAAAAAGAACTTGTGTATAATCGTTTAATTAGCGGCAATAAAGCAAAGTATCAATCGATAAATCAACTGTAATGTACCGTTCTATGTGACAATATTGTTTTTCCTAGAGTCAATTACTCCCTTGAGACCTATAACAATACGCTAGAAGGTAATGATTCAAGGAAATCCGATGGAACATTATTACCAAATCTACTCAGTAAACCATACAATATATTACAGTTTAGCTATCATTGTTCATATATATATATATATATATATATATATATATAAATATTGAATCTATTGTTATTATTATAATTTTTTTTATTTTATTTAATCATAATTTGCTAAAAAAATGCAGTGTTCTATGTTCAATTTAGTATAGTGAAAGCGACATATAGCATGGAAAGACAAAAGTCAAATGAGAAAAGAGGGCGCGCACGATAGAGAATCCGTATAGCAGAATGGTCTACCTATATAGTCGGCTTATACTACTACCATACTGGAGATCTCCAATCTCCAGCCCCAGAGCGTAGACATTCAGTTACGCCGCGCCCCTTGTCAAGCGCGCTACCTTAACTGAGATCGACTCTATACTATTTAATAATTGTTATAATATCACACTCAATATTTCAACTTCCATAATAATTATACTCATTTTAATTTATAAATTAAGTTGTAACTTTTTAATTACATTTTTTAAAAAATTTAGATTTTCATTTAATTAATCAAATTATTTTATTAACCAGACATCACATAGAATTAAAATACAACTTAATATAATGGTGATATTATTCAAAAATTTTTATTGAAATTACTAAGTAAGTTAAAAAAAAAAGAAAAAAGATATATAAATAAAGACAAAAGGATTTCATGTGAGTTGAATTGAAAAGTGTACCTTAAATCCAGTTATGTCTTATAAGTAAAGTTTCATCAAGTGTAACAGTGGTTAGTGTCAACTGACATTGAGTATATGGATCTTTATGATGTATGTTCAAATTCAATTTCTATACTTTTTACTTTTTCTTTCTACTCAAACAAATAGAAAATAAAATTTGTTTTTTTTTTTTTATTTTTAATCCACACTTATTATATGTTTATTTCTATAGATTATTCCTTTCGTTGGTGTATTTAAAATTTAATAGATTACAAAGTGTAATAGTGTTTAGTTTAATAATGTGTCACGAGTTTGTAAACCAACAAAAATCAAAAAACGTACAAAATCTAGACTATTAAGTGGCTATGATAATAATAATAATTAATCAACGAGTAGAAGGTAATGCTTTTGATTAAATCATAAACTAAATATAAATACAAATAGATATATTAATATTGTATGCAAGCAAATATATTCGTATGCTCATGTGTATACCATGAGGAAACTATTTTTGTATGCAACGCGTTTTTTGTACTATGTCAGAGACGTTAATTTACATGGACCATTAAAAGTTATGTAATAACTATACCGCCGTAGTGACCCAATTTTTTTTACGCTGGCGCCAATTTTTACGTATGCAAAGTAGATCCTTCGTTCAATCGAATCCTGCCTAATTAGTTCGTGTAATTAAATATATACTATTTTTAGGTAAAGATTAAATTTTAATTAATGTATAAAGAAAAAAAAAATAATAATAATAATAGCAATAATCGAAACAATAAATTTTGAATATAACAGACGGTTTTTTTTTATGAGTAAAACATCCAACAAATAACTGAAGCGTGTAACATACAAGGATGTGGATATTTTTTTTTACGTTTTTAAAAGTTTTACAGTAAGAATTTTGCTCTCTATCGCTATTTACTATTTCAACTATTTACTATCGAAGGATTTTAAACTTTTTTAAAGTTTATTCAGTTTAAATATACTATTAATAATATTTTGTGATGTACATACACATATATCTATTGTAAACTCTTTGACCATATACAACGATTAAATTGTTTCATATCGGTGCTAAACAGTAACCAATTTACTTATCGTATTTGGATTTTTTTCTTAATATGACCGAGAATTCTAGAAAATATTTTTAAGGAATTAATTAAATATATTTCTATATATATGTACGTCTGTGTATGTGGGCGATTTTTAATCCTGATTGGCTACAAAGATTCAACGGGTTCAGTAGTAATTTATAGCATAGAGATTCAGGTGAACGAGGCATGGGGTTAAATGGAGCTTAACACTTGCTGGTGACATTACGTTCAATACCAACCAGATATACATGTATATCCTTTGTCAAGTAAACTTATCTTTCAATTCTCGATCTCGTTAGTATATTTATACAATATATCTGTTTGTTTCAATTTTAACGTTCCACCTCAATGATATGTATTTCTTAACTCACCAGTAAATTATGTTGTTGAAAGCTTTTTTTTTTATCAATTTGATAAAATATATTTTAATTTTCATAATTAAATTGAAGCTTTTGTTTAATTTTATATCGTACAAGCATTCATTGTTTTTTTTTTTTTTTTTTTTTTTTTTTTCATTTTACTTGAATCAGCCAATAAATATATCAATGTGCATCAATTAATAACAATAGCTGATAACGTAACAATAATAGTAATACAATAAATCGAGAATTTTTTTTTTCTTTACAAATGATTTACATACAAAAACGATAATTTAATTTTAAGAGTAACTTAAAGCAATGGAAGTGGTGGAAGCGGTGAAACTGGTGGAAGGCCGTTGATGATACTTAAATTTTCACCACTGTATAATTCTCTCGTTCGCATATTCTCTATTTTGTGGGTGTATACGCGCATTCTAGCTTCTTCAGTCACCTCCATAGATCCTTGTTCACCTCGTT